ACACGAAGCTCCTTCCTGCACAAGTATCGGATTTCGAAGCCAAAAACACGAAATCGTCGCTGCGTCCTCCACTAGTCACGTGCGGTAACTGATGATAATTATAACGGTCAACGGTCAAAGAGCTGATGCCTGCTTTTCCAAGGTGGCTGCGTCTTGCGCCTCCCCGGTATCAGATCCAATTATGGCCACCTGCCGCAAACGCATGTGCTTTGTGCTCTTACCAGACGGCGTGGCCAGATCTATGCCCTGATCGCAGGGCTGTCTGCACAGTGCTACTCGAATTAGCGTTTCGACTAGGCTTTGCGGTCTCGTGATGAAGCTGCCCATATCTGAAACTGTGGGGACACCCGAATAAAACAATCCAGGCTCAAAGAATTGCTTTTCCGGACAGCACACGAGGTAGCATAGATACAGGCACAGTGGGTCCCATCACCTTGCGAATGAGGCACCGTCGTTTAAGCGAAACACACAGTCCAAGGCAACTATATGGTCCACAACACATGCTGGCCTGCTGGTGACGACTTCATACATGTATGTATGTAGATATGGGTATGCATGCACGCATGTATGTAAGTAGGTCTGTCTGTCTGTCTCTGTAGTTCTGTCATTATGCATGTATGTGTAGATGCACTTGTGTACACTTCATACATACATCCGTACATGCATACAGACAGACAGACATACAGACATTCCTCATGTATACGTGTATACGGCTGTAACAACCAGACTAGTTAAAGAAGCTGTCACATTTACTCAGCTCCCTGCAAGGTTATATAGATCTTGTGGGCTCAGTCTGTCATGTCTTGTCTAGGCCCGAAGGCCATTGAAGTCACTTGCACGTTCGTGCTGATGTCTTGTCTTTGCTTTCGCCTTGCTCAGCATGTGCTTATGCTCGGCCCTGCCTGAAACATGCTCGGCAAACATGATGCGCGGATTGCAGCCGAGGCGATGCATCCCAGTCCCAATCCATCCCAAGCTTCAAGGTCATGCATCGATTGCTGATAGGCCTGCCTTGCCGGCTACTACCACGATCAGCTGAGCGGGCGCGCCAGCGGAGACAATCCTTAGGGACACGGGTCAAGTGGCGTGAAGTTGATGACCTCCGAAAACATTCAGCGAATTAGACCTCCGTCGGAAAGGAGTACGGTCAGTCTGAGGCACGTAGTGGGTTCTTCCTACCCGATTCCAACTCCCCGAGAGAAAAAATCTGGCAAGTCACGTGCCAAGGGGTGGGAAGGAAGTCTCTTCGAACAAATCCACCACCTGAGGGTGGGAGAAGTGAACTGGTGATTTTGATTGCCGAGGCCGCATCGCCAGAACCTTACGAGTTCAACTGTTTCATAGCTTCTCTACCTTTGGCTGAGTTCAATTTCCTCCGGGTTGAAAACGTCGGGATCATCCGGCAGCAAATCCAAAGTGACTATTTGTCACAACTTGTGGCAAGCCTGCCTTGTGCAGCTCGCTATCGGAAAGCTCCTTGAAGTAGTCTACATGCTCTACCTTGGCACGGAAGTCGGGGCAAGTTGACTGTAGTCAAACCTTCCATCGCTGTCGTTGCTGTTGCTCGTACAAGTTGTCGGTCTTCACTGCTAAAATCACGAGTCCCGGCTGCATTGTCCATGAGCAAGGCCTTGATCGCACTTCTGCGAAGGACACTGCCGCCTGGACCGAGCAGGCTCTCCAGCGACTTTCTGCCCAGGGCCAGGCAAGTCCTTAAGTGATCCATTCCCACCCGGGGGGTAGGGGGAGGGGGGGGGGCTCTTGATGTCGTGCCAGGCGATGCGGGATTTGCTGGGTGGGCTTCACTGTAGCAGCTGTCTGTAAAGACTGGATCGGAGAATAGGAGCACTCTGAGGCCGCTTCACTTTGTCAACCGCAGTGGCGCCACTGCAAGTCAAACTGGAGTACATCCTTGGAGGGCAGAAGTTGGCGAGGGCTTCTGTTTGGAGAGGCAACTTGTAGTCAGCCCATAGCATGTGCAGGCTGAACAGAGCCCACGCTTGAATGTGCGCAGAGGCATCTGCCGTAAGCCCGCATTCTCTCCGCATCGTCGCATGTTCAAAACCATGCAAATCATTTTAGGCCGTTTGGATTCCGATAGTTGCTGCTGCTTATTCGGGTACACATGTCTGTGGAACACAGTCCTCAACATCAACTTGACACCCTGCCATGTACAAATAAATTCATGCGCGCTTCGTAAACAGGAGCCCACAAGAAGTCAGATTCGCAGATTCGGACTAAAAGCGAATGGGAGTCAAACCTGACGAAACGTGTGGAGAAATCACTAACATCAAGCCTGACTGCTTCATTTAACCGGCCTGTGCCACGTACATCCATCAGTCATACGACTAAGAGCAGGGTGAAGAAGATGGCTAGTACTGAAGATGCTGCAAGAAAGCCCAAACATGTACACTATGTCCCAAATTCCAAATTTCCGGTGTTCTTGGAAGGGGGGAAGTTGCCTTTCGGTTTCAATGTGATTGTTCAGGCTGATGCATCGTCATGAACACTAACTACTCGAGTTTCATGCCCCGAGAATCACTAACCTGAGTGGGTGTGCATGCTCCCTGGAAACGAGGGTAGCCTTTTCCAAGAGCCGATGTTAACAACCTGAGCGCAAGGCTAGATTGCAACAGCCTTATTAGCATGGTCAAGTGGCACACCGGAGCTCCCCAGCAATGTGCCAGGTTTGCGAATTTCCGAATTCCCAAACCTGGGCTCTGGACATATGCCGGACTCATTTCGTAGGAAAATGGGTTGCTCGGTGTTTCCCGCACCTCTCACAAAAATACATAATAATTAAAGCACAGCCGGGGGAATGAAGCCCTTTGGTGCTGCCTAAGAGCTGGTCCACTGTCTTGACGGTGCCCTCAATAACAATAAACATCCATTCTCCAACTTCGCCTTCGCGCAGAATAACATCTCCGGCCGCGAAGTTCTGCACTGAGCAGGCAGTGGCGAGGACGCTCTTCTCCTCCTTCGACATATGTCGATAGTTTGGATCTGCCTCGAAGAACTCTAGCCTCGGCTTCTGGCATCCATGACAATCCAAATGCCACGATTGTTAATTCCGGCTATATCTCAGAAGTGCCACCACTGTGATGCTGAAAGAATGCCGTCCTCTCTCTATGACAACACTTTGTTTATAAAGAAGTAGCATTGGTGACAGACAGCAGCCTGCAGTATTGCGTGGTGGTGGTGGTGGTGGTGGTGGTGGTGGTGGTGGTGGTGGTGGTGGTGGTGGTGGTGGTGGTGGTGGTGGTGGTGGTGGTGGTGGTCCTTAACCACAGCAGTCCGCAGCAACTGCCACTCCTGATGGTCCGCATGCTTTCTCGATCACTACTGATTGCACTGGAACTTTGCTGCTGATGCTGCCGGTGCTGATCCGAAAGTGGCTCACGCTGCTCTGCTGTCGCCTGTCATGCATCTCAGTGCAAGCTCCCAGCAGGCAAATGCCCCGCAAAGGCTGAAGCTGTGGTCCACAACATGCATAAGAGACGGGAAAGATGTGGCACCGAAGCCACTGCTTCTACAGAACTACATAACTACAGCCAACCTTGGTGATGCATGATGCGCACGCCATCGCATGCCTATGCCATGCAGGTGAAAACTACGAAACCGAGATCGGCTGACTCCACATACGAGCCCAGGCTCGCTCTCCTCATGCTCTTCGAACTCAACTGCTGCATGCATACCTTGGATAAAACTTACAGGGATGGATTGTCGTATCACGGTTGTTGACATCAACAGCACGTCTTCGGCAATCCGACATGGACAAGACTGACACCGTCTAGAAGACGGACTCACCGCACAGGAAGAACATGTTGACGCACTCTCCCGGCAGTGTGAAGCAATCTGCCTTGGCTTGTTTACGTACGAGCTGTGAAACATAACTTTGACAGTGACTGGCCAATAACACAAGACCGGCCGACTAGCTGGAATCTCTTCGATCATGTGACTCTGAACTGGTCAGCGTCCATCTTCCATAGAACACCTTTCTCTTTGGAGATGACTGTGGCGGTTCGTGGCCTTGGATGAGGTCCAGACTCTGCGAATGGCTGCATGCATAACTCGGGTTGACTCGCACACCCCGCCAACAGCTCAGTTTTAAGGCTGGGCACACACTGTACAGCATCGCCAACTCTCCGAAGCTGTGTTTGGCACGGAGCTGGCGAACAGCCGTCGTACCAACGCAGACCTGTCCGCCACTCGTTTCAGGCGCAATGCCGACACGCAAGTGCTCGTCGTGTGTTCTGACTAGCTCGCAGTGCCAAACCGTGCACCTACAGCCGCTCATCTGAGTATCTTCGACCGTTGCTCCTTCAAGTCGCTGCTTGTCGCACCTCGAACGCACCGCTCTGAATGATGTACCAACCTGGTGCAAAGCCAATGAAGTTAAGATTTTGGCTTTCCTTTGACATCGGCTTCCAGCTTTTCATAGTCTCAGGGTGTACGATGCTTTACGGTTCAGGCTCGCATCAGCGTTGGCTCTAATACTGGTTTGAAGTTTGAAGATGACACTGACCACGGCCCCCGTTCAATTCGTTGCTTGGGTAAGGACTTCCCAGGAGCGCATGAAATTACAAGGTCCGATACTATCGTAGTAGTTAGTAGTCGTAGTAGTAGTCGTCGTCGTCGTCGTAGTGGTAGTAGTGGTAGTAGTAGTAGTAGTAGTAGTAGTAGTAGTAGTAGCAGTAGCAGTAGCAGTAGCAGTAGCAGTAGCAGTAGCAGTAGGAGTAGGAGTAGGAGTAGGAGTAGGAGTAGTAGTAGTAGTAGTAGTAGTAGTAGTAGTAGTAGTAGTAGTAGTAGTAGTAGTAGTAGTAGTAGTAGTAGTAGTAGTAATAGTTTTTTGTCACCCACCTAGCACGGCACTGCCAGCTCCGCGGCGCTCTCTATGAGCAACGACGACTGGATGCATGCATTCCTCTACGCAAAGTAGTAGTAGCAGTAGTAGTAGCAGTAGTAGTAGTAGTAGTCGTCGTCGTCGTCGTTGTCGTTGTTGTTTCGAGCTTCTCGAACCTGCAATTCCAAGTGAACCCTCTCGACGCACACAGAGAGGGAAAGAGAGAGAGAGAGAGAGAGAGAGAGAGAGAGAGAGTGAGTGTGTGTGTGTGTGTGTGTGCCCGTGTGTGTGTGTGTGTGTGTGTGTGTGTGTGTGTGCGTGCATGTAAACCCCAACACCACACGAAACCTTACAAGCCTCCACAACGCCTTTCCGCGAGTAGAACTTGAACCCGAAGCTTGACGAGCACATCTGAAACCCACTGCACAACTGGTGGTATCGCTTTTCTTTGTTTGGGGGGCCTATCGCTTTACATGTGAATGAAGCATATGACTCATTTTACCGCTGCTACGTATGGCCTGCGACATGCTAATAAAAGTAGTCGCTCACATGAGTTTGCGACACTGATGCTGCATTGAAAAGCCGTGCCTGTTCCTGCGGCACATCTCCAAGATGTTTTGCAGATCAAATTCCATCATGCGACGGAAGCATACGGAGCAACAACCACGGCACTCTGTGAAACATTACCGTGCATTCAAGGCTGTGTGCGCTTCTCTACTTACTCGCACCCAAGTCTGTGGAGGATCATTGCTACGGTGCTAGAATCGCTACAGCCAGGTAGCAATCTCCAACTTCATCCTGGGAGAAGATGACCTCTTCCTTATTTCGCGAGTTGTCTTTTCAAAGCTGTCAGCGAAGCTGCAGGGCGAAGGGTGACCGGAGGTGCTGTCTGTGCAGAGATACCCCAATTGCAGAAGTGCAAAAACACCATCAACCTATCTGTAAACATGTCTTCGAAATGCAACTAAAGATGTGTGGGATTTGAAGAGACTGTTCGGTTCGCCAGGCAGACAATTACAATACCTTGTTTGACATTGATGGTTTTGAGTGTCAAACAACCGGTCTTCTCTTTCTCCACCAGGTTTCAGAGCAGGAAACAAAACCGATAACCGCGATCCCGAAAGATTCTGAGTTCGGAGTCGCCTCTCTTGCCCAAGAACGGTCAGCGGTGATGTTCAATTCGATTTCCGTGTTCGCTGATCTACGTCGCACGTTCGGCTTCGTGCGTCTCTGTTGTATGGAGGCAATAGCAACTGACAGGTGATCTATCTTCCATTGTCATGACGTTGATTTCTGTCGAGTTTGTTCGATCATGTTCGTATGTGCCCATAACCATTGACGTCGGTGCGATCCCATTTCCCGCACCAAGCACTGACAAAGGTCTGTCAGCGCTTCAGACCCGCCTATACATGCCATCAGTTACCAGGTCCAGGTTGTGTCTAAAGGTAAAGAGCCACGCCACAACCTCTGGCCTCCTCCACGAAGTGCAAACAAACATGCGTCAGGCGCTTGGGCAACTGCAGCTGCCCAAGCAGGGCAGCGTCTCACTCGAGAAGCAGGTGGCATAGCATGGGGGATCTGTCAGTACAGACAATGGAAGCCTGCAGCCTGCAGCGATATGCCGTGCTTTAGTTCAGCTGACCGTCAGTGCGACCGAGACCTGAATTATTGGGGTTGACATTCCAACCGTTCGTGGCAGCACCTCCTGGACATCTTTGAATCCACCAGCGCTCACATAAAGCATCACAGCATGCTACTGGATGGCGAGCGAGTTTGTTACTCTACCCGTCTCGAAGTGACAGGCCACAACATGTCCGGAATGCTGCGGCTAGTTGGTTGGCGACCAAGCATCTGGTCTGGACTGCTGCATTTCGAAGTGATCTACGACCATCTCCTGCTCCTCCTCGGCCGGAGATGCAAGGCTGAACCCGTGCAGAACTTGGAATACAGCTTTCATGACGGTTGACGGTGGCTGTACGATCCCTTTCGGAGAATGAACGAGAAGAAGGTGGACCTTGCTTTGGCTCGGGAGGTTTGTGACAGAAATGCCATGCGTCGTCGTCCAGGTTGCCGAAGACGAAGTGCTTCTGCAAGACCTTTAGGATGAATCTCCGATGCTCAGCACTGACCTTAACAATGTGGCTGCAGAAATCAGGGGGCACCAACTGCAAGCCTCGACTAATCCGACATGTTCGGAACCGAAGCCTCACCGGACAGCCCGAACCCGGAACTCCTCTGGGCCTCTGCAGATTGCGAGATGAAAGTCAGAAGCAGCGGGGCTCGATAAGATCAGGAACACGTTCGGAGAACTTTCGTCTGCCGTTCGGGAGTCGTGGCCGCAAGATGTGGATAGCAGCCCTCCGGTTCTCTCTGCAAGCTTCACAGCCCGACGCAGCAAAGCCACTGTCGCTTTCACCGGCTTGGGTGCAGCAGCCTCCTTTGGCGAGAAATTGATTTTTGCGGCTTTTGTTTGGCACACGGCTGTGGCGGCCTATTCGCAAGTCCTTCGAGTAACGGCAGGTCTAGGCTAGGTCGACGAGGCATTTTATGTGATCCTGCTTCACCTTAAAACTGGTTCCAAGCGTGAAAAGTCCTTTCCGCCGCCGCGAAGAACTCGTTGTAGTTTGTTGGCTTTTCTGCCTGCGCGAGGAAGCTCAGCGGGAGATCGGCAAGCTGACTCGCGCATAGCTTACACGGTGGCGCATTGCGGTCCAGCATGTTTTCGTATCCTCATGGGGACACGCTGCCCCCACCAATCGAGATGAGCCGAACTAGCCTCTTCCACTATTGTTGAAAGCTTGCTTCCTGATTAACAAATTCTGGGGACCATCTGCCTCAGGAGCGCATCGAAGGTTTTTGGCTCAGAACGGGGGCACTTTGTCTTTTGTGGGCTTATGTTGGGCTCATACCGACTTTACAATAGTGTGTTTCGTGAGGTCACATGGGGTTCATATTGAGTGTGCAAAGGGCCAGAGGGCCTAGGGGTAAGGGTCTGGCGATCCAGGATTTGTACGCGAGCATCTGGCTGGGAGTCACACCGCAGTGACTCAAAACTTCAGGGAGGCCACCACAGGACAGGAGCAGCCAAGTTATGCGCCGACACAGCTAGCAACCTGAAGACGACGCTCATCTTCAGCCTGCGAGGTTCGCCAAAAAAAACGTGCAATTGGGACGTAGAAACGACCAACTGACCAACTAGCCCAAAACCCTCTATGTATCCAAGGTGGTCTCTCAGTTCGGCCGAAATCGAGAGTTCAACAAAAAGAACATATCGGAGTGCCTTGTGCAGGAGCTGCGCTCCCATTGCTCCTCAGTGGGCAGCGTGTTCTATGTGCGATGACTAAATGGCATTCTGGCAGCCTGCTGGGAAGAGAGAGAGAGAGATAGAGAGAGAGACTCTCTGAGTGAGAGAAAGGAGCTAAACGACTGTTCGCCTCGCGCAACCACAGTAATAGTAGCAGCAGCTAAAGATGCGGCGTGCGCGGAGTCGGCTGACAACATGCTTGTCGGTTTACAGTGATCAGCCAACTGGGCTCCGCTCGCATCGAGGCCTTGATTTGCCTCAGTTCAGGACAAATGTTTCCAAGAATTTCCCGACGATCAACATCAACTCCACAACGGGCTAGCACTGCAACGTGAATCACGCCCTCACGCGTTCCTTGCTAAGATTACGTAAGTTAGACTCTATCTATCTATATGTAACAATATATGCACGTATATGTATGCTTGTGTGTGTGTTTGTGCTCCCCACGCGACCACAAAGCCGCAGCATGACATCCGTTTTGGTTATTGACATACGGCAATGTTCTCGTTACGACATTCAATTCCGCGAACAGTTTGCAGCAGCATGCATCCGGACCGGCCACACTTCTGCGGCTACTGCGCAAGGTGCGCTGTATGGTTCTTGTGCTCTTGCTGCTGAGGTGCCTCCGGGAAACCAGGCACCTGGAGCTGTCGAGGCGCACTATCAAACTCCACATAAGGTCGGCTGAGCTCCGCGATGCTACACGGTTCTGCACCAACCCCGGCGAGAAGGTGGACAACCATCCCGTCCAGTCATCAGCTGCTTTTTGCAGATGCCAGTTCACGGCTACAGTAGGAATGCAGGTCTGGTGCTAGTAGCAGGCTGAGGAGTCTCTGAAGTTTTCTGGTTATCTGGCTAAGTCTTCTCCAGCCCACAGGGTAAGGCCCCGACAACTCGAGAGTAGTCCTGTGCTCACATGACATCGAAAAACAAGGATCGGTTTTGCTGCCATGGCTTTGTCATCACAAAATGCAAGTCTCAGCGTTTTATCTCCTCTCCATGTTCGGTTTTCGGGCAGCTTTTTTTTGCAAGCTCAGCGCGACACCCTGAAATCTAAATCGCAAGTATTTTTTGTCACTCGTGCTCGACGAGGTCTGACCCGGACATCTGCGAGATGAACAGGCGAGATGAACTGATGATGAACTACCAACTCTGTGTAAGACTCCAAGGAGCCTGAAATTGCCTGTGCCGGAGACCTACCACCCCTACAAGCCGCAAGCTGTATGTAAGCCGTCACTCTTTGCTTTCAGTGCCCTCGCTGCAAAACCGCAAGACTCGACTCCAGATCCCTTCCGCTCCTCGGAGCCAGGATGCACTTTATCTTTTCTTTTCAAGGCGGTGGCGCATGAGCCCATGCCTCCGTCAAAGAGGGACTGCAACAGCACCGCCAGCTGTCAACACCCGCAATTGTGGTGGATATGATCCGGAACATCACCATCATGAAATGCACCGTCATCGCGAACAGCACCACTGCTACCACCCATATCTGCCAGAGGATCTACCGATTGAAGCCCTTAGACAGCACAAAAGTAGCGATGCTTCGGCAACAGTTACCATGCTAGACGAGATGCACGAGAAACGACACACTTCATGAGAATCAACATCACCACCGTCAGAATCAGCATCCTCATCAAAAGCCACAGCACGATCATGATCATCACCAGCACCAGAAGCACCAGCAAAGCGGCGGCAGCAAAGGCGTCACAAACGTTGCAAAACACCAATCACAGCAAAAGCTCTCTGCAGCGACATCACCTGCGAACCCAGCAGCAAAACATCAACATCATTTTGGATACGAGTGAACTTTCGACAGGAAGAAGGGATTCGACGACAACTGCAACAACGGCATCAGCTAAACAATAAAACGAAAAGCGAGATGCTAGAGCCCGAACAACGAGAGCAAATCGACAAGGTCCAAATTGAAAAGTGTGCCCTCCGCCTCTTCCACTGCGGAAACGTTATGATGAAGCCTGACGGCAGGGGACCTATAGCAATACCACTATCAGCAGGTAGTGGCAGTGTTGACGGAAGTGGTAGTCGTCGTCGCAGCAGAAGTCATCGTAGTTAGTGGTGGAAGCAGTCGGAATCGAAGTCGTCATGAGAGTGGTGGCAATGGCGATAGTCGTAGTCGTAGTACTTAGTAGAAGTGGAAATGGAAAAAGAAGTGGAAGTGGTAGTAGTAGTAGTACTACTACTACTACTTCTGACTACTAGTACTACTACTACTACTACTACTGCTACTACTACTACTACTAGTACTACTAGTACTACTAGTACTACTACTACTACTACTACTACTACTACTACTACTACTACTACTACTACTCCTACTGCTACTGCTACTGCTACTGCTACTGCTACTGCTACTGCTACTACTACTACTACTACTACTACTACTACTACTACTACTCCTACTCCTACTCCTACTGCTACTACTACTACTACTACTACTACTGCTACTCCTACTCCTACTCCTACTGCTACTACTACTACTACTACTACTGCTACTACTAGTCGATGTCGTCGTGCTGGTCTTGATAGTAATAGTGATAGTGGTAGAAGAAATTGAATTGGTAGAGTAACCGAGTAACCGCCATTGATGAGGTTGTTCCTGCAGCTGCAGTCGTCGCCGCTACAGTCGTTGCCATGGTAGTGGAGGTAGTAGTTGTTGTCGTCGCATAGCAGAAGTTGTGGCGTTACTGTTTGTCACCTCAAGACTGTTTGCCCCTATCGCTGCTGACAGTCGCCATGCATTCGCACGGAAAATCTGCTTCCTGTTGAAAAGGCTTATACAAAAACATTGCCTATCGGTGCAGCTGTAGTCATCTCAGTCCATGTAATCTTAGAATTAATAGACTCCATCACCCAGGAGGACTTCGGGTTGGCACAGCGATCGTTTCCGTCAACTAGTTCACGAACAGAACCTACTCGGCATGCCGAACTGGAACAGTACATCGTTGTACCAAGACGACTTCAGCACGTCATTGAACCCCAAGCTCAAGTATGCAGTGCTAGATCATGTGCCGGCCTTGGATCGTCAAGGGAGCCCTCGACGAAGTCTGGCACGTAGCTGGGCAACGCTAGGGCTCGGTCTTCGTAGCCCTAAAGTGAAGCAACAGCCGTGATACATCTCGAGCCGAAGTTGCGACGGCACCTGAGCTTAGGACATCGTGCGCATCCGAAACGGCTACTTCGGGGAGGTTGAAGATGGGCCGAAACATGACTAGGACACGCACAGCATGGGTTGCCACTGGGTCGGTTCAATCCTCCTGGCCCCAGAATAGAACCGCCTCGCTGGCCGGCCCAGCTGCCGGTGTCAAACCCTCGGGACAAGAAATAGGTGCAAGGAAGGAGGGAGAGAGAGAGAGAGAGAGAGAGCGCGAGAGAGAGACAGAGAGAGGGAGGGACGGAGGCAGGGAGGGAGGGAGGGAGGGAGGGAGAGAGAGTCGGACCACAACCCAAAACCTGCTGTCAAGACACTCACCCAGGGAGTCTCAGGATTGAGGTGGAAGGCTGGCAACCACAAAGGGTTGTCGACGTCAGTTCGTAGTGTGTGATCATGAACCATCAAATATCAACATGAAAGCTCATGTCGAACAATCGCCTCAAGGAAGAACTCGTGACAAGGCCCGAACTACAGCCTGCAGTCTGATTCGCTCCATTGACTGGATACCTTCCCCGATCTGGCAACGTCAAAGTACTACAACATTCCAGCCTCATTCACTTGCTGATGTCAATGGGCAAACTACTTGTAGCCTTGTAGCTGAATGGCTGGCTGCAAGACCACAGCTGACGGAAACTAGCCGTAGCTGTTCCATGTCCGCCACATCCGCTGCCTCGATGCTCGCAGACGAGGGCCGGAACCACGTCGGCATGCGAATGGAACCCTCTGGCACTTGGAATCTACGTGGTTCCATGGCTGTGCGTTCAGTCTTGGAGTCGCAGGTGCTCGTTCTAAGGTTGCTACTGCGTGGTGTCCTCTTGAGTCGTCGAACCAAACGAATCTGGCAGGTACTTGTCCTCAGCGGGCCACTGCTGCCGGAAGACTGAGTCGTGCTCTCGAAACATCTCAAAAACTCGCTGCACGAATAACTGAGCTGAGCAGCTTCTGCACTTACGAATCGGATCCTTGAAGCATCTTAATGAAATGCCGCTGACCATTCTTCATGGTGATGCCTGGTGCTTGGACCTGCTTGGATCTTGGCCGGCGATTTGTGCGTGGCCATGATGGCGAGATAGGTGTAAGGCAAGCACCTTCTACAAACCGAATGCTACATCATGCAGCTATACAGACAAAGTCGGCATCACACCTTTTTGTTATAATCAATTCGGCGGACACAATCTGCTTGGCAGAGGCATTAGCACCTGCGGCTCGGTAGCGCTTTCCATCGAAACCAGCCTTGAGGCATATTGCAAGGACCCTCAAACCGGGGACCTCTAGTTTTCAGAAACTTCGGCGCGCACTACAGACACTTTGGCAGGACGGCGGATGCACTGGTGGCTGGGAAATTCATTTTGGGATTGTTCTGCATTGAGGATCCTGTGGAGGTAGCTTCCACCATCAACAGGTATTTGCTACAGTGTTTTTTGTCACTCGTGCTCGACAAGTCAGACGAGGTTGTTGACAGGCTACAGTGTTACAGTACCGCAAAAATCGAGCCTCCACGGGACCCCAAATGTAGAGCAGTCCGTGCCTTGTTTTTGTATTTTGATCCTGGCACAGGATAAACGCTGATTCCGTGCCAAAGACGGGGGACATGAAGTGCAAGTATTGCACTATAATAGGTGAACAAGCCCAAGAGAAGCATGTGCTGCGACTTGCTAGCTCACAAGGGCCATGAGGTGTAGAAATGGCTTACAGCCACGAACATGACAGTAGCAACTCAGCATGTATCACAGTGCCTACCAACGCAGAGATGATGTTGATACCTGCGCTCGTCCACATGTGGGGTCATCGGGATCTATATAGATCTGAAGGACATGGTTACACATGCCTCCTTGCACAGAGGCTAGGTTTGTCGCAAACTCAAGTTACATGCTTGGACTGCTTGCCTAAATCGGCAAAGCTGGAAAAACATATTGTATCGATCATCCCCCAACCGGCAATGCCCGGTCTCATTTTCGTCGTGGAGCGACCTGCTGGCAATCACGGAGGATTGTATGCCTTGCCACCTGAACCTCACCCGAAACCGTCAAAGTGCTGCGAGACTTTGGTCTCGAAGGGCGCGGCGCACTCAAATGTCCGCAACAAACAACCAAACGATTTACTGAGTCCTCATGCGGTGCAGCGAAGCCCAGGAACCTGGACCAGCTGGGGTCGTGCCGACGGCTTCAAAGGTGCCGGCTGGTATCGACCTCAGTGGCTTCATCCACCATCACGGACAGCCCGTGAAAGCATGAAAAGCAACCCCAAACAGACAACCCGCAGCCATCCATGATTTCACATTGTGGTCTTCATGTTCACGGTTACACTGCCTTTGAGCTGAGAACTCCAACCTGTCGCGACGGTCATCCCACACTGCCGCTCTCCGCAGTTTCTTTGCACTCTCGAACCCCTCACGGAGAGCGGCAATGAAGACTACCAAGCCGCTCGGAGAGCTTGGAAGTGGGTTGACGGCTGACCCACCCTCCTCCTCCTCCTCCTCCTCCTCCTCCTCCTCCTCCTCCTCCTCCCTGCCGAAACTTAAGATACCCAAGCGACCTAGCATGCGCCTCAGCGAATCCCTACTGCTGCAAGGGCTACATGCGCACCGCATGTTTTTGGCTCCTCTTGATGCAACAATGTAACAGCTGCACGGTTATTATTCTGACAGCAGAGTGTACTGCTGTTGTTGTGGCCGCTTGTTGCTGTTGCTCTTGTTTGGCCTTCAAAGGGTTTAAGGGGCCCGCAGCATGGAATGACTGCGATCTTTTGGACCCTTGGAAACTCGCTTGCTTCTGCGAAGCTGGACCCGTAGATGGCAGGCTGCAGGACGGGCCTGACATGGAAGAAGCAGGCGGACTGTACCACAGGCTGCATGCTAGATATTGGCTGCCAGGCACAAAACGAGCGTAGCAGGCTGCTTCAGAGCTCTGACTGGCTAGGCTTCGCATTGTGCCCCGGAGAATGGACGACCCGAAAGACGCGAAAACATGCTCATTGCCACAACGAAAACTCATTTATGCGATGCCACTCCGGGACAGTCAGCCTGGCTGACTGCACGCTGTGGTGGGAGGAGCGGCTGCCCAGCAGAGGGTCCCCAGGCCCACCTGCTTCGATTCTAGAGAGTGCTTCCAGAGTTCACCATCACCATGACCATCAGTATCAGCATCTAGTGCCATCATCATCGGCATCAGCTTCAAGATCGTCTTCATCATCGACAGCAGCAACATCAGCATCATTGTCACCAGGATCATCATCATCATCAACATGTCACCTTGTCATCCGCATTGGTCACAATCATCACGACTTTATCAACATGATCGCACCTTCATCACCAACACCACCGTCATCGTGCTCATCACCCATTCGCCATCATGGGAACACGTACCCGCTCTCGCATCCCATTTGCTGATCTGCCGGCTCCCATCGCCTGAAAGGTAGTATGTCCCTGACGGGATATGCTTCCGTGATTCTGGGTGTCTCTCAAAGCTTTGGTCAAGGCACGCGGCTGCTGGACCCCATGTGTAGAAGGCCTGCATCGTTGTCTCGACACTGTCTATCTGGCTGATTCATGGGCGTTCAGGGGCCAGGGGGTTTCCAACTCAGTCGGGAAGGCTTGCAGCTGGCTCGCTTCGGGCGATGGGCAATGCGGACGACATGAAGCAGGGCTGGCGCTCCGAAAAACAACCTTGAAGGATATGAAGGACGCGAGATGCGGCTTCGGGATCGCTCCACGGCTCGCTCGCTCGACCAGAGAGAACAACGCAAGGCCAAGGCCACAACCTAAAACCAAAGACTGGCTCCACACCAAAACACCACCCGCGCCGAAGGCTATCCAGCGCCTTTCACGACAGGTCCAAATTCGACTGGCCTAGCAGAGTGAATGCTGGACTGCGGAGACAAGGTCTGCAGCGGTGTCATCCGGAAGCCTGGGTCAGGGTTCAGCTTTGACTTCCAGCAAGTAGGAGCAGATCCATGACGATAGCGCATCAAGCTCCAGACCATCATGAACCCAAGAACCTCAACCTGTATTCATCGGGCTACAGGTGTAACTCCCAAGAGATTGTGTGAAGCAATGGCTGATGACGCCCGGAAGCCAAACAAAAACAAACAAGCAGAGCTTGGAACACGTGCGAGCGACACGGATTCTAGTAGTCATGCAAAGCCCCAGATGTTGTACCCACTGTCTTGCTTGCTTTTGAACTGGTCGTGAGGTGAAGTGGTGCTGGGCGCTTCATGGACGCTTCAGGCTCAATCTTAAAGCCAGCCTACGAGACCTCTTTCAGCAGATTCAAGTGAAAAGTTGCTTAACATCACGCTGTAAAACTCTGCCACGAAATCCGTTGTAGCAATCGGTCATGTCTGACATTACGCTCTCGCGTTAATCAGGATTTAGGGCTACATCCTGACATCTTCGTGCAATTCCTTCTCATGATTACATTTCACGCCGTTTAGGAAACCTGCTGATGCCGGCAGATGTGCGGCAGGAAGCAAAAAGCGACCAACTTCGTGAATTATTCGTTGGGCCTATAGGCCTATAGGTGAAAGTATGCATTTAATTGTTACAAGTCCTTCTAGGGCGCTGTCAGGGGTCAGGACGTTTTGTGTGTTTCAAAACGCAGCAGCAGCAGCTACTCGAGTTAGCCGAGATGCCTGGCTGCGCGAAAGACTGCGCAGGCCTGCAGCGCGGCTCTTATGCTGCTGATATCTCCACCAATCAGTCTTGAGGCAAGGGTTTCCATGACCCATGGATTTCGATCAAATACTATTACTATTAATATTACTATTACTATTAGTATTACTATTAGTATTACTATTCATATTAGGTCGGGAAAATCACAAAAAATGGATTCGCTGAGCTCGGCACGTCATGGAAAGGGGCGACGTGCTCGGCCGCACTGGGTAGGTCTGAGACCCTGCACAAAGTGTCGGATCGAAACAACAAGAATACTAGTTATAGAAATAGTAATAATAACAATCCCAATAATATTAGCAATAGTAATAGCAATAGGAACAATCATAATAATGATAATAATAATAATAACAACCTATGTGCCCCGAAGACTCAAACCGACTCCAACCCCGCAGGCAGCGAGCGGGGCTCCCCTGCAGTCACGCCCTGTCAGAATTCAGTCGCATGTAAACTTCGAAAATGCATTGCCGTGCAGATGCAAAGACTAGAAGCTTAGAGGAGGTAACAAGCTGCCGGCCTGGAGCCAAGTTTACGCGAATCCCAATGCCGTTGATATCCCCAGATTTGTGAAACGCGTTGGGCGTAAGTTCTGTTCCGAGCCTCCACTTGCGGATGGGAACATTTCGGATATGTGGTTGCAGCCCATGCCACTCCACTCTCCGTCCTTTGCGGGCCTGGCGGTTGCCGCACCGCTGCACCCACTGTGGAGTGCCTTGGTTGCGCAAAACCGACAGTTTTTGTGGAGGTGAACCATGGTGCACAGCAGACGAGAAGCTGCTGATCCTTCAGCCCTCAATCCGCAATTCCCACAAGCGCCTGCATGACCTTACGCTAGACTGGGAAGACGTGCTTGGCAGCAGTTGGCCTGGCAAAGGCATAAGTAAATGCGGTCCAATGGGGATAGGGGTACTTCGCGGATTCTGGGCTTTTGAATCTAATTCAGTCATTCAGGGCTTTTTTGTCACTCCCAGCGCGAAGGAGACACAACAGCATGTGTTCCAGTACGGCAGACATGGATTCATATCATTTGCCTCGATCAGCGTGTGATGTGGGAGGCGCGGCCAAACCCGGAAGTGCATGAAGAGAAAGGGGTATTCACTCGGGTTGCATACAGGCAGTTCTCGTAAACAGTGTCTATTTATGCTTGCATATATGCAGACGCAGCTAGAATCCAGAAACTGACGTAGACGTCTGTTCTTAGTACATACCATACCGTATAGACGAGAGGTGCAAAACTCAAGCCGTCGAGATGATGCTGACAAGTACATGCTAACCGATTAATGCACTCGCCAAACATGCATAGCTAATAAAATTACAGCGCACGTGCGTGGTGTGAGGACGAGCGGAATAGGCTTTTGGAAATCTATGCGTTTGAAGCCTTCCACAGGCCGCAGACATATTGGAAGCCAGCTAGGGCTTCGATACTTATCGGAACCCTACACCTCAAAGAACCGAGAGCTCGAGTAGCCCCTTCACGACCCCTCGCTGCCTGGAAGTGGCCGTACTGGCGTGGGAGGCACTGTGGCTGGCCTCGGCACGAGCTTCGGTGGTCGCGCTGTGGTAGAAGATGCATCGAAAGGGCATCATCCGGTGTGGCAGGCAGTGTCATTACTATTTTCCTGAAGCCTCAGACTCATCAACGGCATCACTGCCACTCCACGACCAAGCGATGCTGCTCTGTAGCACATTGCTATCCATACCATGACTTTGTGTTGCAAAATTACAGAAGCGATGGTATGTGAACGTAGAGACAAAGCTCATCATTGCAATGGCTGTTGTGAACGGGAAGACTGCTTCAATACTTCATGCTTCGCTAGCTTCGCTCACGTTATTGATGCTGCTTAGAAATGCGGCCTTTCAAGACACTCAGCATATCGACCTTCTTGTGCTTTTAACTGTGAATTCTGCCAAACTCTCACCTAACTGTCTGGATGGTTGCATTCTTGTGACGTAGAGCGACCATGGCTAGTATTGCTCCTTGTCAACCGTGACAGAAGAACTGCTCCCCGTCCCCTGAATCATCCACCCACAAGAATCCAAACAGTGCCTGCCAGGATTGGAAGTCGAGGAGGGGCTGGAGCCTCTCCAGACTCGGGGTACCCTAAACTAACGGTTTGCGGGTAAGGTGTCAGGACTATCGATTCAATGCTGTTCCTGGATTTCTGCTCTGCCATTGCGGAGGTGCAGTCGCTGGCACGTCTCTCAGTCTCTCCGACATCTGGTGAACCAGATGCTTTTGTAAACTCTAGACTCGGTACTAGTTCAGATGCTAGATTGTCCTCGATATTCGGCATAGAAGATGCCGGCTCTCGTGTGACATGCCACTCTATCCTTGCAAAAGATTCCGCTGTCAAACTTGCTAAGCGTTACACTTGGTATTCGTGCACAATCCGAGACAGTAGACCTTTTGCACTTCCCCCCGAGTCCCTCCTGCAGGTGCCCGGAGCTGCGTCAGAGGCAGCGGCGCCGGCCTGAGCTGGCAGGCAAAAGAAAGAGTGCGATGATAGCCATGCTCGGCAGTTTGCACACTTGCCTCCCTGCCCTTGACGTGGCAGCATACCATGAGACATGCCAGCACTCGTGGAGGCATGGTGGCTGGCCTGTCATGAAGAGACGCCAAGCCAAGTCCCTCGCTTGGCTGGCTGCTTCGACGGGATCTGGAGCATCGGACGGACAGGGCCTGCTTGTCGTGATCGTTAAAACTGTGTGGAATGCGGAAGTTCCAGGAGGCACTATCAACGGCTGTGTTCTTGCAGGATGGATGCACTTGGCAATGGCATGGACATGAACCCACGGATCAGCGAACGTGTGCATGTGCATACGTGCATGCGCATGTGTTGTGTATTTGTTGTGCGCATGCCTGTGCCCATGTCTGTGTATGTGTGAATGTGTGTGTGTGTGTGTGTGGGTAGGTCGTCAGGCCGGTAGATGGGCAGGTGGTTGGTGGTAGGTAAGGTAGGCAAGTAGGTAGGCAGGCATGCTTGCAGGCAGGCAGTTACGTGCGTACGTATGCATGTAACGTACTAATGTAACTCAGCCTGCGCGCATCCATGTTCGTAGGTTTATTTTACATGATTGCAAGCATGCGTGTATGTGGCGATCTACTCATACATACACACATACATACATACATACATACATCCACACACACACATACACGCATGCACGCATGCATGCATGCATGCCTACAAACATGGCACATATCCACATATATACCTGCGTAACCCTGCGTATACAGATATACATGTACGTACATGTGCATGTCAACATAAGTAAATCATACGAAAACTAATTTGAAAGTATATAAAGAACGAAATAAATAAACATATGTATATCTATCTATCTATCTATATATGTATATATATATATATATATATATATATATATATATATATATATATACATACCGGACCTTAGCTGGCAGCCCCAAGTACTCCGAGGCGGCATAAAATAATGCAGACAAATTCTGGTTCTACACAAAATGATCCAATGTCTGGCAAACCGTTGCCAAACTCTGAAAGCAATCCACCATGTAGTCGACAATTGCGGCTGTGCAGCCGACTGGACGGGGACTGGATGCTGCCGCAGGCCTCGCAGCGCAATCTGCAGCAATGAGACGGCGACGAACTTTAGGGCTGTGTCCGGTAAATTGACCAGTGCAACATCAAGCATATTCGCTGAATTCTTCGCATCAGTGCTTTATGGATCGGTCGCTGAGCCAACTGCACAAACAGAGCTGAAACCAGATCAGATGAAGCCCCCAAGCACGCAGGTAGCAGGCTCCAAACATCCGCCAGCACAGTACTTCGTAGGTTGACGAGCAAAGTCCAGCACTGCCATCATCAGGGGCAGCACCACCACCATCACGAAGGTGAGAACCACCACACAGCCCACAAGAAGAAGAAGAAGATAGTCAGAAGAGAACCACTGGGACGACAACAACGACAAGATCGGTAAGAGCCTGGCCAGATCAGAAGCAATAGCAAACCGCAGTCACTATCATCTTCTCTCACTATGACACGTCTGCATATGTCTTTCCATAAGCATTGTCCTGTCATCCTGAGCACCCGGCCAGGCACGCATGGATCCACCAGGCTGTGATGAGAAGCTTTGCCGTCGCGACTCCGGGTTGGAGCACGCTTGCGCAACACCTTCATACGTTCCGAGACCAAGTCCGGCCGCATGTTCGTGTGGTGTATAGTCTGTAGATTCTTTAGATAGGATGCTGCGCTGTTGGCAGCTCTGCCGCTGCTTGCTCTTGGTGCCCGTGGCTTTGTTCCTCGGCAGCCTGAACACTTTATGAACACTAGAGGGCTCGTTCTTCCTCGTCGGAAGAAGCCCAGAAAAAGCTTCACTCGACGACCTGTCCATCCATGCGATTGCGCCTTGAGCTCGGGCAGGTGTGGCCAGGCTCGCATCAAGCGGCCTCTCATGGTCCCCTTACACTACTCAACCCTAGGAAGGAACAGAAACCGACCATGTAATGAGTGGTGGCAGACATCGGGTCTATATGTACAACAAACGAACCGCCATTCATACTCTGAGCAGAACATCAGGGGGCGGATCGTGTAGTCGAAAGTGGTTTCGTTCAAGCTTGGAAGAAACTGCCCACACTGCCAGTACAACGAGACGACTACCGCAACCGAAACAATGCCTGTAATCGCAGCAAGACATGCTCTGAAGCGTGCTTGTAACCATTTTGCGCCATTTCCGCCAAAACAGGACCCTCGCCTACACATGTTACTATCGCGTGGCCGTTTATGCCTCAAACGATATTGCTATCTGCAACACCTCCATGCAAGCCTGTATCCACCAGGTTGCGAGGAGAAGCTTTGCCGCCGCGACTCGGCATTGGAGCCTCCTGGGACAACACCTCCAGGTGTTCTGGGTCTGGCCAGGTCTTGGCGCGGTAGTCTGCTACAGTACTGCCTGCTCGACTCTAGAATACCGACACACTCGCACACACATACATGCATGCATACATACATACATATAGGTATGTATATACACATACACACATGTGCGCATGCATGTTCACATATGAAAGTATGTATGTGTGTACCTATGTATTGTGTGTGTTTACATATTTTTTTTTGGCTCCCGCTTGGCTGGTCAGAGACCGCATTGCAGGTCATACGTGGGACTCGGGGCGAAAGGCTACACAGCAAACACCTTTCACTGCAACCGAACCGTTTGAAGCAAACTAAGAAAACAGTAGACCCAAAACGACCAAGAAGCGAGTTCAGTTGCAGACGATACAGGGCTCAAGTGCAAAATAGCTTCAAGTGAGGCAGCTGCGAAAGAGCTTCCCGTTACAGCATACAGCATTATTCCAAATGTGTGCATATATATATATGTATATATATATATGTGTATATATATATACACACACATCCACGACAGCATGCATGCAGGCTGATCATGCAGGCATACATGCGTCGGCGTACGTGTGTTCATACGTATGTAAGATGGTGCACGTGTAAGGCGCGTCGTGGGTGCGGCAGCCTCAACACTCCATGCTAAAGTACTCGACCGAAAGGCATGCTTCGTGCTACTGCAGGGAGCAGGCTTGACGCAGAGACCCCACTACCCGTGGGCAGTCAATGTGCCTCTCGCTCGGGCAGGTGCGGCAAAACTCGCATCAGACGGCCTTCGAAGGTCTGGCTCCGCGCAGCACAAGACAAGCAAGGCCATTGTGGGTTACTAGATGTTGGGTAGAAACACAAGCGCAGAGTGATCGCAACATCTCGCAACTGAGTTGGCTTGCGGTTCAGACACGCGGTTCACTTGGTTTTGAATCGCGAGGCCTCGGGACTAGTCACCTTCGCCCCAAGGCCTACACTCTCGCTATGCCAGTCTGCTAGTCTTCCAGATACAGTAGCTTCCCAACGGCATCGGGATATCAGCTTACTTGGGGGACTCGAGAACTGAAAAAAGTCCTACAGCAAGATGGGGACACAGTCCATCAAGCGGAAGCACAATGGACCCTTCCGGTCTCTCTTAACTCCACTACAACCTCTTTGACAACGTCGTCCCAGCCAATGCAATGTCAACGCCTCCCCATGCTGGACTGCGAGGAAATGCTTTGCAACAGTGGGTCCAAGCGAGTGCCGTCCAAGCGCGCACCGCCTGCAACAGTCCGGGCAAAGTGTTAAAACTTGGAGGCGAGGTTGACGGACGACATGAGCCCAGCTGTGGGGCGGCTTTTGGTCGATCGATGGGCTAATAACGTCTGGCAGCCCAAACTCAACCGGCAAACGGAGGAAGATGCTGGAAGAGTTCGCATGCGTTGAAAAGCGACGCGGTGTTCTGCGAACCTAAACCACGCCCCACCAAAGCTGCCTGTTGTGCCGGCATCCGAAGAGGGTGTCCCAGGCCTCCAAAACATGTTTGCCGGTCAATAGGATGCTTGGCACAATGATGCGTCACATCACAACTGAAACCGAAATCCAAGCACTGCTGCACAATCTGTTCCCTCAACGGGCCACCCTTGCACTCGCTGCTTTAAGTGCGACAGGACTGTATCTTCCTGACAGCCAAAGTCAAGCGCGCAAGAACACAACCCTTAACATCCTTTCACTTGCTACTGAACCTGATCCCGTTATGAGCGTTGCCTGGAGGACTTGAAGGGTGACCATGGTGATCTTGATGAGGGGCTTCCCAGCCGAGACGCCGTCCCTTGGCCCAAGTAAACGTGATGTGCATAATGACTTCCGGCACCTTTGCACCTCCTTGCTTCACGGCCTTTATTGCCCAGATGGAAAAATTGAAATGAAACCCAAGCAATGGCATCCCCTCCGAGGCCGCTATGCCTGTACATACGGAACCCTTAGTTCTCGTGAAACTAGATTCTACACCTCACTTCCCTGAACAAGGAAGGGGCACGAGGTGGCAGCCCGATGGACGCTGCGGTGGGCCTTATGCCAACAAGGTGAGCTCTGTGAGCGGCGAGCTGTGCAGATCGGAACTGCAGATACTAGTCATGAACACAGATAAGTTCCGAGCTCTTCCGCAATGCTTTACTCCCCTACGGTCGAGCATGCCCTTGCAAACAGGAGGCAAGAAGGTCTCGGTGGCCAGGAAATTGAGCTTGTAGGTCAAAGTCCACTTGCGTTTTCGGACGACGTCGATGAAGACGCGCGGTTCGAGCTGCCAGTCCGTGGAACCCCAGATCGGCGCATAGACCCAGCCTTCGCCGTCCTGCAAAGTCTCAAGTCTGCCACACAGGGCTTGACAGGGCGTAGAAAAGTTTAGAAGTTTAGAGCTGCCTCGCACTTAAGAAGCCTGCTTTGCCCGGCAGCTGGTCGCAACCGTGAATTCGAGAATCGGTGTTTGCACCCCCGGCCATGAGTCTTTAGAGGAGCAAACGCACCAAACCTGAGAAGCTGCACCCTCTGTCTGCGTAGTTTCCACAGAATTCCGCCTGCGAGTCCGGCTTACCTGGCACACCAACTCGAAGCCCTCTACAGAGCCCGGGAGGCGCAGGTCCGTCTCGTCGAGGTTCACTTCCAACTGCCACGTACCCTTTGGTCTCCAAAGTCTCCTTGCATGCCCACAGTGTCTTGGAGAGGTTGACACACGAATACAGTGGGGTTGGAGGAGGTGCATTGAAACCATGTAGTAGCTGCCGAGTTTCAGCGACTTCATCGGAGGGCCCGGCTTTGTTGTGCTTCTTCCGAAGCGCTGGGGGTCCAGAAGTGGGTGCCGTACTTGCAAGCCTCCGGGCAGCATGCTCAAAGCCCGAAACGGCTCCAACGCGAGACCATCATGGGCTTCAGCAGATACCTTTGCACCACGATAGACTGCGCAACCAATTGTAGCTACAACCACATTCCCGCTCCTGCATCCATCCAACATTGCTGGTGCTCCGGCTCCGTGGGCAGGAACGGCTTCCTTCGACCGTCCGAATGCAACCATTAAACTTCTCGAGATCTGAGTATGCCTCCCTGGTTTCTGTTGATCTCCAATCTCCAAGTCGCATATGCGCTGGAAGCAGTTGGGATCTGGTACAAAGGCGGGGTTTTTTCACACCCTGAAAAGGCTCCCCTTGCTAATTTTCTCGCTTTGGTCTTTTTTTTTGTTTTGAACCCTCTTTTCCTTCCGCCCTGTGGTTGGTTAGAATGCCTTGTAGGCTGAGGGGCTGTTCGAGTCGGCCGGCCCTGAGATAAACCATCTTACTGCACAAGTTGACGAAAATAACCCCGCCAAGGCCATCTCGGAACAGGAATGCCTCGGCAAGGCCTCCAGGAGCATCGCTGTCTTACCCAAAACTCACACAGCTACACTCTCGCTTTGGTCTCGCCCTCAGGGTTTGGGGTCTAGGGCAGGAGGAAGACAAGGAACTTTTACAGTAAAAAAACAACTTAACCGACCCTACAAGGTCTTGTTCACGCACTGGGTTCGGGGGTTTAGGGCCGAAGGAACAAGAGAAACTTTAAGGCAACTTTAAGGAGGCAAAAGGCAAGCTTATCGGCCGTACAAAGTTTTTTCGCGCCCTGGATGTGGGGGTCTAAACCCGAAGCAACAAAAGAATAGAGTATAGAGAGACATAACACAGCAGACATAGACACCGAGAGACGAAGAGACAGGAAGACAGAGACACCGAGATGGTGATAGAGGGAAAGACAGAGAGAGAGAGAGAGAGAGAGAGAGAGAGAGAGAAGAGAGAGAAGAGAGAGAGAGAGAGAGAGAAAGAAAAAAAAGAGACACAACCAGAGACGGAGTGAAACCAGGAAGGTCGAGGGAAAGCAGAGGTGAGAGAAAGAAGACAGCGAGACAGAGCGACAGACGGACACAATGACAGCGAGATCGAGAGACACAGAGAAAGAGAGACAGAGGGACAGAGAGAGAAAGGGAGAGAGGAAGAAAAGGAAGAGGGCAGGGAAGCGGAGGAGGGTAGGGTACATGAAGCCGAAAAGGAAAGGACTGGAAGGGCAAGGAAGGGTATGAAAAGGAGATCGGAGGGGAGGGGAGGTCCATTAAGGAAGGGGCGGGGAGGTCTGGGGAGCGGAGGGGAGGCGGTGGGGGAAACATAGATAAAAAGGACAAGACGTGAGCATGGAGAGGCAGTCTGCCACAAGCCACCGAGCCAGGAACCTCCGAAAGGCGGGAGGCCCACCAGAGGAGCCTGTCACACGGGCACAAAGTGCAGGAGAGAACAAGGACCAAGCCGCCGCTCGAAAGGGACTAGACAATTTGAGAACAAGGAGCCAGCCGCTCGAAAGGGATTGGAGAATTTCAGACCAAGGAGCAAGCCGCACGAAAGAGACTAGAGATCTTGAGAACAAGAAGCACGAGACTTAGAGACTTGAAGAACAAGGAACACACCGCTCGAAAGAGACTGGAAATCTTGAGACCGAGGAGCATACCGCTCGAAAGAGACTAGAGAATTTTAGAACAAGGAGAAAGCCGCTCGAAAGAGACTAGCGAATTCCGCTCCAAAGAAACTAAAATATAAGAACACGGAGCAAACCGCTTGAAAGAAACTAGGGCATTTGACAATTTGAGAACAAGGAGCAGACCGCTCGAAAGGGACTAGAAATTTGAGACAGAGAAGCGAACCGCTGGAAAGGGACCTAGAGAATGAGAACACGGAGCAAACCGCGCGAAAGAGACCAGAGCTTTTGAGAACAAGGAGCCGAAAGAGACTCGCTACTTTCAGAACAAGAGCAAATAGCTGGAAAGCAAGGAGCAAATCGCTCGAAAGAGAATAGAGAATTCGAGCACAAGATGCAAGCCAACTGAAAGTTTGCACGAGTATTTCAGAACAGGGAGCAAACCTGAGTGACATGAATAATGCGCAGCTTCGGGTCATCCTTGTCGCAGTATTGCCAAAACGTGACAGGTTCAGTGTCTCCGCCCCCTACGGGGGGAAAGCCTTTCAAGATCCACTGAACGCCTTTCTTGCTTTGCCACTTCTTAGCAACACAGACCACATCCTTCCATCCCTGAGAAGAAAAGAAGGACGCAACTTGAGAGCCCTCCCGGGCCTACGAACAGCCAACGGCTGGGGCCTCGGCAAGATGCCGAGATCACTGCGCTTGCCAATGCGGTACCTGAGGCCTTGCCCCTTAGCAGCAGCGGCAGCCACAGCTGACGCGAAGTAGGTTTCATCATCCTGCCGCCCTTAGGTAGCCATTGATGGTTTCACCCGGGCGATCAGAGACCCGAGTCTGGGTGATGATGATGGTGCCTTTCTCGTGGCTCTTATGCACGAGGGCGTCCGCGCAGGTGGCCAACGAGCTGATGGCCTCCCTTAGACGACGACCACGTCCAAGTCCCTGCAGCCTCTGAGAGACTTGGCAAACCTCCCACATGCCGATTTCTGCCAGAATATCAGTAATCTTATCCCACCGATCATCATTCCTGAACAAGATTCTGTAGTAAGGTGCTGAACTCCTGATCGTAGCCTTGGCAGGCAGAGCAAACTTAGCGACTTCAACCTGCGAGGCTTTCCTGGCCCACTCCGCGGCGTGAGTGTCGCCCAAGTGACGTCCTGAAGCGTGCAAGGGCCGGCACCGCGCTTCAAAGATACCTTGGCGCTGTACCCGCCCAAAGACTGGCAGTCGGCAACGAGAAGGAGAACAGTCAGAGGATCATAACTGGGAGCAACATTCCACACGGCCTTCAGCTTTCTAGCTGCGCTTTCCCTTATGCAAAGGCACAGCCAGAGGCGGAGATCAAGGCACAGAATGCACAGGAGAGCATGACTGATCAGCCTAGGCTCCTTTGGGACATGTTGAAACCTGCTATGCTTTGAATCGGTGCGCATGCCCAGCAAGCCAATCATTTCGGAACCAGCTGGACCCTTCATCCCAAGAAGCCAACAATCATGATTTGCCGACGTGGTCGTCATCATCTCGCTCGCTGCGAAGTAGTCGAGAACTGCAGTGTCCACGCTGCATGCCCATGGCTTCGAAGCATGGCACCGAAAGCAACAGAGGGGAGGCCCAGGCGGGGCCGGTACATGTGTACACACACGTATCATGTGTATGAGCAGCGTCAAGGCAGGCAAAGCAAGAGCGACCGCAAAGGACCTAACTTGTTAGGTAAGGTACTCGGCTGCCCTCGGGCCGGCCGTTCCTTTTGTGATTATGAACTTGACATTCATGCATCTTTGCTTTGATCACCGCTCGTGGAGCTTCTTGTGGCGGTAACTCGCTCATCGACTGCATGCGAACATGGCAGCATTCAATTCTGAAATTATTGTTGTTGTTGGGGTCTTGACTCTTTTCTTGTGCACCTCCGGTCAGGCAGCTGAGCAACTTGTCCGCGGCCACCATGTGGAGGTAGTGCACCAGGACGCGAGAATTTGAGAACACCCAGCAAGCTGCTCGAAATAGACTGGAGAATTTAGAAAAAAAGGACTAAAGAATTTGAAACGAAACTATTAGATTGAAAACAACGAGTAAGCTCGGAAAGGACTAACCTTTCGAAGGGGACGAGAGAATTCGTGAGCAAAGAGCAAGCGGCTAGAAAGGGACTAAACACTTTGAGAACAAGGAGCAAACCGCTCGAAAAAGACTGGGGAACACGAGAACAACCAGCAAACCGCTTGAAACAGACTAGAGAATTTCGACAGAAACTATGGTGTTTCAAAACAAGGAGCAAACCGCTCGAAAGAGAAGAAGAGAAATTGAGAGAAAAGAGCAACTGCTCGAACCAGACTGAAAGAGACTAGAGCATTTGAGAACAAAAATCACACCGCTCGACAGAGACGCTGGAATTCGAGAACAAGGCGCAAACCGCTCAAAAGGGACGACAGAGCTCGAACAAAAAAATGCAGATTTTGAAAACATGGAGCAAACCGCTCGAAAGAGAGTTGAGTAGAGAATTTGAGAACAAGGAGCAAACCGCTCGAAAGAGAAAAACAATTTGATAACCAGGCGCAGACCGCTCGAAAGGGACTAGAAAGCTTGAGAACACCAGGAGCGAGCCGCTCCAAAGAGAATAGACATTTTGAGAACAAGGAGCAAACCCTCCAAAGACACTAGAGAATCTTAGAACACCGGTGCAAACCGCCCGAGAAGGACTGGAGAACTTGAGAACACGGGAGCAATCCGCTCGAAAGAGACTACAGACTTTGAGAACAAGGAGGAAACCGCTTCCTTCGGAACTGACAAGGAAGAAACTAGGAGCAAACGGTTCGAAAGGAACTAGAGAATTTCAACAAGGAACAAGCCGCTCGAAAAGGAACTGCAGGATTTTAGAACAAACTGCAAAACCAAGCGAAAGTGACTAGAGACTTTGAGAACAAAAAAGCAATCCGCTCGAAAGGGGCTACGTAATTTGAGAACAAGGAGCAAACCGCTCGGAAAAAACTACGGAGTTTGCGAAGAGGTAGCACACCGCTAGAGAAGAATGTCCACGCTCACTCTGGCGCCGAAGGCGGAGATGTTGATTTCCAAAGCTTACTCTTCGTGGTAACAACGAAAGCAACAGTGACAAGCTCAAGACGACCAAACCAGGACAGCCGTACACGCAACCAGAATGAACTCAACAGTGACTAACCGCCAAGCAGGAAAACAACATTGATACTGGTGAAATGAAGGAAATCAGAATGAGCACAACACGGGACTGTAAGACAAGCGTCTGCCAGGAGCTGTTGGTGCCTGGCAGGAGATCGTCGAGACTCACACCCAAATAGGGTGTCAAGTGCAAGTCCGCTCACCAAAATTCTAGCCTTACTGTTCTCATTGCAGGCGCTGTGGGACACCAAGGTCGTGCTGATAAATTCAGAACGGAACAGCCAAGATCCCGTGTTTGCTGTAGTCGTTGGGTTCTGTGTTTTGGATATCTGCTGTTGCCCTCTCCAACCCAACAGCACCTTCGAAACCGATTCTTGCGCCTTGGAAGATAGCTCGCAGAGCTCTAACACATGTCATGAAAGCAATAAGGGATCGCCCGCTGTGGCCTGTCAGTCACTTCATGCAAATGATTCGAGATCCAATCCCTGCAGTGCGCTCATCTTGAACCCGGGACCCGGGACGATGCAACGAGTCAAAGTGATTTTAAAAGCGTTTTGGGAAGAAAGCGGCTGGCTGCTGATCCAAGCGCCACACCTGCAGCGACAGCTGCGCGCTCGACTTCCCATGCCTCCTCCGTCACCTTTCATTGGCATCTCGGGTTGCACTGCGCATTCTCCGAGGTGCAGGGCCGCAACATGTCCATGGTTTGATTGTCCATTGACTACAGTTGTTGCTTGCGAACCTGTCACCATCAGATGTTAGCCGTCCGCAGAACAGCAACAGCAATGTAAAGCCAAAAGAACTGTTGCAGCTGCCCCCGTGTTTGGGCATGTATGACTCCTACCATGCTTCGGGCTTGTACATTGTACACCGTGTCAAAACGACAATACATTCGGCAGTGCTGTAGATCAACGAATCAAGAATAGGTAGGAAGCCCAAACCGGAAGTTTGAGGAACAATCTCACGTTTGGAGACTTGTATACAGACTTACTTCGCTGTCTGCCTCAGCGTAGCACCATTTTTTGCCTTGTTGAGTCTCGGCTAGACCGACGGGTCTGGTATACTATAATCAGAACCGACTGGTCGAAGGATGGGCCACCATGACAACGACCATGAAGAACACGAGCAGCCTAAAATGAAGCTGACAGCAACGAAGCAGCACAAACAAAATCGTGTGATGTGAATGGTAGACTTCTTTCAGAGGGAGACCTGTACGGGATTGGACAGCTCGTCGCCCATGAAGCCGTGGCGAACCCTCGGTCAGCAGGCGAGGTGATAAACCATGTATGACATCAGGGCACCAACTAAGGTTGCCCCCCCGCTCGCTGACAAGCTTTCTGCGACTACGCTCATCGTGGATCGGGAAATGGTGTAGGGTACATGTGCACAATAGGAGTTGTAGTGGCTATCAGGGTTATCACACTCCCAAGAATCAAAGCACTCGATTTGCTGATGCAGGCGTCCCACGCACACGACTGGGGCGTGTCTTGGTAGGACCCTCACCCGAAGATGCCTCATGATGTTATATCCGCCAAGCGGCTCCGTTTGAACGTCGGAAATTTCTTCCACCTAGCGAATTGCTTCTGAGTCTGATGCATGAAACTGGGCCCGCGTCATCCGTTGAATGCCTGGTGCATCAAACCAACCTTGAATGCCATCACAGAAACACAGTGGCATACACAGCCGGAAAGCCGTACTAAGTGTCCCATGCAGAATGACACTCAGATTCTGCTTCCTTGCACGTGCTTGCGGAACATGGAGAGTTTTTCAATCTACTAAACATGGTTCTGGCGACTGCTGGTTCACTCCGCCGAGCCTGAATTTTCCCAACGTGGATGGCATCCGCTAAAGCTTTGAGGATGGTTTTCGGGAGATCGCCGCCCAAACTCCACGGCATCTTGATGGAATAAACTTGCCTTGGACCCCGCACGGGAGCGTACGCCGTACGCGAAACATCAGGCAGCAACGAAGGTGTGCACAATTAGGTAATTAGGTCTTGCAGCCCTGGTGCGACATGCACTCCAGCAGCAGATCCGGACGGGCCCCATTCTGCCGCTGTGCCCACTTTACAGATTTCAGCGCAGCAATCGGGAACTGCTTGTGGATCCTTGGACCGGCTTCGAAGGCAAGCACAGCTGGGCAGCAGATCTCAAAGAATGCGTTGGATGAAGCACCTACTCGGTGTTACAGTGCTATGTCTCCGATATGACAGCACAAGAGCATGGATCGCTCCCGCAAGGATTTTTTGGCGCTTAGGTGATGGTGGTGCTGCTGCTCGTGCTGGCTGTGATTCTTGCCGCTCGTGAAAACAAGTGCAGCATTCCATGGGTGGCCTCCATCAGTGTGAAGATTGCTCGAAAACATGACCCTGTGTGCGTGAGGGCGTGTTAGTTCCATCATTTCAGTTCGGCAGTAGGCAGGGCTCCAGGGTGAACTGTCTGGTTCATCTTTGGACTGCAAGGAAACGTTAAATCTTAACCAGAATACACGAGCCAAACGAAGCAACACTTTGAGCATGCGAAGCCTGGAACATCGAAACAGACCAATGCTTGAAACCTTCACACTCAACTAGACGTAGTGCTCCAGAGACAGAGCTTCCAGACGTGAAGAAAACGTTCAGCCAGGTGGCTGGAACCTACCGGCGTTTGGGTCGGGCTGTACCCGAGCCAGAGGCACGAGGCGTGACACCAGCAAGCTTTTTACCTGGCTGGACCCTGCCGTGGCTGCTACAGCTTCACAAAGTCATGGCCAAGACAGCTTTTGACCTGATTCGAGGAGCCATCGATTTCCAAAGCGGTGAAGAACGTGATCAGGCTTCTCCGACAGGCCTCGTCTGGCCGACCGTAGCTGCGCCCCGCATCTGGATAGAAGGAGCGTACCGGAGTTATCCTCACGATCGATGCAGGGTGGGCTCCGGCTTATGAGGCCGACCACAATGCAAGTTGCCGACTACGGGATCAACACGATACATGAATGAATGCTCGGCATGCATGCTTGCACATCATACACAAACCCGGGCTTTCGGTTGTTGCAGAGGGGCCCAGCGTAAGCACTTTTTGTGTCATTTCCATGCGATTCAGTGTTACATGGCAATGTGCCTTGAGGGAACATCCACTATTCCACGGACTACAAGATGGGAACAACTCCGAAGCCTGGTAAGAGGCACTTCTGCGATCCAAAAGGACTTCCGTGCCAGGACCATGACCTGAAAGGAGGGAAAGCTTGAAGCTACTAAGGCTGAAGATTTACGTGTGTGCCGGGTCCAAAACTTGAGGGGTTCGGGCCCAAGAAATTTCTCAGCGGCGCTTGGTCTCTCTGCTTAAGTGCCCTTGTTGAATGCCATGTTGTGTTGAAAGGCTTCACTCTATCTCGGGCTACAGCTTGTCCGAGACATCTCGTACCGGTCAGCTCAAAGACGAGAGTCCGATACCAGGAAAATTATGGCACACTCTTGATGCTGCCACACTCTCCGTTTTAAGCCCCACTGCCAAGTCCGTGCGCACAAATGATCCTGCGGCGCAAACTACCCGGCCAAGTCCTCACGAAACGATATTGTGATCCATGACAATGATGACGATCTTATTCTTTAGTCGTAACTCAGTTAACTCTGCTCTGGTCCGACATCAGCTGGCATAATCGCTGTGTTTGACCCCAGTTCCTTCAAGCCGCACGCTCACCATTTCAGCTGTTGCACATCCCAAACATGAACTATTTCCACGTCCCCACGATCCCCAAAAAAAATCTAGACACCCGAAATCGCCTCGACACTCTCGACCGGAGCGGGTCTCTCTTCCTCCTCGCTGGAGTCCTCCTCTTGCAACTCTTGCGGCTGCCACCTGCTCTGACTAGCAAATGCTGCAGCTATTGATACCCATCTCCCCGACCTCCGCTGCTGCTGCTGAGGTTGCTGCTGCGGCCGCTGCTTCTGCTCTTACTTCTACTGCTCCTACTCCTACCACCACACGCATCATCACCACCAGCAGCAGCACCAGCCGCAGCAGCAGCACCACCACCACGACCATGAACACCAAAAGCGCTTGCATGTGATGGTACGACTCGTCCTGGTGCTGCCAGTGAGGCGGCTGCAGACGAGAAGAATATGTTTTGTTTCGGTTCCCGTCAGAAGATGAAATTGGCATGAGCAGCGTCTCCGAAGCGACAGGCGACGTCAGGCATGAGCCATTGTGTGTCGCCGAGATCCAAGTCCCAAAAGCGCATTCGATCATCATCCTCATTGCGCAATCTTAATAACCTGCAACGTCCTCTTCTGGGTAATTGTCGTCCTCCTCTTCCCGATTCTCGTCATCCTCTCGACTTTCACCCTCATCATCCTCCAATTCATGCTTCACTCCTCGCTCTCAGCATCCTGTCATGGGCCCGTTATGTTACATTGATGCCCGCATGCTCATCGTCCTGTGTCATCATCACTATACTCGGCAGAATGAGCGCCACCACGGCACGCGTCAGTTCGAACGGGGAAAACACTAGGACACCAGACACTGAGTGAACCTAGGTAACACTTGCTGCTCCGCGAACCGATGTGCATATTGTGCCCGGCCATGCAGCGGATGGATGTCACGTCCCACCATCAATAACACCAACATTACTTCACCTCTGAACGAAACTCTTTTTCGGGGAAGGCTTTTGCGCAAAAGATTAGCCATGGTGATCTACCGAATGGTTAGGAACGGGATGGAACTGGCCGAGAGCGACCCTTGAGTATGTAGTATATCTCACCCAGACAGTCAGGAGGTCACTGCCACGACACCTGAAGAGCGGGACAATGGCCTCCACGGGTTCACCTGAGAGCGCAGAGCCCTAAAACTTTGCTACATCCCTCAATTCGAGCAGCACGCGGACTCGAATCCGTTCAGCATGCTTTCTTTCGTGTGCTGGACATACAAAGTACAGGTAAGCAAGATGCAGCCATCACATCTATCCGAATCTATCCGAGATGCTGATTTCGCCGGACTTCTGCAGGTACGCCATAACGTGGCTGTCGAGCTCCTGCAGCACAACTCGCTGAGGCGAAGAGCATCACAAAACTCTACACTGGCAATGCTTGAAAAGCGTGTCACAAATGTGCCTGGGAGTCTTGAGGAAGCCATGAACAGGATACCAGAGCTTGGAAGCATCCATCAATGCTGAGAGAACTGGAGGTCCCATGTGCGGCTGAGGTTCCGAGAAGTCCATGATTGCCCCAATCGGGCCGTAAAGGGCACGAGGGTGGCGCACTCGTAGTGTAGTGCCGTGTTGAGGCTTGATCTTCTTGCTAGCCTGCGCATCCAGTGGGGCACTTTGAAACAGTGCAGGCACGGTAGCCCAGTGCTTACGGAGGTAGGTAGGTATGTTCGTGCAGCACGATGCAATCATGAAGTTCTGGGCACATCGCAAAATAAAGTAGCGTAAGTAAAACCAATGACTGCGTTGCAGGCGGGCATCTCGGTGCCTGTCTGTGTGTCTGTGTCTCTCTCTCTCTCTCTGTCCTTCTGGCCTGCAACCTCGTTCTTCGAAGCAAATGCTGGCTGGTAGCCACTGGCTGGGCTGCTATCACTGCTAAGGCTGAAGTGGCAACGAAGTTTGCAATTTTCAGCAGCAATACGCTTCCTGAACATGAAGATCAGGTCAGAGACACAAGATGGCCTCCGCCATTACCCCACGGCCCAAGTCTGCTGCTGCGTCCTCGTTTGTCATGAGGCTTCTGCTCGAATCGTTTGGGGATTAGTGTGGCAGTGGGGCAGTTCTATGCCATGGGATGACCAGAAACCACTGCATGCGAACAAGCTCGAACTCGGCACTTGTCATCTGCCGCAAAGGATGGCGCAGAATGGATGGTGATGCTTGTCTCATCTTCTCATGTCATAATCACAATCACATATACTCACCAACCCAGCGAAATAATGCAGCCTGGCAGCTGCCACACCATTGACGCCCTTGATCACCGAGCTTGTCAATCCCTGGCAGCCGAGTATGCTGAAATCCGTGCTAGAGCTCGAGGTGTTCGCGTCGTTGTCCAAAACAGGCACGAAGGTGCGAGTCTGGCAAACATCAAAATCAAGCCAATTTCCGATGCCTTCCCGATTCCCGTGACAAAGCCGCCAACGCCGTGGTTTCTCGCGCCCTCGAGTGGCTTCCTTAGACCGTGCAATCATTCAGGGTGAACCATCTCTGCAATTTGCCACAAACGGCTCTTTGGGATGGCATCACACATCGGGATTGATTGCCTCGCCAGCATTAGTGGCACGATGTGCCTTCTCGCCACTGGTGGCTATCCCCCCACAATGTGAAGCCCTTTATACGGACGGGCCTGTGCAGATGAGAAACACTTCTGCCCCTGCTTAAGGGCACGACGCGTAATCTCAGGGCAAGGCGCCGGAAGATGTCCAAGAGGCCACTGAGGCCTTCTCCGAGACTGTTCACGGCTGAGGCCATTCCCTGGCTGGCGCCTCGCAGAACTTCGGGGCTCCCAGTTCGCAGACACGCGACTCTGGGGTTGCGGCGGCTTTGCTGTCCAGACCAGCCGTGTTTTTGATAGTTCTTGCAGCTGAGGGTATCGAGCTAGACCCCGTAATTCTAACTGATGTGACACTCAGGCTGGCCGACAGCATGCTGTCGGCTGGCTGTTGAACCGGCCTTCGATCTCTGCCTGCCGATGCCTGTTGTGGCGCGACGCATAATCGTCGTCGAAGGTCATGCTGTCAAAGAATGCACCGGTGTTGTTCATGGCACCTCGGCACATCGAAACCCCATCAGACGAAACGACAGCAGCTCGCTTCGGCAATGATAGCTGAGCGTCCTCCGAGTTTGCTCGAAGCAAGATTCCCAGCAGACCCGATGAGTGCAATCGGCGCTTTGGGAATTGCCATGAGGGATGAATGGCCTCAAACAGGTGAGACAAGCAACTGGAGCTTGCCTTTGGCCAGACCATGCAGGGGTCACGACCGGTTCCATTGAAACCAGTTCCCGTCACTAACGTCTAAAAGAGTCTAAACAACTCTCCGTTCATGTGCTCGATGGAACTCAGTCAGGTAGGATTCGAGCAGCATTAAGTCGAATGCTCACGACTTTGACTCCAGCAGGAACCCTGACCCTCAAGCCAGAATGACCAGGCCTAGCGCAGAGCAGACTGCTCGAATCATATTGCCCATCCACTCGTGCGCGAAGCTTGATGCCAAATCCACTGGCTTGCCACGGAGGCCCTCCAGAAACTTCGACGACCTGCAGCCAACACTCTGTGTGTCAAGCGAGTGCTGAAGCGCAGGCCAGATATGCCAGCTGGCACGAACAAATGTCGAGAAAAAATACATGCATCATTCATACGTTTACGTACCTATGTACCTACCTACGGACTCACGTGTGTCTGTACATCTGTTACATCTATATGTGACAGTAAATCAGACATCACGACGCGAAGACATCCATTGCACTGTGTAACTTCGTGGACTCATTGAGCGTGTCAATGTGATTAAAGACATACGACACGACAGAATCATCCCTCGCTCGATCGTTCACTCTGCTATGTCACTTCCACGTACCAGGACATGTTGCACAGAATCTGTGACCTCAACTAGCGACAACGCGTGAGCGTCATGTCCCACATGCCACGTCGATCATGTCTGTCGCTTTGTCATTTGAGCAAGAACTGCCGAACTGACTCGCAATAGTTCGTCACAACACTGCTCCACGGCAGTTTGCTCATCATGCCAGATGTCAAGTGTGCCGAGTTGGGTATCTTCAGCCTGCCGACGCTACGAAGAGAAGAGGAGGATGCCGAAGCAGATAAGATCGAAAAGATTGTGACAGACTATCTCTGTGCTGTCCAGGAGCAACGAGACATTGGCACCCTCCATGGAGAAGCTCTTGGACAAGGACAGACTGCCTCTTCTATTAAGTCTTAGCTTGGTGATGCTCGATAAACCAAGGTGCTTCCAGGCTCAATACATCTCAATACTCAAGTCTTTAAGCACCCGTGCCACAGCGGCCTCGAAGACAAGGGGGCTGCAAACCCTTCTCGAGATTCCAAACAAACGTGACAAGCAGCAGTTGATCCTCGCCATTGGCTGCCCGGCCTATGACTGCTCGAACCCAGCTCGGAAGATAATTCCGAAGCCGTTTCAGTCTCACAGAGACCCACATCTTCATCCTTGGTTATCAAAGTGACCCCTGCTGCTCTGCCGCATTCAAGACTTCGTGAGGCTTCACATTCAGGCGTCGCAACGGACAGAGTGCGAGGCAAGAACTCCAAATGCGCTCAAGGGAAAAAGCAGCACGACGAAGCAGAAGCAAGGGCACTTGCGGGATCGTCAATGGAATCTGAGGGCAAAGGGTCAAATATCTCAAACTCTGATCTGTCCTGCTTGCCTTGGAATAGCATGCAGCGTATGCTTGAGCCGCGATGGCACCCAAATCGAGTGAAGGAGGAGTATCATCAGGCAGCTGAGGAGCTGAACTTCTGCAATGAACCTCGGCCGTACTGCAGAACCAGGCAGGACCCTGTGCGCGCACTGGCATCGCTGAAAACGGTCTCTTCTGCCATGATGCCATGAGGGGAAAGTACATGCAATGCCTCTCACATGCCGAGCAAGTGACAACTGGTCAATCTGGATGATAGTGTCCTGGCTGGGGCAACACCAAGGGCCGGTGGAGAAGTCCAGGCCCCCTAACACAAGGTTAGCACCATGTAGAACATCACTGTCAATTCCGTGATGTACTGCGACACAACCAGTAAAGGATACCTTTCCTTAATCACTTCAGGCCCGCATTCTTGCTATAAACGTGATTCATGATTACAACAAGATCAAAAAAGCCTCAATGAAACCCCGTATGATACCCAGTAGTGGCTGTAGCTCGAATAGTAGCAGCACCTAACCCAGACCCTTTGGCAGGTGTGTAGACCAGCATTGCAACCTTCTCTCGGGAAGGCCTTACCAGGATGTGGTGTGCCGCGAACTCTTGTGAGGTTCCATCAGTACCCTACGGCCGTTCATGATAATTTCCGCATACAGTGTGTAGTCTGGGCGACGAGCTGCCTGACACCATACCCGGCCTACCCAATCCATGGAACAAAAACACACCGCCGCGAAACAGACTACACTGTCTACAGGGTCAATGGCCCGCCAATGCAAGGCAAGAGTCTCTTGGAATTTTTGCAGGATCCTTTCCTTCGAACATCATCGCTGCCTCCCAGAGTTCACACTGCAGAGGAGCCGAGTGCTTGGACGATGCCCCATCACTGCGACTGCGCGTGTCCTACCTCCCCGCTCTGGAACAGAATGCGCGGTGACTCCACGGCTCTGCGTAGGAAGTCCGCTGCCAATGCCCGCCGGCTTCATCCCGCTCGGCCAACCAAGGACTGTTGGCAATGATTTTCAATCACTTTCCTCCCTGCCTTCTCCCGTACCGCTGCGACGTGTTTTCTCTCGAAGCCGGCCTCGAAACGTTCTGCGCTGGTGCAAACTATTCGCTGACGTTCACCGTATGCTGTGCAAATCCCTGCTGCTGCTAAGCACACACTGCGAGTGATCTCTCTTGGCAGGCATTCTCTCCTCTTGTGCTAGCTACCATGATTCCAGCAGTCGCGTCAGCGCTTCGTTTATGTTTGAGTGGGTCGCAGCTTTGTTACTCTGGTAGTGGTCAGCGGTCGTTGTAGCAGCACTTTTGGCCGTGCGTACCATCGCCGTGGTGACGGTGGCAGAGGAGGTAGCGATGGTTGTTGCTGAGCTGGTGGAGCGCGTGGAACACAGGATAGTCCGGCAGTGGTGGCAGCAATATCAGTAGTAGAAGTAGAAGTAGCGGTAGTAGTAGTAGTAGTAGTAGTAGTAGTAGTAGTAGTAGTAGTAGTAGTAGTAGTAGTAGTAGTAGTAGTAGTAGTAGTAGTAGTCGTAGTAGTAGTAGTAGTAGGCACGCCCCCCCCCCCCTACCAACTACACTTGCTCTCAACCATGTTAAGACAACATCCATTTTACTCGGTATTTACGGCACTTTCGTCATGTGCGATCATCCTAAGAGGCCTAAAAATCGACTTGTCGAGTTTGCAAACTCGGGCTCTTGATTTTGGACTTGCTTCTGGGGGTGGGTGGGGGGGTGGGGGGGGGGGATGATGACGACAGTGTTACGCGAACACACCCAGCAGTATCACCACAAGAGCCGTTTAACTCGGTATTTACGGTACTTTCGTGATGTCAGACTTTGTTACATATTCTGAGCCCCTACTTCTCGACTATGCGTATTAAACTTTGCTGTTTGGAACTGTTTGCAAAAAAACTCGAAATTGGGTGGGGGAAAGCTTCTTCGGGGATGATCACGACACTGTTTTGCGGACACCCTGAACAATATTTCCACACTCAAGCGCGCACACACCACACACACCAATTCAAAAACAGACCCTCCTACGCAGACGTTGGGCGGTAGGGGTGTTGGCGAGCCCCCTCCCACGTACAGCTGGCATCTTTGTTTTTGATGTTTAGAAGATGTTGCGCTTCAGGTTTTAGAAATGTTAAACCCTTCTTGGCAGCACCTGGGTTTTGCACGGTATTTACAGCGTTTTCGTACTATCCGACCACCTGGAGTTTATCAGTTTCTTCCCCGTCGAGCTTGCAACTCCAGCTGCTGTCGCAGTTTTGGGGCCTGAGCCCCTGCAACTTCACTGGCTGTGACAGTTAAGGAAACTGAGCCTCTGCAACTTCTGCAGCTGTCACATATAAGGAGCCTGAGCCCGTGCATCTTCTGCAACTATCGCAGTTAAGGCGCCTAGCAGCTACCGCTGCCCAGCCCGGATGGAACGAGTGTAGTTGGGAGGGGGGGGGGTGGCTAGTAGTAGTAGTAGTAGTAGTAGTAGTAGTAGTAGTAGTAGTAGTAGTAGTAGTAGTAGTAGTAGTAGTAGTAGTAGTAGTAGTAGTAGTAGTAGTAGTAGTAGTAGTAGTAAGTAGTAAGTAGTAAGTAGTAAGTAGTAAGTAGTAAGTAGTAAGTAGTAAGTTCTGGTGGTAGCTATAGCAGTAGTGGTACTGGTAGTAGTGATAGTAGTGGTAAGAGTGGTACTAGCGGTAGTGGTGACCGTGGCAGCAGCTGTTGCCGTCTTCGTCGAAGTGGTCGCAGTAGTGACTCAGTAGTTTTGTCGTGGTCGTGCCTCTTCGTACTCTGCCTACTCTGGCCTCCACTCCCGCATTTATTGTGCTGCAAAGACGACCCCACTGCTGACACCCGATGGCCGTGCTGGACATAAAGCTAAGGCGCCGCAGTCATGTTGGTGATGCTGGGCTGCAAGCGCTCCTCGCAAGTGTCAGCGGTCAATACACGCTTTTCAAGATCTGTAGTAAGCCTCAATGTTCCCATCGGAGCGTATGAGCTTGCACGATCTGACACGAAACTTCCAATTAGCAACCCACCTGTGGGCTGCCGATGGATTCGCTGCGTGTCTGGTGATGAACGGATTTGCAACTGTACTTGCTTCCGAAAAACATGTATCTGCAGGGTACATGCCAGATAAGCCTGGACATGTTGCGTGCGTGTGTTCATGACTTAACGATGTCTCTGTCAGGAAGTGGCCAAGGGAGCGCATGTTTGTGTGTGCGTGTGTGTATATGCGTACGCACATATACATATCTTACGAATACACATAATTAGCTACATATACATATACACATGAGCATAGAGGCTTGCCATGTATTTCGGGTTGTAAAGCAACTCACCCAATTGGGTACTAACTGCGTACACAATGTACAAATGAAAATACTTTTCAAATCTATTCGCCTGAACAAGCAAATCATGTGCATTGCCGTTGGCAATTAAACACTGTAAGCATCCATGAATCTATGCCTCCATGTCTTGCATATGCGAAGTCATGAGCAGTCTACTCTGGTTGCCGTGTGTTCTTGGTAGCCCAAGTGGTCCTGATCGCTCAAGTCGGACAGTCGACTTGAAGCTGCTTCTTGCAAACGCCCCCGGTACCCAAACTAGGCATCCTGAATCGCAGAATCCAGAAAACCTCAGCGCTCTGAACGTTTCGGGTTGACGAGGGGCCATGAAGTCACCCATGGCCGTAATGAGCGAATCGCTGATAGAGACCTGTGGAAGCCCGTTATCGAGCAATCATGATGGTTATCATCCTGGGAACTGAAGATCACCCCGAACATATTGATGGCAAAAACCATCACTTCACAAGCATCAGCAACATCCATATCGGCATAGTCATGTCCCATCAGCATGATGATCACCATCTGCGCTTTAAACAACACGACCGACAAAGCGGTCACTTTGCAGATCTCAGAATTAACATATAGCCCGCATAGTTGCGTAGTAAAGAAACATCACAAGTATGTGCAACTTGTGAAGCATTCAGGTATACCTGAATGTGAAACCTTATCACCAGGTCGGTCTGCGGGCAGACAGACGGGCACGCGGCCCCGGGCATATGACATGCATATGGCAATTTATGGCAATTTGCCTGCACATCTGACCTTTGCACCCACAGACATACCGACAGATGACCTAGCTCAGCAAAGGCCGAGCGGGGAAGCTCTCGGTTTGGTTCGAATCTTTCTCACAGCTGAAAAGCGTTGGGGCCCCCTTTGGCTTCGAAGCATCACCAGAACTGAGTATGTCAGGTTCTTGGGCACACTCGTGCGGCAAAGCTGTCTAATAGAGGTGATTGTGGCGGTTGCTGGCCTAAGATACTGCAGATGTACCCGTGTTGAAGTTGTTTTGCTCATCGCCGGAATCCCTCGGCGTCGCGACTCGAAGCTTTGGGGCCCTCATTGTCAACACTTGACCAATGACTCTTCATTGATACCATCTTCTCAGCCAAAGCCCTGATGACCGTTCCCTCAAGGGCTGCGCCTCCAGGTGATCGAGGCGTGCCACGAGTTTGCACCTGCTGCACAGAAACGGTGATGGCATGTGTGAGTGTTGGCAGCTGTAAGCCTTTGTCTTATTATCTACCAACACATGACGTGGCATGAGGCGACACACGACAAGTCAAAAAAACGAATACTCACCCGGTGAGATCCCAAGACTGCACCAAGGCAGAAGCAACAGTCTGGAAACATGTTACAGCAAGATTAGTGTCAAATGTACGATTTCTGTCGGCCGGAACCGCCTCCCCACTGCATGTTCTCATTCGGCTCCCCTACCATAAACCAGCAAAGGGACAGGTGGATGTCGGAGGAGGAACTCTGCCCACGTTCCACATGTAGTTGTAGTACGGGCCGGACCTCAGTGTTGGACCCCATATAGTCTCAATCACTGCCAGGAATGTTCGCGGGCCTTATATCTGGCCAGGCTGAACCATGACTGCAATATCGCAAATGCTTCGGCTGAAGATCCGTTTGCAGCAGCAGCAATAGAAAAGGCAGCAGTAGTAATTCAGGAGTAGTAGCAGCAGTAGTAGCAGCAGCAGCAGGAGTAGTAGTAGTAGTAGTACTAGCTCTGCCCCTGTTTGACGCCGTGCTTTTTGAGCATTCACTTGCAGAAACACACGGCCGGGACGGCATTTCAGCATTCACACGTTGCTCTGAGCCCAGCGCCCTGAAACGTGTTTTTTTTTTGCTTCGGGGCTCCGTTGGATTTGCCCGGCGCATAGCCACTATGCGGCCATGCATGTAGCATTAGAGACTCAACGCCTAAGCGAAGCTGATTCAAGTTACAGTCGTACTGAAGCAAAGCCAGGTTTCTAGCGAGACATGTTTTGTTCCGGGTCGTTTACAAAACATGTTTAGCTTTCCTGTAAGGTTTGCGAACCACCTGCCTCTGCTATGCAGCAGCTTTTGGCGAACAAACGAGAGCGGCCGGCGGTGTTGCTGGCACCACCAAGCTTTTTCCTATGCATAGATTATCAGAGGCCTCCCCATGGATTCGTGCCAATGCCAAAGACATTCATTTTGCATTTGGACGTGCCAGACGATGACGAAGTTTTCAAGAGCTTGGACTGGCTGGGAACCGGCTAAGTCGCCGGGGAGCGGAGAAGGAGAGCAATGCGGATGAGTACAATGATGATATTGTGCATCACTGTGATGATGATGTTGATGATGATGAATATGATGATTTCGAGTGTTACTGTTGTTAGGACGATGATGCGTATGATGATGTTGTGCATGTTGCTTTGATGATGATGATGATGATGATGATGAGTATGGTGATGTTGTGTATCACTGTGGTGATGATGTTGATGGTGATGATGAGTATGATGATTTTGAGTGTTACTGTTATGATGATGATGATGATGATGAGTATAATGATCGTGAGTGCTACTGTTATGATGATGATGATGATGATGTTGTTGATGAGTATGATGATATTGTTGAACATGCTCGCGAGTAGCCCGCCCCCCACCCCAGGTCAATGACGATGTTGATGAGTATGATGATGTAAGACAGGTGTTATGACTGTATTTTAGGTCGTTGAGGCGCTCGGGTCTGCATGGTCCTTCTTTAAAGAGATAAAGACGTATAAACACGGAAATACTGTAAGCCCTGCAAGGCAGACATGCGGCGAGCTGCTTTGGGCGCCTGGAGTGGGCGAACTAGTTGTGCCAGGTGGCGAGGTGATGACCGGAGACCCCTGCGTTCCCAAGGATCACAGCATGCTGGTCCTTGCAAGAAGACTCAGGGCTCGGAGCTAAACCCTGAAGATGCCTTGCGACGTACTTCAGCCCTGTGGTCCGTCACTCCTTGTCCTCCGGCATCTGGTAATCCACTTGCCTGGGAGCAAGAGAAGAAATAACACGAAATACTGAGGGAAGAAGGAAGAGCGACGACAACCCACAGTGACAACAACAGTGACATGGCTTTAGATATTGTGCTCATAGTGTACTTATGATGCTCTGTTTCCTGCTTACGCCGGGAACAGTGGCTGCATGCCTTTCGAAGCGGTTTGGCAGGCTTGTACCATGCTGCACCCTTCAGGTAGCCCCGAGTCCGGAGCGAGAAGCGAGTATAGCGAGTCTGTCGAATGCAACGGGACCGGAGGACTCCGGCAACCAGCCGGTGTTATGCTGCCGTAGTAAGCCAAGTCGCACATCACCAAGCGAGATGTTGAGGGTCTGCGTGTCCTCCTTTGGATTCATGACAGCTGAGATGGACCTTGCAGGACAAGCACATGCCGGTGTGCAACGAAAAGGCCTCTCCGCTTAACGTTTCTCACAGAAGGTGGCACATCCTCGCAGAAACCGCCCCTCACCAACTTATCACGTGCTACACCCAAGTAGTTCCCAGCATGTTGGAGCCCTTGCGCCCAGTCTCCGGCCAGAGCGCGAAAGAACTGGTTTGGCAAGACTCTCACATGAAAGATCTCAGCCCCATCTGCAGGAAAACGCGGAAAACATCATATATGCGGTCTTCACACAACAGAGGCTTGTTGATAAAGGCCCTCTGCATGCGAGGTGCAGCATCGCCATTTCCATGTAGACCAGCTCGGCGCACGTGACCCTGCAAGGAAGTGGGGCATACTTTCCGTCGCAGTACTGGGCCAGGCGGGGGACATACTATCCAACTTGCACTCAAAATTGCCATTCGAGAAGCCTTGGAGCGCTAGTGCCGCTAGTTAGCACCAAGAACTCTTAGGCTGTCAGTCTCCCTTGCGGCCTGCAGGTTATCTCCTGCCACAGGCGGGCTCGATTTCTGAATTTTGCAACATAGACACAGAGTCGCAGCACTCTAATTTACAGGGCCCTGAAGCAACCGAAAAGGTGTTGTGGGCAAAGAAGTAGCACTAGTCGCTGTCTTTTTAGCAATGGTAATAAACAGTGCCCCGAAGTCAGAAATCGTTCTAGAAAACAAATTGTCGGACCAGGCCCTGATGGAGCATGGCTTACCGGGGGATTCCAGCACACGCATCGCAAACTTCAAAACCTCGCCCTTGAAGCTACAGTCAGTCGGTCTCAAAGTTTGAAGAGCCACGTAAAGCCTCAACCCTTACTGAACCACCCCCTCCCGAACTCAAAACCAAATGCAACTGAATACAGTGCTCAGTACGCGTATTGACGCACAGAATATAGTAACAGCACCACAGTCCAAGCCTGCTCTGCACCCGGCCGACCAATGACACGCCAATCCGCGGCAGAATCACATCCAGCACAGTTTTCGCCGTACTCTCCCTTGCGGTGAGCGGCTTGGGTGGTCGGGTCTGACTCACTGACCTAGTGTACTTACTTCCGACCCCGAGTGCACGTTAGGGCCTCACGCACACACTAGATGGTTGAGAGTTGAAAGCATTGTTCCTTTGTTTTGCGCAGTGGTCTGGAAATTATCTGATCGCAGTTCGGGCGTTGACTCTGGCCGTGCATAGAGTGGGACTGACGAGACTCTAGGCATGTTCTATAGTGGAAAAGTCTACCCAGATCTTGGCTTGTGCTGTAGCACTTTCAAGAACCGAGCCACGTCTCACTGCGCATCCTCACTTCCAAGTTCGTATGGTCTTTGTCGAAAGTGCCTTTGCGCGCTGCGGCCGTCCGCTCAAAGGGCTGCACAGCTATTGCAGATCAAGCAGAAGGCACAAACAGCCGTCAAACTCTCACCACGGGCCTGTCATTCTGGGATTTGTAACTGCAATGAGCCATGTCCATTGCTGAGATTTGCGACCAGCACATGTACCGTACCACGACGACTACTGCTACTACTACTACTACTGCGGCTACTGTGACTACAAAAAGAATAATCACAGTTATAGTGATTCCAAAAAATCATACAGTCGTCTAGCAGTTACTAGCCTCGCAATAGACAATTCTGACTCCCTACTGTAAGCAACCCTAAGCCTCCGAGTCGCTGTAAAGCTCCAGCCCACCGCGGAGCTTCTTTCGGTAAGCTGTTCGAGGATCCACCTGAAGAGGAACATGCACGTGTAGGGCTTGATGAGTGTGGGGGGGGGGGGGCAGACGCACGGTGCTCCTACGACGGTTGCTACTTTAGGTAGCGACGATGCTTCGCATGCTGTGTGTAAGTTGCTGTCTATTGAGTCTATTGCTTGCTTAGTTGTCCCTGTTTAATCCTCGTGCGGTTAGTGCTCTTTGTCTTCGAATCCTGCATTTTTCTTGCGTTATTGGCACATCATGGATCCCTCCGCAGGCGGACGGGAGCATGGTCGGAACAGGAGATTCCAATCGTGCAACTCTCTGCTTTCAAGAGGGCAGGAGTAAAAGAGCGTCCTTGCCAAAGATCCCTCGACATTGCATCTGCAAACACACATGTTGCACTCTGTTCGGACTCTTCTGCCAACTGCAACCATGCGATCTGTTTGACCTCAGCATACGTACATCGTGGATGCGGGAGGCAGAAAGATGCTCGAGAAGAGATCGAGCTGACAAAATCGGCAGCCTACGTCCGCTGCGCCTTGGGCACAAAAAAGCATGGACAAAATAACGGACTCGTTGTCATTTACCTAGGTCTTGCCGGACGGCTCACTGAGCTAGTGGCAATTTAACTTCTACCCCGCGAAACATTCCAAACCCGAAATACGGCACAATCAAGGTCAAGTTTGGACTTCAATCAAAAGCAGCCAGTGGCATTTCCGTGCAGGTCTAGGCTGGAAATGAAGACTAGTTCGGTAGTGCGCCAATCTATCATGCAAAACTGTTGTGGCTGGGTTCAATGTTGAAGTTGCCAGTCGCCGCACCTTGAAGTCATCGTCCCCGATAACCAATTCTACCTCAAGCGAGTCTCGCGTGATTCTGAGACTTGATCTCACAACTATGGCAGTTGGGTCCGCGCGCCTGCCAAACTGATGCCGTGAGCGAGACAGACTTGCCATGCACAAGTCTTGTAAACTATAGGGCTTTAGCCGACTCCCAATGCCCGCATGTAGCATATAAAACAAGTAAAGGCCCAAGACTGCCAACAACTGAGGATGTCACTTCGAGCTCCTTGTCCTTATCAAACGGATCCTGCGAGAAAATGTCAACAGTAGTGGTAATGCAAGTGTCTTGAAGACTTAAGCGGTTCCGATCGTGAGCAAGCGCAAGTGTATCTACGTCCATGGAGCCCGTCCCAAGCCCAGAATGACTCCGGTCACGGGACATCACAACCGTCTATCCAACTGCATCCTGCCAAAGCTGCCATTGAGAATCCCTGCATCAAGGGTCCAGCCAAGCGAAGAAACAAGCTTCGCCAGGGTGGGCGCGGAAGATCATGTTGCGCACGTGAATCTCGCAAACTTGACGAGGAATGCTGTTCGAGAGTCGGAACATGCCTCGGATTTGGTAGCTTGGGATGCCTTCTACCTGCAATCGATTTTCGATCGGGACTGTAGCGATCTTCGCAGTACTGCAGTAGAACAGCAGGAAAAGGTGTGATGTTGGCATCACCGAGATTCTGCCCTCCCGGACGATGAAGTACATGACACCATGGTCTGACCGGATCTCCACGATGTAACACTCTTCTCCAAGCAAGATGCTATAGCAGCCTCGAGATGGCAACCGAAGTCTATCATCCATGGTCTATGAAACCACTAGGAAGCACCAGTGCTCGTGCCCACGCGACTTTAAGAGGACTGCCTCCCTACAACTGCAAAGCTTAAGCTCGCCCGAGAAGAAGCTAGATGCAAGGCAGCTTCCTGCCCAACTCCCACACAGATGTGCCTGCGGAGTTCTCCGTTACAGGAATCTCTGAGGACCAGGTCGATGTCCTGGCACAGCAGTGCTTGCACTCGGAAGGAAAAGCATGTCCACCTGAGACACTCTCCGAATCTCTCCCTCACTCCCTCGCTCACTCACTCTTTCATTCTGCAGGACTAGCGGGGAGGTCTTCCCCCTCCTGCGCGAGTGCGCAGCCCATCTTGGAGTGGAGAGACCACGGGACATGGCAAGATCATAACGAGTCTTGCCAAGGAAGAAGAGGAGCAGACAACACCATCATGTCCATAGCTCCGTAACAGGTGCAACCAACTACTCAACCGTTGCAAAGGTATTCGGGCACAGGCAGACGGCAATCTCCGAGGTCCTTTCTCTGACGCGGAACTGCAGGCTTTCCACCGTGAACCGAGGCATGATGGTCTTGCAAGCATCCACAATGACCTGAGACTCCCAGCCAAGGCTAACGAGCGTATGCCGGCACAAGTTCTCAGTACCACTCGTCTAGCTGCCTAGCTACCGAACCTCGCAGCTTCCGTGGCCTGGAAACCTGAAGCTATGCTCAGAACTTGTTCACTCCTGACATAATTGGTTTGATGGGTGGTTTGACGGCATAGCCCTCGCCGGTGAACACGTTGCTTTCGGGTCCTCGAGGCACGCCTTGAAAGGGAAGCACCGGCTAACCGCGTGTGGCTGCCGTATTGGTGTGAACTCACAGAAGGCCAGCGAAGGCCAGCTGATTTTCAGCCCTCAGATGAATTCCCTCGTTCCGGTTCTGCGAGGGATATGAAACCTGTAATCTTCACATCTGGCAAGCTGGGTCCCCTGCGTCGAAGGTGCCGGCCCTGAGACACAGGGCAACATTCCAGGTCAGGCAGCCGAATCACTTCAACGCTTGGTCAAGCAGAGGAGTCGGCGTGAGCACGGCTGTCTCCACCATGCAAGTGGCATGCAAGCTACACACAAGCTACCACTGCCGCGTAGACCCCTTGCATGCGATGTGAGCACAGAGGATCCGGCCTGAACTCCACCTCGAAGGGCAACTCGTTCACCACCACGTAACGCGGCAGCAGCTCGAGAACTCGGACCAAGTTGTCCTCAAAGCGTTCTGGCTTGAAACTTCATTAGATTCTCGCACTAGGATGGAAAGATCATGTCTCTTGAAGTCCTTATGGGAGGTCTCTGTGCGCAGTAGAATACACGAGGAAATGTTCAGTGACTAAGCGCTGCTGCGACCGCGGGCCTCCTGCCCTTCAAGCGCTGTCGAACGAATGCACATCATTCGCCCTGTCGGCCTTGGAGTTGTGGAGCATGGCGACGCTGAATCATCACGGCTGAAATTCAATGTGTGTCGGCACATCTCCGAAAGGAATGCATCCAAGCGACGCAGATGTCACGGTCCAGTCTGCAAGGCCTGCTACAAGTATCCCAGCACAGAATGGATTCTGCACCTACAACAAGTGTTGGGCAAAATGTTGAAGTACTTCTTTATTCGAACAACGCGCCTGCCGGAAGTGTGAAATTTGGGCCAAACTTGCCGTCCCGCTCCAAGCAGTACTTCGTTCCCTGTCAGAGTACTTTCTCAAACACGAAAGCATGTGGAAATGAATACTGGGGGGTCTACTACTCCTGGATAGATCGTGAGGCCAAGTCCATCCAAGTCCCCACCCCCGGGCGACGGCGGAAAAAAAATCTGAGCTTCCAGCAAGTGATCCACACAAGTGGAGGCCCTCTCCAGCATCCACCAAAGGCTTCTTCTCAGCCGTGACACTCATATCCAAGTGACACCTGCAACAGTCAGTCGCCAAAACTGCAGTCACCACCACCGTCCGTTGACACTTTGCAGCATGGCCCCGACTCTAATGGGGCATCATCATGACGCGTCTAGTCACGGCCTGTCAATCAGCCACGTCTGGCAGCACAACATCACCTTGCGGGCACTTACGTCTCGTTTAGAGGTTTGTTGATCAAGGTCACGCAACTGACACCCGTGTGGCTGTGCCACAGTGTCACAGGAATTGACCGTCATTTAGTGCGTGCACACATCAAAGCATACAATAATTTTCAAGCCTCCGATCTAGATGGGCCCTTTCCGGAGTCCGAAGCAAAGAGCAAACTTGCAGAATGGGCCTTGCCATTGCCCTTATCCAGGATGGACATCGTGAAGTCCGCGTGATGCTCGGACTCCACCGTCATCTCTCCCTCGAGGCGGCTCAGGAGCCGATCCTCTTCCCCGATGTCCTCCCGCACTCCAGGCGCTTAGCTAAGCAGGCGAAAACAACCACAAAATGCCCCCAGGTTCGATCACTACCGTGACCGTTGTGTGTGTGAGAGAGAGAGAGAGCAAAACGTTTTAAGGCTCTGGTGTGATGATGGCAGGTTGCGGGTTGTATGTACTTGGCGAGGTGGCCCGCTAATGTTGAGCTGCAACATTCCCTCCCATAGCCTTACATAACGTATACCGTAGGTATGAGCAATGGCCATAATGCACAGCCACGGGTCTATTAGTGCAGGCATAGGCAGAACAGTTGCCCTGGCCTCATCCTCGAGAAGCAGTTCTGCCCAGGTCGACCATTCACCATGTGGCACCAGACGGGCTCGGATGTACACCGTACCGGGGAAATCCACGTCATAAATGGGCATGGTTCCTGGCCGGCTGTGTCCTTCTTGCTATCTTTCCCCGGGCCTGGATTCAGCAGATTTGGGGGCAAAACGCTCGGCACGAGTTTGTGGAAGTCGTTTAAATCCTGGTACACTTCCGGCCCCTACAGCACAGTGCCGCGTCTATCGTGAAGGCCACACATCTGCTCCCCAGCCAGTCGCCAGTGTTGACGGCACAGCCAAGCACTCCAGTCTCACAACATGGCCCTCCGAACACCTCCTGACAACTTTCAGCCTCGCCCTTACAACTACAGTATCAATGGACACGACCAAGCCTGTCGCCTGATTCAACTTGTCGATGCTGAACTCCGAAGTCCCGAAGCGTCCAAAGTGACAGAGACTGGGAACAAGGTCCTGTCTGCTCAAGGAGTCGCGTGATCGACTCGTGCTTCTCGTCTGTCTTCTCCCAAGGCGACTGGAGCGCATAAGAGACTTCCACATCACCTGAGGACATTGCAATGCGGATTTCAGAGCCTAGTATGGCTTTGGGAATGTCGGGCCTCGAATATGCACTCACATGACTATTTGATGCAGTGCCGAATGTCGGGCTACTCGGAGCCAGCGCATGCAGAGCATAATGGGGCAATCCCCGAGTGTGGCTCCTACAAGTAAAACAGTGAGCTTGGCCTCCCTGCAAATGCACCTTGAACACCCTGACCATGGTTCGCGGCACCGCGTCGGATACCCCGGATGCCGGCAAGTCGCAGGGCATGCAAGACACCAGCTGCAGAGGGGGCAAGAGCCGCACATTGAGCATATTCCTTCGAGATTTCCGAAAATCTAGCTCGTTTCCCATGGGAGGGCTAATTAGACCCGACGGTGATCCCAACTTGCTTTCATTCTTGTGAACTTCGGCTTCGTGGATCTCCTTATCGTCGTTGGTGTGCTGCTCCTACCTGCATCAGTCTACCATCCTGAATGCTGGATCGTGTAATGTTTAGCCCTGCAGGGGCGAAAACAGCTCTTCTTTAGCATGTTTGTACATCTCATTCGTTGCTTGTTCTCGTCGTTTGTGCTGCAACTTTCGGAGCTGCTGGTATCACCCGCGCTTGCCTTGCTGTGATTCCGCTTCCAATTTCCACTCAAAGACAGCCTTGAGCCTCTCTGGGCCTTTCCCAATCTCTATCCGCACCATGATGATATATGATGATGGCCGTCTTCTTGCATGACAGCGTCCTATCAGTGGCAATGTTGTTGCGAGCTCCATTTTCATTGTTGCAGCCACCGTTGCCCATTTCCGACACTGCAAATTGGGTGTGACTCCCCATCATCAAGATTTTTCTTGCCACGCTGTCACCAAAGCAACTGCATCACCACAACCGTTTGCCCAATAGCTGTTCGGCTCATGCTACCACTGACTGTGCAATGTCATCGCACGACACATAGCTAATGACCATCGATGAAAGGGTTACGGTAGTGCCTGACCGAGGATCACTGCAGCTGGGGGGGCCGAGACTTCGTAGTCGCACACAGCCAGGACAGAAAATTTCTCGCTTTCGGACCTCGGCAATTCTGGCTTCTGGGGCTACATGCTTTTGGGCCGAGGTGAGCCGTGCAGGTCTCCAGAGTTCAGAGTACAGCAGGCATGTCTGTGCATCACATCAATGAGGCAAGTGAAAGCTTGCAGTTTGGGTATGCAAACAGCAGCGGCTGATACTACAGTATTAGCCAGAAACGCAAGGGCACTGCGTTTCTGCAAGCAGTATTCTTAGGAGCTCCAAGGAAGACTGAACGGCATGACAAGCACCAGAAAGCCGAAGCCCAAAACCCCAGACACTCGGCCACGAGCAGAGCCGATGAATTGCAGGCAGGGTGCCCGAGCTGGATGCTGGAGAACTTGCAAGCATGCCTGGCCAACAGTTTGGGCAGCCTGCCCTGTCCGCAGACTGGCCGTTCAAACCACATTTGTTCTGATCTGCAGCCCGAGGTCGGGAGCTACGTTAGGCCAGCACTGCCGAGATACCTGTATCCGGTCGGGATGCCCAGATCGAAAAGGACTGCTTCAAAGCCGAGTGGCGTCAACTTGGCCCTCTTCCACACGCTCGAACCCGAAGACAGGCGCATCTCCCAATTCATGTCCTCGCAACTTGCAAACGAAGTAACACGCTACAGATGCTACAGCGCAGGGGGAAGAAGGCGCGCGGCAAGTCACGACTGCTGACAGGAGCCGTGCACAAGGCCCAGCGCACAGGCCTCTTCCCTGAGCTCGTCTTCGTCCGAATCTTCCGACTCACTCTCCGGCTTCGTAGGCGGCTCCAGGGGTGCGCTCACGAAGCCGCGCGGCATCAGCCAGGAGGGAACAGCACCTGTCCGCTTCATGGGTACAGTGTACACGGCTTCCAAGACTGCTCAGATTGTACTTTGAAGCTGCCCCATTCAATCTTGCTTCGCGACAGTGCCCTGTTGCAGGTCGCCTAATCATGCAAGATGTCGTGGCGCCAGCAGTTGAGTTTAGCCATTTAGCCTCCTGACAAGCACCCATGGCGCACACCGCACGGGCCTGGGTGTGCAATTTCTTTCATCTGTTGATCACGATCTTGAAGCAGCTGATCGAACAGCAACTTCCTCTCAGCACAGCTCGTCCACAGCCTGGACGAGATGCTGCAAGAACCGTGCGGTGTCTGGACTACCAGATAGTAAGGCTGCCTCTGATTTTACGTGGCCAAGGAGCGCATGCTGACTGCCGAAGCGCAGCCCCAGATTAACTGTTGTGTCGTTGAAGATACGGACCGGCCTCGGTGTGCCGTGGTTTGGGACGTAGAATTATTCGTGCCTTACCGGAGCTGCCGCCGTCCCTCCGCTCGACCAGCTGCCTCAACCCTTGCCTTCCACTTAATCAGCAGGCGTGTGAGTGATAAGATCAAGAAAAGATATTGATTGCCCAAGGGTGCGCGAAGGCTGTCGATTGCGCTTTATTTTTTCGTCTTTGCATGACCATGGTCGAAGATTCTGTGACAACTTCGTCCAGGGAGCGTAGAGATCAGAATCAGGGCACCCTCCACGCTCGGTCGAAGCAGCTGAACCATGTACGGCGTGTTAGGGATCCTGTGTCAAACATGCTATAGAGAGCGGGGGAGGGGGAGAGACAGATGCACGACGATTAACGCTTGTAGTGCATCTCTGTGCATGCACAGATCGAAGCCTGCATGGAATTGTATGGTGAGTAAGTACGCGAGCAATTGAAAGGGAGCAAGAAAGGCTGCGTGTATGCCACTGGCAAGGGATTAAGTTGTCCGTGTTCGGGGATCGTCGACAAAATCTTGTTGTATATCATTCTCCACCAGCAAGACCAAACCGTAAAACTTCAAACTGAACTGTGGTAAGCTGGGCTTCGTCGCCCAATTCACACACCCCCCTCCCAGTGCCTCGCGGAATTGAGAAGACCAAGATCGACCGTCTGGGAAGGAGGCATAAGGGTTGGGAGGTTTAGGCAACTCAAGGTGCTCAAGGTGGAAAGCACGCTTTGACAACTCGAAACGGGCTGCCTGCTGTTGCACGCAGCCGGACTTTATCCGGGAGGAGTGTTGTAAGAGATGTCTTCGGCGGGCTGAAAACATTCGGTGATGGATGGACCGACATTGGGGCCTTCTGTGCCGGAGCTGCATACCGTGGTTCGCCCCATGGTTTAAGCACAACTGCTGTCTTCTTCTGAACAAGACCTGCGCAGACTCCTGTCTGCAAGGTCTGCATGGGTCATGACCTGCGATGCCTTCCTAGATCGAGTCAGTGTAGCCCTAAAAGAAGTGTCACTTTTTGTAGATACAACCCAACGGCTCTGCAGTTTGAACCCGTGGAATCAGAATCGAGTTGCGGCATGGCTTGCAGTCGCCGCATTCCTAAGGGCTGGCCCAGGAGCTGCGACCTCGGTCATGCAGGCCACAGAGCAGGAATGCTCAAGGCTACAGACTTTAGCTTGGGATCTGCTTCGCAGACCGGTGCACGCACGAGCTGCTTACTACCAAGCTTCCGGGGATGCAGTATCATTGCGTTTCATGACGAAGCACGCACTATCTGGACCTTGGAAAGGTGGGGCCCTTCAAATCTGCGAGCTCAAGAGCGGAGATGTGGATCAGCGGGGGAAATGCCACATCCAGATGGTCCAGCGATCTCCAGGCATCACCAGTAGGAGCCACATCCATGAAGGCCTCTCCAGCACAAGAATGCTCACCAAAGCTGCAGGAGCTCCTGTTCCATATACCGGCAGTCGATAGTATGATACGACGCTGGCGCATTATCTTTGCGGTGACTTCCAGGTTCATGGCATTCATATCAAACCCTGTATCCGAAGCAGGGCAGGACCAAGCATCTCGAACGAAGCCGACATCAAAAGCATTGGCTTGACGGCCACGGCACCACAGCTCAAGCGACACGTGTGCTTTGCAAATCTCTGATTCTGCCAAGCGTCCACCTCGCCACTCGCCAGCCTCATCCGCAGCCTGAGCTCCGTGGCTTCTTATTTGCTATGCCTCCCGTTGGAAACTTCCCACCCGCGAAGTGCTAGCCTCTGCAACCCCTTGGGCATCCAAACTGCAGAAAATCAAGCTCCCTAAAATGAACTAATACAGTAATTCCATGAAATTCCCTCAAAGCCCTATATTCCCTAGATCTCCTGGCCTCATCTTCACGTGTGTCAAGTTCAGCAAGGCGTAGCGCACTGGAGTCGGTCCAGGGTTCTCGGGCATGGGAACCAGAGAGTCAGCCAAACCTTGGTTTTGAGTTTAAGCAGCGATCCAAAGAGTGATGAGCTTAAGACTTCTCGGGTGTTTACGGGTCCTACCAGCTCTTGCACTGTTCCTTCATGTTGGTGCTTTTGTCCACTACTCTGCAGGTCTTGGTGGCATGGAAGCCTGTTCCCTGCAAGTCTGCCATATGAGCACAGTGTACACCGTACATCTATGATGGGCCTCGCACGAAACACCAACATCAGTGCATGCACCGGCATCGTCGTTTAAGGCAAGCATGCTTGCCTCAATCTACCGTCACTATGTTTCTGCTTTGTACCAACGCATATCCAGTTGCCAGAACTACGCTTGCAAGACTGGCTGGGACCACTTGCGACTTTCGCAGCCATTGATGCTGCTGTTGGTTGTGGTTGTGGTTGTGGTTGTGGTTGTGGTGGTGGTGGTTGTGGTGGTGGTGGTGGTGGTGGTGGTGGTGGTGGTGGTGGTGGTGGTGGTGGTGGTGGTGGTGGTGGTGGTGGTGGTGCTGGTGGTGGTGGTGCTGGTGGTGGTGGTGCTGGCGGTGGTGGTTGGTGGTGGTGGTGGTGCTGCTGCTGCTGGTGCTGGTGCTGGTGCTGTTGCTGCTGCAGTTAGTCGGTTAGTCTTGTTCTTATTGTCGTCCTTGTCGTTGAGTCGTCGTCGTCGACAACATCGTAGGTTGAGACACACTTTTGTCTCTCCCATTCACACTGGGTCACTATAGTTCAAACAGTTCAGAAAGGCATCTCACAGTCAAGGCGCGTTTGCCGTACCACGTGAGCCGACGCAGGAATACTGGGTTGACATTGACCAGCAGGGGCTTCCGTCCGATTAAATGAACGTGCAGACCTCGGCACGCAAAGGCAGTTGCAGAGCCCATGTGCCACTGAAACTCACGGAAATCGCGATGTAACCCCAACCTCACGTCCCGTTCATCCGAGGCAAAACTTCAATCTCGTACATACTACTCCACCCAGATCTCGGCCTGTCAGTTCTTCTTTTGTGACTTGGCAAGCCAATTCGAAGGACTCGAGCGCAGGCTCGAATCGTCCCACCTCGCAGGAAAGGAAAGGACGAAGTTCCAATTTCTCTGCTTTGATCTCCGCTCAGATCTGCTATTGACACACGACTACCAGAAAGTATTGCTGCGCAAACGCAAATTAGGGTGCCTCCATCGAGACATTCCTTGTTGTAAGCGGTGCATTCAGGCGTGCACGCCAGCCCCTTTGTCATGTGCAGCTGGCTCTGCCGGCTGAGTCCTACGTACAGTATTAGTAGTACACACTAGACTCTGCTGCAACTGACAGACAGAGCAGCAAACTAATTAAGCCAAAGAACAGATACACACACGCACACATGGAACACACACACACACACACAGACACACACACGGGCGGGAGTCAGCAGTCACACGAAGCGATGGAACAACACTAAGTAGCACGTAGAACTGATCATGCTAGTACCTTTTGGTCTAACGCGGAAACCTCCATGTTGTAGCCATCCACGCTCAGGCGGAGCATTTGTTTGCGCTTCTGGCAGTTCTGGCCCAGGCCTTCGCCGGCTTCGAGTTGGGGGTTGTGTGGTGGGGTTTCGGGCATGGGGTTCTCCGGAAAGGCTAATTGCGCCTTAATTAGATGCTTGGCACAGTTTAGGGTAAGGCTTCGGGGTGGGAAGAACGTCCCAGAAACTTCAATGCGCTTCTGGAAAATGCATCCAAGAGTCTGGGCCATAAGAAAGAGTCTGAAGTCTGGCAATAGTCTTAGACTTGTTTCTGATCGGGCCCGCAGCTGTTGGCTACCTTCTGCTCCGAGACCACGCTTAAAAATCCCTTTCAGCAGACGCGCTAGCAAACAATGTCTTGGCCAAAGTGTCATCAGCAGTCCATCGGCTGTGAACCCTGGCCCTGGCCTGCAGGGTCATCGCCATCCGCCATCACTGAGGTCTCTAAGGGTACGGTCACCTCCGGCGACGGCGATCCGAAGGCTTGCAGATGCTTGCAGTCTTCACGCACTCGGGAGCCAAGCCAGCACCTTGTCGTCCTCCATTCGCACTTCCACTGCTTGCAGGCAACCGTTCAGACCTCAGCACGTGAGGAAAGCTCTCAGCTGCGTCGTTGGCACGGTTGCGACCTTTCGAACCTTGAAGCTGTTGCACAAGGTGACGGGTGCAAGTGTCGGATTTGCAACAGACAGACATGTCAGGACATGCCAGGAATCATTTGGGACTGACCAACGTGAGAGATGAGATATATCTTCGTCACAGTCCCAAAGTCCCGGCTGAACTAGGGAGAGCGCGAAGCACAGGCGCATTTGGGTCTGCGTCACTTCGGAGTTCGACCTCAACGTGCCTTGGCTGTGCCGAGTCTTGTTTACAACACCCAGCGAAATGGGGCTTGGTCGTTCGCACAGCAGCATGGGTACCTTCACCGGCTTCATGAAGTCAACACAGGGAGTCTTGTCGGTACAAGATGGAACATTGCCTGTCCGCAATGCAGTTGTATATTAGATGTGCCCATTTACCTTAATGTCCGTGTCGCACGTCTTCACCACTTAAGGCCACATGAAAAGGGTTGAAGTTCGTTTAGGGCAAATGCCTTCTTCAAGCTAGAGCCTCTCCGCAGAATGCTGTTGATGGCCAGGTGCTCCATGTCCAGAACGAACTGCCAGGTCTGCTTCGGTGTTGCCTTCGCCTGTGCAAACAGGAGCGACTCGCTTGTGATCCGCGCCAGTTCCGTACCTAAACACTTCTGCCGCCACATACGACCGAACATCCGCCTGCAGCTCAGGGTGATTGCAAGTGGATTGGAGCCCACGGGGTGGACCGGATTCTGAGAGTCCTTTGTAGCCTTTGAAAGGGGTTTATGGCCGCTTGACTTGATGTCGAAGCTCACTCGGGCTATGCAACTACCCGACATGTCGGCTCGGGTTATCCGGCGAATGTCGCATCGATACCAGCTCACAGGCATCCTGAAGCGGTGAAGGGATCGATTCTGCCCACGTGGAATATGTCTTTGCTCGGAAACACGTGAATCTCAGTATGCCAACGCCGCATTGAACAACAAATGAAAATTCGCTCTACAGTAATAAGTCACTGGCAGGGAACAGATAGGAACGCAAGAACACCGAGAACAACCGTCAATGCCGGTAACCGGTACTGTAAACTCAACTGACAAGTGCAAACGTGAATTGAACTCGACATCTGAAAAGCAACCTCGGTCTTTTCTTTCAACTTCTTGATCGACTGCTGGGACACCGCGACGGCGTTCTTCGCTGAGGCCCTGTGAGCAAAGCCACATGATGGCTGTTCTACGTTGGTATGCTGCCTGTGGATGGACAAGGTGTTCGGGGATGCTTTGGCTTTTTGTCTCGCACCTGGCGAGGTTCATTGAGAACAAAAACGGACGTGGGAACATGTGAGTAGCTGTCAATCCTGAATGTGCACGTGATTGACATCGTACGAAGGCTGAAAGAATTCCAGGGTCTTGTCCGGGTATGGAGTTATCGAGCCACATCTTGGACTTGTCCGAGAACAGGACATCAACACGCAAACGCACCACCTCCCGTTGATCCTGGCTGAGCCGCTACGTTTATGATAACTCTCAGGGCCATGGTAGCAATCGTACCAAGACAAGCAATATTAGCAATATTGTCGAGCAGGGTCTGCCTCGCACTAGGCCCTGCATCCTTTCAGCAGGTGACTCTTCTGTTGCTGCGCCTCCGATCATGCCTTGGACATACCCCTGTTCACAGAGCCAAGCCGAGTGGCTTGACAAGCTGCGCTTCTTGGAGAGTCGGCTTGACCTGCCAAAGAGATTATTGTTGGATTTCCGGTGAGAAAATGTCACAGAGTTCCGCACTTGCAAGGAACAAGCAGGCCAATGCTTTCACAAACCATGTCTCCTTGACTGGCGTTACATGCAAGGGTACGTATTCTTTCGCAACGACTGGCTTTACATGCAAGGGTACTTATATTCATTCGCAACATCTTTAATGTATGTAGACCCTACAATATGCTAGCACACAGGATGCTCCGCCTGCGTTGCTTCCTCATCGGCTTGCGTAGCCTGCACATGACAAGAGCAGGTGGCTGTCTGAAAGCATTGCACTCCGAGTCGTTCCGTCCATCGAAAACTCGTCGAAAGTCTTAGGGTGTACAGCACAAGGCAGCCTGCAGTGCGTCTGGATCGACTGGATCAGCCAGGGCATCCTGCAGCACCTCCAGATGGGAAGGATGAAGTTCAGGGGACCAGCTTGCTTTGTCGCGTCGGTTTCTGGCGAGGTATGGGGTCATCTCACAGCAACCTTTCTCCCACCTTTCTCTCCTAAGCTCGGACTGAGCTGCCACGCCAACCGACTAGCATTGCATGTGGCGCCACCAGACCATGTCACCAAAGTTTGCCAAAGGTTTGGAAGGATACCCGCCAGCAGTCGAATCCGACAATGCTTACGATTCTCCGCTACGGTTCCTGTTGCCCTGCGGCCACTACAAATATGTAACTATGCTCCACATGATGGCGGTGATGCTTTCCCTTGCCTCGCAAGGTCTGAGATAATCGTGTACAGTCTTAAACGAAGCTCAGTTGGAAGACCATTGTTTGCAGCTTCACCTTCCAGGAGGCTACAGCTTCCCAAAACTCGTCAATCACTGTTGTAGGTTTAACCTCTCATTCTTGGACGAGTCCGCCAAAGTTCAGACTCTCAGGTTGAGGTGTAAAGGTAACAGCTGATACCAGACCCGCCGGCCAAGATCATGATGCTTGGCGGACTATTGCAAATTAAACCACTGGGAGGTCACTATGCTCTTGAAACCAGGCGGACATATGCAGTCAGTGAACTGGACATGTCTGCCACTGCCGGCCTTCGGCACGGTGGCCAGGATCTGCAGCATTACCTCGAGCTCGGGGGAACTTCCCCCAAAAGAGCACCTCCTCAAGAACCCTGAATCCTTGACATAATCTGCAGCAAATCTGCCGAAGATCTGGGCCGGGCTTCTGCACTAAAAGCCCAGCTCCTCCCCGTCCGAAACCACCGAAAGTGTCATGAGCTCAGTGCTCAGCCCAGCGACAGGAGAGGCATTGATCTTCACCGGGCCCAAAAGGACGCAGACTTGCGCTACCTTCGGCGAGTAGAACAACGTCGTAGAAAGCATCACAGGCCTCAGGTGTTGAACGCAAAGAGGCTGCGTCAGATGAATGCGACCGTCCGAATCTTTTCTCCGCTCGACGGAATAGCTGCAGTTCGCGGGGCCACGCGATTTTCGGTGACGGTTTCGACCTGTATGTCCAACAGCCACACGATGCCTGTGGACTCAATCTCATTGTATTGTTTGGGCTTGCCGTTTTAGGTCTTACGTCCGCTCATGATGTACTTTTGCCGTTTTTTGTAGACTTCATACTCTTGCGCGATGCGTTTTCGAGTCTTTCATCAAGACTGACGTCAGTATGTCGCACGCTGTAGCATAGCAAAGTGGGTGCTGCTACATGGGACATTCATGTGGGGTCGCTCAATCCAGCTTATGTAGAGCCAAGCTACGAGAGGAGGACATGCTCCGACCCGGATCGATTTCGGACAGACCTTGGCTCTGAAGGCCAAAACGCCGTGCTTTGCCTAGGCCTTGGCACCCTCTCCGTGCAATCACAGCCCGCGGGGCATGTACCTCTGCCATGTTTGGCTCGTCTTCCAGGAAAGGGTTCGGGCAAGCAAGGTGCCGAAGATCGTTTTCGAATGGCCATCGCATGCAACCCGGAAGAGAAGACCGATGACAGAAACATCAGAAGTGCAATACAAATAAGCAGGTGGCAGCTGAGTGTTTTGTAAAGTCATCTCGATCTCAACCTTGTCCAGCTCGTCAATGTCGTGATCCTCGGAAGCTTCACCACATCACAATCTTCGGTTTTTTGGGCGGGCGCTCGCTTGTTTTGGATTGGCTTGTGTTGAGGCTGCTGGGCCTGAGCTGCAAGATCCGTCCATGCAACGAGATTGCCCCACGCCTGAGCCTCAATTTCAGCCCAGGGTCTTCGCTTGTGGTCTTCAGCTTCAGCGTGCCGAAAGAGACCTCCACTGACGCCTTCCATGGAGCTTCCGCGAAACACCCGAGCAAGCTTCCTAGCGTCTCTGCCTGAAGAACGGAACGAAGCCCGAGCAACGGCTTCGTCTGTCGAAGCTAGAGCCCTCGGGAGTCCGGGCACCTTCTCACGCACCTTGAAGTGCAGTCGCGGCGCGCACAGCTCCACATCCTGGGATGCCGATCGGTGGGCGGCATGTTGGTCAAGGTACACTCTCCGAGTGTCGAAGTGTGAGAGCTGCCCTTCGCTTCGCAGCACCAAAGAGAGAGAGGGGGAGGGAGCGAGGGAGGGAGGGAGACAGGTAAAGTACAAAGCCCAGGGTCCACCTCCAGGGCATTCGGAGTTCTCTCGCGAGCTTTGCTGAGCATCTCCTGCCCGGCCTCGCTCTCCATCCAGGCCTGTCTCCGTTTGCTGTAGAACTCTTGCGTGACGGCTAAATCGTGCAGCAGCTTTGTCTGCAAACCTGTGTTACAGCTGCGGTGCATTAACAAGCAGTTCAGTGCCTGCTGAAACTGCTACATTATGACACCGCCTTTGACTGTGGTGTGATGTTACATGTGCACTCTGGTCCTGTTTCACTGCAGAAATCAGAAATTGGTCGAGCGTTGCACCGTGATCTTCCATAATAGTCGAGCTATGCAGATTCTCGCATTTGCACATGTGGAACATCACCGCATTAGCGGCATGGGGAACGATTGAAGCAACCGTTCGCAAGCGACCACTGCGGAGTTTCGGCAAGATTCATATTTAGCCAGTTGCAGATTTCGGCAATGCGTCGGATCGAGCACTTTCCCCAAACTGCAGCGGAGCCTTCGCCTGCTCATAGCTCGAGCCATACGGGTCAGAGGGCGCAGCCGCAGAAGCCGTGTCTTTGAGAATGCCGCTCTTTGACTTGTTTCTGATGGCCACCCTTTGCAGTGCCAACTCCGAACCAGTGGGACTGTGGTCCTTAGTTGAATCTGAAGCTTGGCAGGTGCTTCCCTCGCTGCAATATTCTAAGAACTCAAAACCCACAGATCACCCATTATCGCACTCAAACAGCTCGGCACAACCATATGCCGGCCACCCCGCCAAGCGCTCGACTGCTGATGGCAAGCTTAGGTGCCACCCAGTCGCCAACATGAGGCATGCTCAACAACGCAGGAGTGCTGAAGTTCCAAGCAGGCTTAGTTACTCTTCGAAGCCGTCCAGGTATTGCAGAAACCGCACGCAAAACAGTAGCCAGCTATGACTTCCAGATCTTTTGAGCCATGCATCAGCAAACTTGGTCGGCTTTGTCTCTACTTTCAGGTCCACGGCAAGGTCCTGCTGTGTCTGTTTGATCTCGTACTGAAGCATCTTCAAGCTCTTCAGGAAGCTGTCCCTGAAGGTAAACCTCAGGTCTGGCGCCGATTTAAATTTAGGAATGTTGCATGTCTATCCTCTCTGGTTACCGATGCTATACTCAAAAAGGATCCCTACAGTGGCATTATGGGTTGCATTGCGCACCTTCGCAGGACGTTCAGCCCCGCAGCTAGGAGGGGACATCATGGTCACTGTCTGCAACAAGGCTACGCTGTGCTTCTGCAATGGCACCCTTATGCCCATCCGAATGCTGGATGAATGCCGTGCTTGGGTCACAAGGCGATTTCCGAGATTGATTTTTGTTCTTAAACACTTTCAGTGCTGCGGCTCTAGCAGAAGATAGCAGAAGATACGTGCTGGAACTGAGCTTGATTTTCAAGCTGTGGCTGTGGCTGAATCTAATTATGGCTGGCTACAAGCTGCAGCAAAGGCATTTCACACACCCTTAGTCACAGTCATTGTCGACCAAGCGGCTGGAGCGGCTGCATCTTGGACGTCAGCGACACAACCGTTCGCGTTGCTTCAATGCCTCTGCACAATCCGAAGATCATGGGCGTTTGTGAAACCGATGTTAAGTTCAGAACTCGCGAATGCAGTTCATGTATTAATATATTCAGGCATGGGATTCACACGAGCCCCCAACAGCAAAGACACAAAAGCAACTGAGAGCAAAGTGAAAAGAGTGGCCACATCCGGATAACGACGACAATAAACCATACAAACAAGCGCTCATCGCTGACGACGTGCTACCCAACATTGCCCAACACTGGACGACCATCAGACAATGCTGTCTGCACAGGGTGGACACACATCGCTCGCCCGGCGAGGAGGCCCTGGGCTTGTGCAAAAGCCTGCTGTGCCATTGCCCGGGCATTAGGGTGATGTAGCGATGTTCGTGATCATCGAAGCGCCGGTCAGACCCGAGACCCTTGCCGGAAGCATGCGCAACCAACGACAATATGATGTATTACAAAATGATATATACTATAAAAATGATACAAGAAACCATAAGGTAGTTAATGCGAATATATTTATGCTTATATGCACACATAAACATGTATAGAGACAGAGAGAGAGAGAGAGAGAGAGAGAGAGAGAGAGAGAGAGAGAGAGACAGCGGGAGAGCGAGGGAGAGGGAGAGGGAGAGGGAGAGAGAGATTGTCTTTTGAATGTGGTGCTCGGCTACGCCACAGTTTCAACTGCTTTCGGATAAGAAGGGGCGGTGGGCCGTTTACTGAAAAGGCCCCGATATGACTCGAGATACCAGTGGGGGATATGAGCGCGGGGATTTCACGATTCGCCACCCCCTAAGGAGTGCAGCGGAGCTGCGGTTCTGCACGTCGAAGAGGAACCTCGGCAGCTCCAATCCACAGGATTCGATAGCAGTCACACACGGTGTCTGCGAATGCGTGGTGCCGATATCGACTTGGTGAGATCCGGCCTGGAGTTCGCCAGTAAGACACTTTACCAGATCACCACGAAAAGCGGACAGACGACTGAGACAGTCAAGTCCCGGAGTGAAACCCAGGCACGCCGGCTCGTCGTTACCGTCTCCAAAGGTTAGCATGTCAAGGTCCTCGTGTGTCACTCCTTAGCTGCGAGCTTCGCGAAAGACGTGCCGGAGGTTTGTGCAGCAGTCTTAGAGCACAAAGTGCTGTGCTCACGTTGACAAGACATGGACGTGGAGTGCAAAGGGAATCGAGGCGTCCATACCGTAGCGACTGCAGCCGCAAGAGTACAGGGTCAGAATACTGACAACTAGGCATAACCGAGAGGCGAATCCTCTGCAACTTTAAGTGGAGCTCCACATTTGCGGCCGGCATGTTCTTCCAATCCACCTCGCCGTGCCCGGTCAGCGACAAGCTGTGAGTGGTAAGTCCCAGGCAGTGGAGCAGCACTGCTTTTGAAAGCCGGCATCTACAGTAGCCAGGGGTTGCAGGAATCCGATACAGCTGGGCTCCAGCAGGTGAACAAATAGGGTCTGAACCTACGCATTCCTGTTGGACAAGTGAAGTCAAAAACCGCATTTAGCCAAATTCTGCATCTACATAGATCTACATATATATCTATATGGTCAGCTGTCTGGCGTTCCCCCCCCCCCCACGAATGGTATGGTCTGGTAAGGGGTGGGGGGGTTGCTGGCATGTGCGGAGAGGGGTCGGGGCCGTTGGAGCTGCAGCTGGAGGGGCGGCCGGGGGTCACAGACAAGAACAGGATAGTATGCAAGCCCTGCCCAAGCCATAAACCCTGTAAGGTAGCGCAGTAGCGCATGCTCCTGTTCTTGTTAACCTTACACTGTACTTTAAACCCTGCACCAAACCCACGTATAAATGCAGGCTCTAGCCTAAAGTAGAACATAAACCGTCAACCCTAACGAACCTAATTACACCCCAAACCCTCCCTAAGCGCTTGCGACTCGAAGCCTTATATACCTTTTTACCTTGTAACCCGAAACCCAAAACTCAAAGGCTTAAGCTAAACCCAAACCCCAAAACCTACACACAGGGAAGAGGAACCCTACACCCCACCCGACAGAGGGGGGGGGGGGACATCCTGAACCATAGACCAGGCAGGGGGGGTGAAGTTGTGGCTCGCGGAGCGCGTGACCATATATGGTCTGCTCTGCCCTTGGTAAAGAAAGCTCTGGAATCTGCAATTAGCTTGCTGCAACCAAACAGCTTTAAACGGTTTCCCTCGTCTCTCTGTCGTGTTTAGCTTCCAAGTGTTGCAAGTTGTGGGGATCTGCTTTCATGTATATACGAGCTCGCAAAGCCATTGAAGACTGCAGATCGTGCTTATCAATTTTGCAGATATCCTTACAACCGACGTGATACATGATATCGACCAATTTGGTTACTGTATGTTGCCGGCAATGCAGGGAGCTCTGAACTCTGGCCAGAAACCGTCAAGGTTGCCACCCGTTCTGAACGAAATTATGCCGTCATCGGTGAGCCCTGACTGGCTTCTGGAAAGTGGTTCTCAGGCTTCGGGGAATGGCCTGCATCGCTTGAACTAATCTTGAGAGGCATGGGCCTTCTGTTCATACCTCGCGAACATTGCCACCGTGTTCAGCTCAGCCAGCAAGATAGACTCCTGGCGTGCAAACAAAGCCCCGTCTCCCCTAACGGTCTGAAACAGGCTGAAGGATCCAAAAAACAAAATCCACTGTCCGGGATCAAAACCAAAACAAAATAGGGATCAAAATCAACATGTCATATCTCCTGGAGGGTATACTTAAGGTTACCACTTGTTCCAAACAAAACACAACTAAACAGGGACCAACCAAAATCAAACAGGCAGACGCGGTTCATCTTATATCTTAGACACGCCCCCTCATTTGTCGATTCCGGTTCGTCATGTCTTAAACATGCTCCTTTGTTTGGCGATTCCGGTGCATCATATGTCTTAAACACGCGCCCTCATGTAACGATCCCGGTTCGTCATATTTCTCAAACACGTCCCCTCATTTGGCGATTCCGGTTTATGAGGTATCTTAAACACGCCCCCTCATTTGGCGGTTCCAGTTCATCATATATCTTAAACATGCCTCGGCATTTGGCGATTCCGGTTCATCGTATATCTTAAACACGCCCCCTCATTTGGCGATTCCGGTTTATCATGTACCTTAAACAAGCCCCCTCATTTGGCGACTCCGGTTCATCAAATATCTTAAACACGCCCCCACATTTCATTTCCGTGATTCCGGTTCATCATGCATCTTAAACGGTAGGGTAGTATGGTGCACTTAAACAGGCGCCCGGCGATTCCGGTTCATCATACAACTTAAACACGCCCCCCCTCCTTCCTCAGTTTTGTCAGTGTTTACGGGCTGCAAATGCTGTAGTTTACAGCATTTCAAAGCTTTTGTTTGTGTTACTCCCTCTTTGCTTTCTTTTGGATCCCTACTTGACTTTTGTTGATGCCTATCCCTCTGCAGCAAGGGATCCTACCTTCAGCGCTTGAGCATGAGGTTCGCACTTGGTGTCCCGGTGGTTGAAGCCCTGCAAGACTTCTCACAAGATCTGTGGTCCTGCTGGCTTCCGATGATCTCGGAACGAAGATGCGCAATCTGCACAGAGACGTTCATCTTCTTGGGGACTTCGACGTCCTGAAGCGCCTGGCTGTAACTCGGTGGATGAAAAGCTGTTGTTTTGTGAAGCTATCGGATGAAATCGGCTGGGGCTTAGGTGCTCTTTGCGATTCCTCCTCACCGCGGCTGGGTTCATTTTTTATCATGACGGCGTGAAAGATGTGGATTGGTGCCGATCTGCTGCGAAGCATGCAGCATCCTGTCCGTCAGCATTGGCAAAGCCCCCTAGTCCTGAACCCGCACGGCCCTGCCTGCACCTCTTGTTTCCGCTTCTCCAATTCTGCAGTGACGTCCATCTGGGAATCATCCTCCCATCGAGAAACTGATCAGTGAGGCAACGCCCCGCAGGTCTGAGAGCTGTGCACATCCCCTGTAGCATCATAGACGAAGCCGGAGAAGTGTCCCATAATGCGTTCGCCACAGCCAGGATTCAAACAACACTCAACCCTCTCCAGAATCGCCGGGCAAGACTCACCAAGGTCCGAAGTAGAGATGTCACTGCAATTTCATCCCGCACTGCATGAGAGCAAACAGTGGGGTCTCGGATGGTTTCCTCTTTCGGATTGAGAGCCATGTCTGGATTGATGGCCGATGATATTCGTCAGGGAACCCCTCGTCATGTCCAAACCCCAACCGTTCAACTTGGTAAGACGACAAGGGAGAAAAACTCGAAACATAACTGGAAAGTTGGAAAGTTCCATAGACCGACCTCCTGCCAGCATGCGCAGTAGAGCAGGGCTCTCTTCTGCCAACTCGGAGCATGGCCTCGCACATCGGATTCTAAGCTGCTTTCCAGACGAGGTCCAGGTTGGTGCATGTCGGCGACTCCGTGGTGTCCACCATTGTGGCTATCAATTCTCTGCTCAAGGTTACCCTCTGCTCATGCTGGCGAAGGCGCCGTTATCAAACACGTTAAAGACGCACTCAGCCAGGGAATGCCCGGGGCGGGCCATGCGAATTCGAAACTGCCAGCCTGCAGCCATTGATCGCGCAGAGGCCAGCTGCTCCGCCACCTGATCTGCCGAGCAAAAAACTCGGACTCGTGGTGCTCCATGGGTGGTGTCCGACCAAACCTCACTCCCTCCTGCAGTGACCTAGCCGCAAACAATTTCAAACTTTTTTGCTTGGGAACTTATTCCAGTTTCAATTAAATAGGAAGAAGCCATCGCGCTAGATGTCGAACACGAAACTAATGACGTCGCGCATCGCGCTCGTTGTTGACATCAGGGGGCCGCGCTATGTAACACTTTATGACTCCCCTTCAGCTTGAGCTGTTCTCCGGCTGAATGCTCCAACACGGGCACGACTGCTACGGCTGGCGAGCTCCTGTGGCCTTGCAGGGCCTAAAACGGCTTGGCAGGTTCTGGCGAAAGGCCGGGAAGCTGGCAAAGTTCAAGCGTGCCGAAACCAGGTCTTCTTTTCTTATCAATGCCCCCAAAACAATCAAAGATCTTGGATTTTCGTGTGCACGACCCAATCCATGTAAACACAATTTCTTATATACACATACGCATACGTGGCCATAAGCTTAAAAATCTTCGACTGGCGAAGCCACAGTCATTGCAAAACCTTGCGGCATCTAGCTCTGGGGGTGCTCAGAGCTGCACACCTCCCGCAAAGAGCAAAGCCCATTGCTCTGGCTTGCTGTGCACACCATAATAGAGACAAGTGTAGAGGAACACCCGCAGGAACACATCAACTGCGATCATCCATCTTGGCTCAGCTACCGGATTGCAGACATAGAAAGAGCAAGTCATAGCATGCAAGCAGTGCGCCTTTGCCTTATGTGTCATTCTAACATACATGCACTTTCCCGAAGTGCAAGCCGTGAATGAGTCAGTACACGTGCATTAAATTACCATCTCGCTACATGCAACTACTGTTGATCCGGCTCGGAAGTCTAACTCAGGCACCACGGCCCGGGCCCCGACCCGACCAATCGCGGCCTCCATAAACCACTTCGCCTGCATTTGAAGCGGCACGTTGTCCCGCAACGTCTGCAGACGGCGGTCGCCACGGGCCTCAAGAGGACCCAGCTGGAGTTCGGGCGGCCAAAGCTCTGCATAGGGCCACAAGGGCTGAGCGAAACGGCCTAGCCGCTCCACACACACAAAGCCCATACCTACCAAACGCACATCTCGCAGATGCAGCCGCGCAACATCCAGTTTCAAGTCTCTGCGACCAAGGATTTCAAGCTCTTCGCGGTAGTCCCGCAAGCAGTAGTGCACATACCTTGTTCCAACGGATGCGATGCAGACGTGTGTCGTGGGATGTGCAACAACGGGTTGTTGAACAATCTGCACTATGCATGCCCGATGCCTCAAGTACTCTTGGACGTGTCTCGTGGACGCGTGGAGCAAATGGGTCATCGTGATGGCGCCGCCTTCAGGCGGGCCTTCTCATGTTTAGCGGCAGGGTTTGACCGAGGCCCCAATGTCGACAAAATTCAGGCAAGAGGCTCGTCCTTCAGTTTCTGGACCTCGTAGGCCGACTCCAGATTCACTTCATCTGCGTGTTGCGACAGGAGTGCCTCACCGATGAATGGGGTCTGTCAATGACATCCAACACGATTCGCACATGATCTTGTTACGTAGTGGCGTCTGTAGTAGCCGTAGTACTAGTAGTCGTCGTCGTAGTAGTAGTAGTAGTAGTCGTCGTCGTCGTAGTGGTGCCACACACACACTCGTAGGAGGAATGGTGTTTTCATGCGTTTCTGAGCCAGTTTGCACGATAGGATGGCAGGTAGTTAGGGGGGAAGCCAATAACGTTCATGCCACTGCCTTTGGCGATCATGCCCAAAACACTGGTATTTACAGCGCTTTTGCTTCTACATGCCAGCTTGCACGCTAGGGGTGCTTGGGCGGGGGGTGCGGGCCGGATGATGACCTTCTTTGCGGTGATGCTTGCAGGGTGATGCATGCTTGCAGGGTGGTGTTTTCTTGGTCTCATGAAGTGGTGGTTGGGGGGCGGGGTGGGGGGGGAGGATAATAACGTTCGATAATAACGTTCATGTCACTGCCTTTGGAGATCATGCCCAAGACACTGGTATTTACCGCAATTCTGCTTCGACATGCTAGTTTGCACGCTAGGGGTGGTTGGGGGGGAATGATGACGTTCTTTGTGGTGATTATTGCAGGGTGATACTCGCATGGTGCTGCTGTCGTGGGTGATGTTTGCAGGGTGATGTTTTCTTAGTCTCATGAGGTGGTGGTTGGGGGGGGCGGGGTGGGGGGGAGGATAATAACGTTCATGTCACTATACTCAAAACACTGGTCTTTACAACATCTTTGCTTCTTTGTACAACATACCGCGCATTGACGTGGAGCGAGACACGTTGTCACAAGTATCCATGTCTTTGGCGACCATGCCCAAAACACTGGTATTTACAGCTCTTTGCTTCTTGGTCGGTAAAACATACTGCGCAAGGATGTGAAGCAAGACACGTTGTCACAAGCATCCATGCCTTTGGCGGCCATGCCCAAAACACTGGCATTTGCTGAATTCTTGCCTTTTTGTACAACATACTGTGCAAGTCGTGCTTTCCTTTGTGAAACATGCGTAAAACAGTCGCAGCACAAGAAGCATACCAAACCTTCAAAAACTACATCGTGATTTTGATACCCGCAGCTGCTTAATGTGCGTTTTTGTTGGCCCTGCCAGTATTCTCGGCGCGTCATTGGCCTAAACGCACCGTTTTTGCACGTTCCACTTGTCGCGGCAGCCGAAACGCAGTAAGGGTGCTCAAATCAGAAGATTGCTTTGCATCAAAACACCAGTCCTACCACGAGCGTGTGTCCTAGTAGTAGTAGTAGTAGTAGTAGTAGTAGTAGTAGTAGTAGTAGTAGTCGTCGTCGTCGTCGTCGTCGTCGTCGTCGTCGTAGTCGTCAGTAATTAGAAGAAGTAGTAGTAGTAGTCGTCGTCGTCGTAGTAGTAAAGTAGTGGTAGTAGTGGCGGTAGTGGTGCTGGTGGTGGTGGTCGTAGTTGTAGTCGTCGTCGGAGGAGGAAGAGCAGGCAGAGCAGGAGGAGTAGTAGTAGTGGCACAAGTAGTACCTCCTCCTCCCTCCTCCTGCTGCTGCGCTACTGCTGCCGCCGCTACCAGCAACAACAACAACAACAACAGTTCAACAACAATCAAGTCAAGTATAATCATAATGAGCAGCGGTCCTACTCTTGCTTTTTCCACTTACTATCTGACTTCGTTTTCTCATTCATCTCCTTCCTTTGCCCGGACTCCAATTCCTAATTACGTCGATGACGCCTGCCGTTGCCGAGACGCCTGGTTTACAACAACTTATACCGTGCATGCGGAAGCGCAGCTTGCTGCTAGTGCTTCCACTACGAAACTGTCTACGCTACTAATTATTTAAGTGCCTGCAGCCGCGTCGACTCCCGGTTCAAGCACGAGTTGATCGTCACAAGGGCTCGGAGTTGGTCCGAAGATGCGCGCCTTGGGAGACGGCAACTGAAATCTTAAGGAATGTCGACCTGCTTCCTGGGATGGCGCTCATCCCAACACGATTCACAGAGGACATTCAGCGCAACCCAGCGAAGAAGGCCATGGCCCATGTCATGCACAAGTGAACTAGAAAAAACTCTCCGCCTGGAGAGCTTAACCTCTCTAGAAAGCATAGCTTGCAAGGTTCTGTGGGGATGTCGAGGAAAGAAATCTAGCAAGATCTTCTCGCATGCAAGGCGCATAAAGTCTGCAGAACCCTCTTCACCGAACTTCAAAGACACGATAGTGTGCTGGTCTTGCTGGTTGAAGAGGATCTGCAAGAGCTGCAAAGACACCTCAGGGCTACTCTGCAAGATCCATTGGCCCAGTTCAAGCGCCCATATTGAGTAGCTACCATGTCCCCTAGCACAGGACTTGCATTCGCCATCCCAAATTCCCCCTCGTACCGGCTGGTATGATCCCAATCAAACTGTAAAGTTCCTGAACTCTCTTTTGAGAACATCCTGCCAGCGTGTCCACATCGTCCCCAAAGCCGCAGGTGACCAAGAAGCCCTTGAAACCAATCTCCTGGCACGTCTCACGCGGAGGCGTGTTCACCCCTCGACCCAGTTCTTGAGCAATCCCGTTTTGAAATGGCTTCGGATTGAAAACCTAGCAGCTCTTGGTTACTGTTGGTCGGTAGAACCCTGAAGAAGGTGTGGCTGTTGGCATGATGCCTCGAGTGGTAAGGCTTCAATATTATGGAATATACCCAGCGAGCCGCTGGAGGCTCTAATGGCCGGAAGCAAAAAAAATCTGAAGTCGGCATCTCCTAAAGACCTCTAGAGACCTGTGGACTACCTGTGGCCTGTAGCCGCCCGTCTGCATTCGTTTGGTCACACCAAGCTCACCAGACTACATGGAAAAAGAAACGACTGCAGCGCTTCTCTCTACTTCGGTCAGCCTTGGAAATGTCCGCATCGGCCTTGCGCGGGCAGGTTGCGAGATCTGCACAATGTTCGAGCGTATCAGATGAGGGGCACGACATGTGCAACCCGCAAACCATGCCAGACGCGATCTTCTTCAATCACACTTACCGTCGCTGCTCCTGATCCTGTGCCACAATGTCAACTCGCCCACCCCGGACAACAAAGTATTCTCGACCGCCCCATGCGAGTCGGCGCGGCCGCCTGGATGATTGAACTCTTTGTTCTCATCGCCTTCGCCACATCGCTTTCAACAGCTACGTGGTTCTGTGATAGCCCCTTCTTGCAAAAGCAGACTCAGACTAAGCGGTCTTTCAGTGTGCATTGCCAGTCTCAACCCTGGGCAAAGGGGCCAGACGGACATCGTCATGAGATGTTGTCAGGACTGATCTTGAGGTCATTTTCGCCGCTAACACATCCGAGCACATACAAAGCAGAGCACAGTGGCCGCCCACCTTCAGGGCATCCGTCGTCTTCGCACGATGTATGTCCTAGTAGGCTTTAGCAGGGTGTGCTTAGCGTTTGCCGTCATCTGAGTGCAAAGCCGACACCCAAACACATGTCCTCTAAGTCTGACCCCCAACTCTACAGGCGCGAAGATGCTCGCTTGCTATGAAAACCCTTGCGCTGCCCCCGAGCTTCCGTGCTCATGAAATCATCTTCGTTTCTGCACTGGCAGAGCTGCACTCAGCAGAATCTAGAAGCATTGCAGGACTCAAAATGAACTCAAACGGACTCAAACTTCCAGTTCATGAGCCACGAACGAACTCCTCGTCGCTTGCGGCCTGTGCGAAAATGGCCTTCAACCTTGGCATCTTGCTTTTGGGGTTGCTTCAGGCGCTTTGCAAGGGGAGGGCTGCCTGCTTGTCCAGGCACACAAGGCCGATCGACAAGCTTGCAATACGTTACTAGCCCGAACAAGACCTTCTGATCAATAATGATAATACCATAATGGTACTACAATGATACTATACCAATACTTTAGTTATGAATGGTATTAAGAGTTGCGGGGCAGGCAGCAGCTAGTGTATCCGGTTGGCAAACATGCCACTGCGCAGGGTAAAATCTCCCCAGCACGTTTTCCAAGAAACAGACTCCGAGATCCCCATGCACAGCAAAAGCCCTGTACGAGAGCCAGCCGAGCTAACCCAATATCTTGTTCTGTACACTCCTCGTCCCGACTGGCGGACACTCATGGGTGGACTCTTCGGTTTTTCTTGATTAACATCGACGGTCCCATGAGAGCTCAGAATTTCTTGAGTCAGAGCCACCGCGCGCCACCACATGCTCAACACATCTCTGTTTTTTCTTTCCTTCACTGTTTGAAAGCTGCTTTTCCATTCGATTCAGCGTGCCATGGAAAATTTCCAGCATCTTCAGCTAAGGAGAACATTTTTTCGAGCCACGCAAACAATCCATCCCCACTCGCTGTTCTCAACTGCAGTGAAAACGATGATTCCGTCGCGACTCTAGCTCTTGCCATGTGGTTGGTGGCAGTCAGATGAACAAACGTAGATTAACAAGGGCTTCACTCCACCAGGAGCAAAGGGCTGGCAAAAACTTGACTCCAGCACTCTCGCCCGCAGACTGATGGTGACACCGGTGGTGACAAACACGATGAGCATGAGGGTGAGGACCATAAGTATGGCACCGAGGCTGCAAGGATGCGGCCGAGGGAGCAAAAACATGAGGCCCCCAGGGTTCAACACATTCTAAAAACAGGATAGAAAAATAAGTCCCACTTGTGAATTAAGCATGGCATGCTCCGTCGTTTCGGGGTTGGCCTGGCTGGTGAGATCCAGTTGCCTGCGACTTGCCTCTACTGTATTGCACAGACTCCCAGTGCTTTCAAGCTTGAACTGAAAGCTCAGAACTGACGCTTGCTTGGAAACCCTAAACCTTAAGCACAGTCACCGCAAGCTTTGGGGAATGTCACTTGATCCTGTTGAATCTACTTGATCCTGATAAAAAACTTTCTTTTCGATCCGCAGTCTCGAGGCTGAGAGGGAGTGGAGGTGGAGGAGGAGGAGGAGGAGGAGGAGGAGGAGGAGAATAGTGCTGCGCAAATTGCCAAACTTGCTGCAGGCATGCTAGGGCCTAGAGCTCAGATTCAGATTCAGAGCATGACGACCTTAGGCGGGTCTTCAGCCTTGCTTCATGGGTGCCTCCGCCACAAGGGCCAGCGGGCCCGCATGTAAGCAACTTAAATGCAGATTAATGCAGCCAAGTAAAGCAATCCTGTTTTGCAGACTCAAACATACGTCCTCTGCGCTTCCCTCAATCCAGCGAGGATATCCGCAAGGAGGCTCAACTTGGCCTTGAATCCTTGCTCTGAGAAGTCGGGCTCAAACAGGCCTGCGGACGGCACTCCAAGTGTCTCGCACTCCAGAGCCACATGTCGGGCGAGCGATGCCACATCACTGCCACACAGTCCACACCCCCGAGTGTTTACGGAAAACGTGTCCCCTCTATGCCAACCGGCAACGAGCAAGGTGCCAGTAAGTACTGCAAAAAACCACGCTTTGCAAGCACGTGTCAAGCGGGAAGTCCAGAAAATATCCCTCGTCGTCATCAGGCTGCGGTGCAGGAAGGGCGGGGGCACCCAGTCAATATTTCCACACGCAAGCTGTTTCCAAGTTGTCTCTTGCAGCTGGATCGCAGGGATCGCTACCTGCCTTTTCCAGCTTTTGACATGGTTCCTAATATCCTTTTTCGTCACCACCTCCGGTGGCAATGACTCCCACGTTGGAATCTGCTGGATTCCCAGTTCCAGTGCAAGCACACGCGCTGCTTCCACCCAAGTCTCACCGGGGACCTTCGCCACTGCTCGAACTAATGCGTAGAGGAATGTGCTTGGCGGCATGGTGAGCAACCTTGCCAGCGTCGTCACTATCCTGAGTGCCACTTTCGCGCTCAATCTCCAGCTACCCCGCATCCACATGAGGAGCTGGACATATCCGCCGTCGCCCAGCGAGAGGTTGGTCAATCCAAGCAGCGTCTTGATAGCCTTGTATAGTGATAAGCATTAAGCTTGCGTGAAACCTGAGGCCATCCTAGGAAGTGAGATCCCAAAAGCTCACACCCGAAAAGCGCAGCCGGTTCGACCCGGCTCGGGAACTGCTGAACATGCCATGCGAAACCTAAACCCTGAGCATCAAGGGCTCTCCCCAGGTTGCTGGCAGCTTCAAACACCTGAGTTCCCAAGCTTTGCAAGATACAATCAAGACTAAGTTTCTCATCGAAGGACATCCCCAAAACCTCAAGCTGTTTCACGATTTGAACTGGCTGCCCATCAAGGTAGGGCGGAGGCAGCGACTCAGGCCACTTGTCGCCTACACAGAGCACCGCCGCTCCTTTACTACCTGAAGCAAACCTGTGATGCCATAACTGGGCAAAGGCCGACATGGAGTTACAAACTCCAAGTAAACCTCTACATGTGGATTGCAAGGCGAAGGCGTCGTCAACAAATTGGAATTAGGAGACGGTGTTGCGCAGCCATGTCAAGGAGCAAGAGCGCGTCTTCCCTGGAAGCGGCTGGAGGCACGAGATTTCTGATGACTTGAGTCGGTGCCATTGGATCGAAGGCGGCTGCTGCTAATCTGACAGTCTCCCAGTCAGGTGCCGCATAGGATAGACGCCCAGATCTATCTTGCAGCACGGCCCGGCATACCGCTACACTGTGGCCAATGCCCACCCCCGTATTGCCCTGCTTAACAGCATCAGTTAAGCCTTTGGCGAAGGTGCCAAAGAGCTGGACTGCACTCCGTCCCCCCTGTTTGATTCCGTAGTTAATCAAAACAAAAAACGGCCCGAGAAGGGGGCCCAACCGAACCCGCGCCCTGTCGGCTGACAGGGAACAGTCGAGAACCAACCAACAATTACTTCTAATATTTGCTTCCCACGCATGAAATCGCACTGCATCCCTCCAGGCGAGGTCGTAGCCTTGGTGAAGGTCTGCCTTTAGCAAGAAACTAGGCAGTCCTGCATGCGTCCGTGTCTGCAAGCTTGTTAGAATGCCAATGGCCACCAACACCGGGTCCAACTGTCCTCCCACTTGCTCCATGCCTGCATACTCAACCAGCCACTGCCTGCACAAGTCCAACCACACTAAATCAAAAACCCCTTCCAAATCGGAGACATAAGAAATTGGTCTGAGGTTGCACGGGTCAACGACCACCTTTGCAACAAGCACAAGGCAAAAATCAGGTTTATGATGATCCACGCAAGCAGCCTACCAACCAAATTTTTTGACACCATAGCCAGCCCGGGCAGCTGTGCCGTGGCCTTGCCAGTAGCTATACCCTCTAGCAAAACCCCAAACCCAGCAAACCCAATGTGGCATCTTGGTGCCTCCACCGTTCCCGCAAGAGCCTCCGCTTTGGCTTTGCTCACATACTCCCTCACGATCACATCGAATGCAGGATCCCCACTACGCGCCTCATCGGCCCTGTGCTCAACATCACTTGCAATGCGCTGCATAGTTTCGTAGTCAGACAACCTCTTGCCGGTGCTGTCTTCGCGGAACGCAGTTTGTAGGGGGGCCTGCGGCTTCAAAAGCTGCGTCAGAAAAGATTGCGCGGCCTGAGGGTTAGACGACGACAGTTTAGTAAACGTGGAAACCTTGGCCTCATGCACACTAGCTTTAAGTTGCTCCAAGAGCTCGTCTTGGTCACCGGAGGACTCTGGGGCGAAGAATGGCCATAATTCATGCGCAGGGTCTTTGGCATCCCTCCTTCTACTTAAACTTACCAGCCCTCCGAAGTGCCCTGCCAGGCACAAAACTACCGATCGCCACCAGACAACTCTGTCCAGAAGATTGCGCCGCAAACCCTTGCACCTCCCGGCGGCGACCCAACCCCAAACAACCTGACAAGAGAGCAATCGTGCAGCCCAACCTGTAATGAAACGGAGTGCATTATCAACCTTGGCAGTGGCACAATCCCAAGATGCTCCCTTCTCCCAACGTGCTTAGCTGCGCTTGCTGGTTCCATTCAGGCTCATATGGATGGCAGGCAAATCACAAGCGACAAAGGCGTGGTCGCTACGAAGCATCTCGTCTTGCAGCCAATTAACAGTCATATCCACCTCTAGACTTGGCTCCGCCGCAACCAAATCAATCACTGAGCCCGACGCATGAGTAGCCACCAGTGGCTCATTCCTTACAGTGACATTAAAACCTGAAGCACTTTGCCAAAGCAACAGCATTTCATGATCAAAGGGTCTGGCCAACCTTCGATTTGTGTCTCCAAGCTCAGCAAAATGCAAATTAGTGTCCCCCAGCAGCAAAAACTTATGGCGGCGGAAAGCCTCCTGACTACGTATGCTAACCAGCTCCTGCTGGCGTCGTTTCCAAAATTCTTGCCTTGCAGAGGTCTCATGTCCAGTGTGAGGCCCATACACTGCCAAGAGCAGGAGCTGTGGCTTCCCTGCACAGGAAATCCAAATTGCATTTTGATCACCATATTCACCAAGAACACTAACTGCATCAGAAACAGCATCATGGATCAACACAGCGACTGACGCAGGGTCATGTGTCTGAGTTCCATGGAAGCTGTAGCACGTGCAGTCAGGCCAACTTGCTTGTGGGGAGAGCTGAGGCTCTGAGATAACTGCCACTGCAGCTCCCAAATGCAGAAGGTGAGCTGCAAAATGCAACATCCTAGTTTGATTCTGACCGTCCAAAGGTACCTTGCGCATTCCACGCCGCAACCTTCAAGCGACATGATGCTGTTGTGCCAGTCGAAGGGGCAGGCTCTACCAAGAGACCCCCTTCCCAAGGCCCAGCCGTTCCAGAAATGGGCAATCCCTGTGTCTGCTGGTGTGTGCGACGCAACACATCCTTCATGCAGCTCACCAGCATTGCATCAAACGATCGGAAATTGCCCAACTCATCTGGGACGTCCGAGACACCGAAATCTGGCTTGCTTTGGAGCAAGGCCCAAACACCCCGTCTCAGTGCCAAAGCAAGAAGTTTATTGACCTTGGGAGGCTTGCGGGGTAACCCCGCCTGGATCAGCGAAGCTAGCTGGGAGTGCGCTCGTTGCACATCTTTGTCAGTGCCCCATGAGCTTACTTGGCCAAGCAGCGCCTCATCACTTCGGAAGTCCATCATTGCTGCAAGCTACGGCTTGGGCCCCTGAATGCAGTAGAGGTCCAAGATGGCGCGACATCCGTTACACTGCTTGCACAAAGGTCAAAGGAGAGAGGGGGAGAGAAACAAAAAGAAAAAAAAAAGGGAGACACACACACACACGCAACACAGGACAAGCAAACCAAAACACAAAGGACAACACCCCAGACCAAGACAACACACAATAAAAAACACACACACACAGACGGACACACGACCCCACCAACAAACCGCCCCCACAGGAACAAAGCCCGACGCCCCGAAACACCACCACCACCACCACCACCACCACCCCCACCACCACCACCACCACCACCACCACGACAACAACAACCCCCCAGGGGCGAACACCACAACCACAGCGACCCGCCACCAACCGCCCCCAAGCCACCACAACGAAGAAGACAACGACGCGAGCACGCGACAACCAGCACAGCCCCCAACCACACCAACAAACACCCCAAAAGCCCCGCCGACCCCGACGACCCGACAGCGGCAACGACACCAGCAGCCCCAAGGAACCCACCGACAGCCACGCCGCGGCGCCAGCGACGACAGCGAGACGACACCCACCGAACCCCACGAGAAGGACAAGAGCAGCAACCGAACCAGAACAACCCAGCAAAGCGACAACGGCGGCAAGAACAGCGACGGCGGCCACACAACAGAAAAAGACAAGGGCGAGGCCAACAGCGACAACAACCAAACCAAAAGGAGGAAGCAACCCGACAGCGACAACGACAACGACCAGCCCAACACAAGGGCGGAAGACAACGAACCTGCGGAATGCACCGATTCTCAACATCTGCCCTACTCAGGCCATGACTCCGCCGCGACGACTGCTTGGGTTTCATCAGGCTCTGCGATCGAGATCTTGATATCACCTCGGCAGGCTAAGGACAACAAAGCGCAACATGCCGTGGTGGGCATCCACTGTCACCTGGAAGATTCTCACCGCGAGCTTGCCAGTCATCCGACTATTGAGTGAGAAACCAGTCTGGAAAGGAGAGCTTCAGCTAGATCTAGTGGCACCACGCCAGACAAGCCGTTCAGTTCCTTATTAGTTAGAGAGGATACTTGCTTCGTTGTGCCTTCAGGGCAAAGCTTACACCCGCCTTGTTTGCTCGTGTCTCGAAGACATTGCCGGGGCTTTGGTGTATGAAAGGACAGCCCTGTGCTGGAAGGGTGCCTCTTTCTGATGAAGATTCTACATGCTCTGTTTGAATAACCTCCGAACACAACAAAGAAGAGGCTGTGGTGCCCCCGGACACGCTCAGCCTGCTGCTGCAGAATAAGTATGCCAAGCGACTAATGTCAACGATCATATTCGACATAAACTGTCTGGCAAGCTTGGCGGCCATGCCTGCCTTATCAGCAACTTCGGAGCCTGCCCAGGCTGCCAGGGTTTAGGATTAAGGCTGCATCTTTCAAGGGCGACTCAATCAGCAAGCCCTGGACCATGGGGCCCAGGTGGTGAAAAAAGGAATTAAGAATAAAACCGATCAACCCTCCAGTAGCACAAGAATGCTTGCAGGAATCACGCTTCGGGGGATGGTTCCTGTTTCTTCGGGGTTTGGGCTTGCCACTCATCGTGGACTCATGAATTCTGCCAGACACTGAAATCCACGGAAAATTTTCAAAAACGCCGAATCGGGGTCCCGAAATTAACACTACACACACATGGTGTATATATATATATATATACATGCAGGTATTCATGTACGCGTATATGCACGCACATGCCTACATGTATGCAGGCAGGCATCCACACATGCACAGATAAACATGCATGCAGAGATACACACCCGTACACGCACACACGCATACGTACATCCATCTATGCATACATCCACTTGTGAGTGCATAAGGCATAAGCACGTATACATCTACATATGCATATCATATACTTATATCTATATATATATATATATGTATCATATAATACATACATATATATATATATATATATCATATATATCCGCCAAGCCTTGCTTTTTGGCCTCATCCACGAGTTTCTGGTGTCGGCGGGACTCGAGCTGCTGAGCCGCCTTCGGCAGGTCGTCCAAGATCGTGGCTTCAGGCGGGTTTCCGATGGGAGATGACAAAGGCTTCGGCACCCTCTCCAAACTATAATTGCAAAAAAGACTCTAACGGTCAATTCACGGGGGCCCCAGGGTGATCACAACGATGCCACCATACCGCTTAACAGGGAGGCCGAAGGGATCTTCGGGGCACGATGTGCGAAAAAATACATATTACCCGGCGCTCAAGAGCTTCAGAATGACCCAGTTCCGAGTTGACTAAGGCAGCTGACAGTCCAAGACCATTGCCCAGCGACTATCTGCCACCTGCTACGCATCGAACCATCGATTCAATGACGAACTGAACTGCGTCTTGAACCTCAGAAGCTATGTCAGGACTTGATAACCGACCCAACATCATCCCCATCCCGACTCTCCACCCCTCCCCTCCGCCCGGCCTGCATTTCTACGCTCTCTTTGCGGTTCTGCCGGATCTCGTCGAGGAGCTCATCAGCAGCTTTTTGGCCGGACCTATCGGAAAGCGTAGTCAGACGCTGTCCGCGCCACGCGGTCTCCGCGCCGTGCCAGCAAGGAAGCTGTCGACATTCAACTTCAGAATGAAATGCGCCCTAGAACCCAGACGAAGGCCTACGCAAGCTCCAGCCTTCGAAGCTGAAGGTCCATGTGTAGACCGCGCAGAGTTATTTTCAGCTCGCCAGAAAACCTGAGCTTTGGCGTTTCAGTCCCAAGGCCATGCTCATTCTGCAGGGCTCGTGTAGTGATGAGCTGCAAGACGACCCTGCTGAAACCCGGTAAAGAATTCCTCGAAGAAGCCCTTCATCACACTAAAACACCGGAGCTCCTGCTTTCTCCCTCGACATGTCGCATGCATGCTACGCAGACGGCTGAGACACTATACTGGACCAGAGTCACCCCAGCGATGGTTAAAGAAACACAGACTTGACTTTGACCCGATCGCTCCGACGTCCCCCTGTTAGGCAGCATCTTACGGTCAGGGGGTGCTTAAGTGACTCAGAGTCGGAAGAGCCAGGGCACAAGGCCGCGAAGGGGATGTCCACTTCGAGGCTTTGAAGTATGCCATCCTTGCGGGCATTCCCAGAAACCTCGTTTTTTGACCCCAGACTCTGCCGATCAGCTGGAGCCTAGGGCCCGGAGCGACTTCCCTTTTTCAAGAACCATCGAAAGCGGAAGCACCTTCCAAACCGCAATTCGTAGGTGGAGGGCTGATTGCGGTTTCTTGCTGGCAGGGTCATTTGGCAAAGGGCAGGGTTTCCTGGGTCCAGAGCCTATCGGGATTCATTCTGACTGGAATGTTTGAAGCGGCCTGCAGTGCCTAGTGCAATAGAAGGCCATATTGTACGAGAGCTTTCAGAAGCCCCGGGCGCCCGCCTCCACTTCCAACTCCTCGTAGCCCAGCAAGGCACAAAGATTGTGCTTTAACTCCATGTTCCTCGGCGTGAGTACTCGCAGTGGGGCTCGCGCTCTAAATTTTTGTTGCCCCAGAGGCCTGTCCCGGATAGGGACTAGAGTCTGGAGTTTGAGGGGTCTCAACCCCGACTGGGGATTCATCGTGAGCAGCGATGCGAGGAAAGGCTGCGGCTATGTCTTTCTGCCCAGACTCTGCACGCTCAAGCGCCCGAAATGGAATCGCAGATTCACCTCTCGTCAGGTCTGCTGGGCTTGCAATTCAGACACCAATGTAGCCTCAAAGCTCCAAGCCCAACACATGTGCAGAGAAGACTGCGAACATCTCACCACGAGTATTCCGTGCCATCTTCTAGCATCATCGATAACAGCATCAATGTCACTGCACCAAATTGCTTCGAGCACTCCCTTGAAGAGTTCCACCATCAAACCGCATGGATCTGCTTTTGACCGGTGAACCTTCTTCACGTTCTTGACATAAGGACTGACGTACTTCTGCAGCAGCGCATTCAGCACGGACTGGAACATGGCTCTCGCAAATAGAGAGATATGGAGAAGTCACCTGGATCTATGATCGGCCTACGTGGCCAAGCGGATAAAGCGTAGCTCAGTCAAATTCGTGCCGGCATGTTCGTAGACTCGCGACACTTACTGCTGGGCTTGCCGAAAGGTCTTACAAGTTGCAGGTTCTGCAAGTGAGAATCGCATCATGAAGCTGAGGAGCACCAGACACACAGAGCCATGCTCATCAAGCGTGGCCTTGCCTGCGAATTCAAGAGCGCAGCTCAGCTCAGTCAGTGGCAGAATCTCTCCCTTGGGGTTCCTGTAGACACTGACGCAATCAGTTCGCAGGTTCAGTTGCTGGGGCCCGTCTTGATGCTTTCATCGACACAGATAGCTGCGAAGGTAAGAGATGGCACAGAAAGCTTGCAGGTTGTTTGTGCTCATTTCGCCCGCAAATCCGAGTGCAACCTCCTCAGCCACGAAGAGAGTTCACACCCCGATTACGCGTACATCCCGGTCAGATCGAGTCTTGTCTCGGGATGCCAGGGTCTCGAAACGAAACGAAGAGTACAGCAATCGTGGCGATGATGGTGTAGGTTTCCAGGGAATACTTGTAGATTGTAGTCCGAAACTTAAGATCTGCATCTTCAGATGCCACCGGCCCAGGCTCTACCTGGGCAAGTGGCACTCCACTACAACACTTCCGCCACTTCGTGGCAAAGTGGTGACAACCACGCAGGATGCTCCAAGACCTGATTCGTCTCAAAACGATCGCAAACTTTCGGCCAGCTGCTTCTTCACCGTGACCCCCGAAAGTACTTGCACTGCCGGTGATGGTTCTGAAGCCAACTACTGGTACCACTGTACTTATCGTTCTTGTTGGTGCCAGCCATGTACTGATAACGGCTCACTGGATCTAGCAGGGCCTGAAGCCTCCAAAGGTGAGACAGCGAGGCTCCCAATGAAGCCGACAGTTGCACCCTCAGGGGTACATGCCCTATTCCAAACCCGCCCGTGTCCTGTCCTAAACCAAAGCAGGAAGAAGCTAACCTGGATATAAGCATTGTCCGGACATGCGTCAGATGACAGATGCCAAGGGCCTTACCAGGACCGAAGGCACACTGACATGCACATACCAGCAATGGATGCAGGGCTCTCCCTCTCTGTCCGCAGGAAGCTCTGTTTGCCTTCGATCGTTTTTCCCTCGTTGCACCGGCAGGGAGCATCAAGATGGAGGAAACTCATTCCTGTTTAGCTGGAGACCTGACTTTCCTCCTCTGCTGGCTACCAGGTACGGGAATGTGCACAAAGCCGACCAGATCGGGCGTAGCATCAAATTGTTCCGCACCTTCCCACCTAGTCTGCAAAACTTTAGAACTCTACCACCATAAAACTTAACATCATCATCATCAGATCATCCGTCCTGTCAAGGCGCAGTGTTCGGTAGCCCTCAAAGGCAAATCTAAACCGAGCCCGGCACTCCGCCTATGATGCCAGGGAGTCGCCTGAGACACTTGCGCGAAGTCTACAACCGCTCAGGCTCGCCAGGACTGCTCACAGGTTTGGTTACGCTCAGGATTTGTAGAAGAAGATCATGGAGTGCAGGTGCATGGGCCTTCGGAAAAAGCTGTGAAAGCGGCGATGTCTGTACTTCACGCATGTAATCCGAAACGGGAAGCATCATCATCATCGTCACCATCGGCCGGATGACCAGTTCCTTCAGGTGTTCATCTGGTTTTGCTGGGGACTGGAACCGTCATCATCAAACCCAAGAACGTGCTAGTCGTGCAGAAGCACTATGGAAACCGCCATCTAAGGAAAGCTTTTCACTGCTGCTTTGGACGGCGGAGGTATGATGAATTGACAATGTCATCCATAAAACTCATACAGATAGCAAAAACTCGCACAGATGACAAACCTAAGCCCGGGACCGAGAGTCTGTGATGCAAGAACGTAACATTACTAATGGACTAAGGAAACCAGCCCACCAACCGAACTAACGGACTAATGCAACCAGCCCACCCACCGCTCCCCCACGTCGTACCATCGATTTTAGGCCGGGAGGAATCGGTGCACTGGGCACGGCCTAAATCCCTTCCGCGGCAGGTCGCTCACTCACCCACCCACTGACTCTCTGATGGCACGCTTGTGAGTTACCCGGCATCTGCATCATTATTTCTACCGTACCTGTCGTAACTTGTCGCTAATGCTCTTTTGCCCTCGTGTCCTGTCCAGCAGCTGCAGCCTTTAATTCTCGTGCGCTCTCCTGTTTGTTGCTTCGTTGTGCCTTTACTGGTATCCTCTGCCTGCTTACTTCTTGTTTGTAAGACTTTGCTGTCCGGGTATCATTGCTGCTTTCGTTCTCACCGTCGCTGTTCTTGCAGTTCTGCCTTGCACCTGTTCTGTTCTTCATCTCTGCCTGGGTTGCTCCTGACGGACTTTGCGAATACAGACGGCTCACAAGCGACACTCATTATTGTATTGCTGATTGCTTGCTGTGTGCGGTTGCAAGATGCTCTCCTACTGCAGGTAGTTCTTGCACACGCGCGGGCAATTCGGTGCACACCTGCTCCTCACAGATTGCTGCGCAGGCTCCTTCGTCCATACTGTAGCAAGCTGTAGTATCGAGAATCCGGCCCAAAGCTTCGAAGCTTCTGGAAGAGCGCAACCTGGGCCAAGCGCGGTGGATTGCCTGCTTGGCAACAACCACGATTCAGCTTACACATCTTGGACAAACTCAGTGAGCTTGCATATATGTGTGTGTGTGTGTGTCAATTTTCGAGAAAAAACCAAAATGCATCCTTTTATGTCCACATGCAAAATAGACATAGCAAGCATACATGCAGGCAATCAGGTGTGGTATGTGTGCATGCATGTGTTTATATACCTATACCGACGTGCGCCACACCCATGCATACATTTGTGTGTGTGTGTGTACTCATTTCGCCTTTCAGTTCTATGTTCACACACCATAAAAAGACTTGTCGGAATATCTCGCAAGCTTCGGGCTGGGTATCGCAACCCGCTATACTGTCCCTGCACCAGAACTCCTGTGGGAAGTTGTGGGACCAGGTCGCCACGTGCAAGCAATTGATGTCAAGCTGAAGGATCGAGGGCCCGGCTCGCCAATTGCCCCTGCCAAAGGGGAAAGGCCTCGGAAAGGGCGGCTTCTAAGACTCATGACGATGGTCGTTGTGTAAAACCGGCTGAAGGGATTCTGTGAGGTTTTTCGAGCCTTGGGGTTGAAGCTCGTGGAGGATTGGTGAGACGGTCCGCTCAGAGCGGCTATTCGGGTACACACGGGTAGGAGCACAGCATCCTTGGAAAAGGAGAGCATGCCCAGGCGGCGCAATAAACCCTGCGTTCGGCACCTTTTTGGCCTAAGGCTTGAAAAACCGTCTTGAGAAAGCAGCTTGGGGCGGCAGTAGCTGACGCCCGCCCGTGCAACCAAGTTCGGGCGTTCAGGGCTTCGTTGCAGAGCGTTTGCCTGAACGCCATGTCGCTCTGCAGCTGGGCGTACTTAGATGTAATGCTCCTGCTGATGCAGCACGGAATGAGAACTTAGGGGACATGTCATATGTGGTATGCGACACAGGCCCGGGTTCCTGCACGAAGCGCCTGAAGCACGGGGCCTGTACAGCTGCAACTGCCGAAGAATGTATTGTTGTCCGCAGATACAGACTCAGCCCACAACACGTCGCGACCAGAAACGAACGGTACATGCCTTGCCGCGTTCTCACTCAGGGCAAGGGCAAGCAGAACCTCTCTTCGTCCGAAGCGTGGCACAAGAAAGGGATCCTGAACGCGAAAACTCGGATGCCAGATGATGTACTTGCTTGAGTCGAGAGCGCAGTTGGCGGAAAATACCTGTTCCAGAGTAATATGCACCGTGCGCCAGCACATGCTACCGGGCTGTTGGCGGCAGCTTGGAAGGAAATCTTTAAAAATACCGGCAACTCATCAGCTTGTCCTTGAATTCAGCAAGAAGCCTCAGTACAGCAGGCTCATTCTCATATCCAGAACGGCGGCCATTGTACTCGCAATCCTGCAGCTGCAGCGGTCCAAGGCAGCTAAGTTTCCAATTGAAGTTTGTCCTTCGTTCGTGAAGCCTGAGACGCAACACTCAGCAGCATTCTGTCTTGAACGCGGCCACCGACGGAAAGAAGAGCTTCTGCCAAGGAAAACTGCTAGGCCAAGTGGCTGCAGACTCGAACTTCATCGCTGCAAGCAACGACTCCTCAGCTGCTTGCATTCCAGACTTGCCTAGTTCTAGCCTCTGAGAATTCTCGCCCAAGGGCGCTCATCTGCCGCCAGATCCGGGCCGAAGAAGTCTCCAGCCTGCTCGCTTCCCCACAAGTTCCAGAGTTTCATGAATAGCTCGAACAATGACGACAAGGTGATGAACTTGCATTGAACGGCCGCATCAACCACACATGTACCGCAGCACCTGCACTAGTCATGTGTTGGCCTGCATGGTGCCATCTAGTAAGATGCTCACCTTTGACTTTGCGGTTCACACGAAGCAACAGCTATGTCGCAAACCTCAAGCAGAAGTGCTCCCGTCCATCTCCTCTGACATGCTCTTGCATTCGTTTGACGAACTGTCACAAGCACCCCAGACCTTTACCTAGTCTACTGCAGGACTTGTGCATTCTAGATTAACGTAATGAATGAAAATGGACAGAGGATTACAAAAAGGTGAAGACACGAAGGGGATCCGATTTCCCAGGTTTGTTGCTGGCTTGTAGATCCTTGCGGCTGTGCTCGGCTTTGCAGGTTCAACCCCAAAGGCAGCGACCATATCAGGTCACCGCGATACTTGGCAAAGAACCCTGATCAACGATGGAAGCCAGACAACGAAGGCGCAGGAGCTCACCGGGGAAACGTCGTGAATTGCAAGAATGGGCAGTAGGAATGGCTGGCAGGTTGGTTTTTGCCTGAGACTCTAGACCGTGACCGTCGTGACCCCATCTCGTAGCCCAGCCTCAAGCGATCGAACCTGGCGTCCACCACGCACGACTTTGCAGTTCCCTTGCCTCAGCCAGAGAGACCAACGCCGGCTGGGGCGAGGAAGAACCCTACAGCACAACACTGCCGCTGGCAAAGGGCAGAGACACTGTGCCTCACTTGCCCCACTGAAGCTCATGTTCGTTCAAATCGGATCTGGAATCTGCCAATGCTGTTATAGCTTCGATTCGAAAGGCCAGAAAGTTCGGCTATGTGGCTTACTGATCTCCACTGGATGATGGACTCTACAGAGATCTGCCATTGTCAGTCCCGAGATCAGCCATATAATTCTTCGAGTGTATTTGTTCATGTCGGAGGCGCTTGCCGCAGGCAGCCTGTCCCACAGATGTTTGCAAGCTTTCAGTATGCAGCGCTCATGCTTTGCGTGTCGTATGCACTGCGGCGACATGGTGTGTAGACAAGTCGTGAACACATGAGACAGTAAGCCGATGATCGATCTCTTAATAAACGGCTTTCCCAAAGTTTTCTTCCAGCAGAAAGCACATATCTGCGAGGCGTCCGAGCTGCTCAAGCACACGGAGACGTTGGCAACCGAGTGCTACAAGGTCGCCTCAGCCGCCGCATCTCAGTTCTGCGAGACTTGAGCTGCTTGGTTGGGGGTTGGCAATACCATGAACCCAGGAGGAGTTTATGCATGGATCTAAGCTAGGCAGAAGAGGAAGAAAGAAGTCTTGAGAAGCAGATTTCCGACAGTCTCAGAGCCGAGCCGTTGGAGTAGGACCTGCAGAGGGGGCCACATCTCAGCCCTTTCATTTGCGACTTCCCTGGCGAATGGAGCTAACTAAGAATCGAAACCAAGCCTGAACCGCGCCAACAGCAAAACAAGAGGGAGACAGTCCAAGTCCAAGAAGCTCGATGCCCACCGTTCCAAGAAGGTGGTCCAAGTCCACAGCGCTGTGATGTTGGTGGCTGTTGCCGTGTGCATCTCAGGGACAGCCCGCGGCGGAACCAGCTACCATTGGGTGGCAAGCTGCAAACGCAAAGCATCGGGGCCACGCATGCCCCATCTGAAAACACGAGTGAGTACTTGTACGCCAATAATGCTTCTTATCGTCTGTCTCGCTTGCTTCCGTCTCGGCTTCTGTGTTTGTCCCTCTCCCTCTACACGCAAGTATGTACACTGAATGTTGGCAACGATGCTGACTGAAGCTGTCTCGCCTTCGGCAGATACCACTGTCTCCAGCAAGCGCCGCACGCGCTGCCGGCCCTGCTCCTGCTCAGCAACCACCTCGGTGAGAAGCAACACATCATCTCAACTGGGGAGTCGTCAAGAAGCGTTTGTAACTTTTTGTGTGCAAGTATGGCCGATTTATAGAACCTATGACACAACTAGCAGAGCTTTGAGCGTTTGAGCCGCTACCCATTTGAAAAAAACCGCACGCACTCGCGATGGTCACTTCTTCTGGGTTTAAGGACGCTGACACAAGCTGCGTGAACGAGGTGAGTATCACGCCATAACCAGAATTTCATCGTGTCTAACCATTTATTGGAACACGTGCCCCGAACGCTATACTGGCCACTGATTCACACTGGCACAAAAGGCATAAAACGAGCAAAACCTCCATGTCCGGCCTCGTCGAAACTCGCTCCATAGCGCTCTGCAGCGACTTCTAGAGCCTTGCGAAGCTCCGGTTCGGCGCGGGCCATGAGGCTGCAGAAGGCCTGCAGCGGCTGAGACGCTGCTGCAAGGCTACCTGGATACTCACTCATGAAGGCACTCAAGTAGCGAAAATCTCAAGATTGGGGGCGTGGACCAGTGGAGCGATGCATCTATGCCAGGGGGTTTCAGGTCTTCTGCCCTTGCCCCCCTCACCGCTACCTAATTCACACTATACGGCCTTCATGGTTGTTCTGAATGAAACTTCCTCTGCGATGACACTTGCAATCCCAGTTCAAGAATTCTCAATGCAAGGTCAGGTTCGTCCCACGAGGAATGGGCAGCCACTTGCCTTTTGCGAAACTAAGCTTAGCAAGACCGATCTATGACCTCATAGACCCTCCACATGCCCGGTGAAAGCAGACCTAGTCCACGCCTCGCCCTTCATGACCAGCAAAGTGACATCACCTGAGCTCTGCCGCAGACGTTGCAGTTGCCTCGTATCTTGGCCATCCATGCAATATCATGCAACTATGTATATCGTCTGCATCAACGGGGGTGCTTGACAAGCCACTTGCTGCTTTGACGGTGACCGGGCTCGGCACGCCAAGTACAAGGGAGGCCTGCTCGAGGTGGCTGTAGAAATTGCTTTACAACTGACTCCTACTCTATTCTACTCCTACCCAGGCCTTACCCTACTCCGACTCCTACTCCTACCGCTACGGTTGCTGCTGCCACCACTGCCACTACCACCGCTACCGCCACCATCACCACCATCACCATTACGACGACAACTACTACTGCCACTGTAAGTGCAGTCTCAATCTTGCCCCCCGACAAGTCGTAGAAGCAGCCGTTTCTCTAGACGACTTAGGCTTCGTCCTTCGCGAACTCAACCTACGGCTAGTGGTGCGGCGCGCCTCGCCGAAGCAGTCTCCGGCTTCAAGCGTTGCCACTTCCTCGCCGCCTCCTCAGATGCAGTTGCAGCCAGGAGGCTCGCAAAAACACTGATTACGATGCTCGCAAAAACACTGATTACGATGAAGATGGTGGTGTGGTGATGATGATGTTGTGGTGATGCTGATGCTTCTGATGAGAACCATAATCACCACTCGAATCATCACCATGGATTTTCTGCGGGCCGCAAACACTGTCAACAGCTATGCCCCCTATCGGCTACAGATATGACTAGCCGAGCATGCGGCAGAAAACACAAGCTGACAAGCTGTTATGGCTAACTGGACAGACTTCGTCAGTCTTCAATCGCACGGGGCATGGAAGCTTCCACTTCTTAACCTCCACTATTCAACCGCACAGGCCCAGAAGCCTGCCAGAGACCCAGGGCTGAAGGATGCCCTCCAGAGAACAGGGTCTTGTTTGGTTGAGTGGCAAAAGGCCCAAAAGCTTGGAACTCTTGTCGTAGAAGCTTGAAGCCCAACTCAAAAAGCCTAGCGAGTGTGATGTGCACAGAAGTCAGCACCCAGCGAGACACATCCGTGCCCCTGAATAACATGTCGCAAAAATCTGATGCACGCGGAGGAGCGATAAACTTTGCAGGTCCCCGTGCGGATACCGAAGAAGCACTGCTGGTTGACCGGGCTGGACTGCCTGAGAAGCCTGTCTTTGCATTCCCGCACAGAGCTCATCATGGCGGCCTCTAACTGTAAAGCTTAGACCAGTCGGCGTTGTTTCTCGAGAACGGTTACTACAGAAGTCAAACCCACCACTGTAGAGACAATGGAAAACTCATCGGGTTCCAGCTCTCGGGTTTAGTGTCAGTAGTGCCGAAACAATGCACAAAGCTACCATGCTGCCAGGCAACACGTCATCCTGAAGCCTTTCCTGGACTGTGAAGTTCTGGGCCCACAGAGCACTCTCCTCCTGGACGCTGGTCGGACACGGACACTAGTGACACTGTGTACAAAGACGCGAATGCAGCGCTGTCAGCACAGCTCCCGACAATCTGATCATACCATGCAGAGCAACTGATGAAGTCTAATGAAAAGCCGACACGGCATGAAATTCCGGAGCGGCATGACACATTCTTTCGTTACACCGGGTGAGAAGGCCGGCGAAGCCGAACAGCCAGGCCAATGCAGAAACACAGAACTCGGCAAAGAAGCGATGCACTTCCTCCTGAAGGTTGGTGAAAGCATGCAGACTCCGGACGCAGGAGATGCGTGTCACACCTGCGGCCGCCCTCGCCTTTGCTGATCAAGAGTGGTTGCGCTGCTGGGAGCAAAAGCAAGCATAAGTTCTTAACCTGGTACTGCAATAGCTGCCTCTGCAGTGGTTAAGGTCTTGCGCAGGTGAGGATGCCAAAGACTGCGTATGTGCAGCATGGGCACGGATCTCAACAGTGCCAGCCAAGTCTGGTTCCGACCCACCAGCTGCGCGTATGACCTTGCAGTCACTTCGGTGAGGGGCAGATTCCCCTATAAACTGGTTTGATCACTGGGCTAACCTGGAAACAACCTGTGTATGCACGAAGGAATGGACAAACAACGTGAATGTTTTCATGAAGGGACACGTCTCGTGTGTGGATGACAACATTGATTCAGGATCGATTGGATGTAAATGCGTTGATGCATGCGCGGGAGAACGCCTAAAGTAAGCCTTTTTTTCAGCATGGGCTTCGATTGTGTGCCAGCATTTGAAACGCGCACGGTTGCAAGATGTGCACACTAGCATGCTTTAAAGCTGCTTGTTGGCCTGGAACCATGCAATGAAATCTTTCTGCCGGCGGCCTCCGGTGCAGCGGTGGCTGGCCCACACTTGAGCCCGGTGCCCCAAACTTCGAACAATTGGGGCCGAGGGGCTCGTCTGTGGCCATGAGAGCTGTCTGCATCGGAGGCTGCAGCCTCTGCATGAGATCGCAGTGGCAGCAATGTATAAGCACTGGGGATTTGGAACACACACTGCAACAGTCCTATTATTGCCGCTATAGGTGAACTAGCAGGCACATGGCTGTGTACTGTATATTTGCATAGGCCTGTGCAAGCATATGACTGACAGTACTCATGCACACACAGCGTAGGCGTGTTTGCAATCTTGAACACAGAGATATCATGAAATATCCACGTTTACAAACTTAGCGTACATCCATCCATCCACGCACCCATCCCTCCCTCCCTCCATCTATCCATGCTTACCCTTCTTATGGGCCATGCAATCATGCGTGCATGCATGCATCCGTGCTTACGCATATACACATATACATACATACATGCATACCCAAGTACATACATGCGTACATACCTGAATACCTACATACCTACGTATATGCATAGCATAAATATTTTAGTATTAGCACTTGCTTACATACACATACACGTACACATGCCCACAATCAAACAAACAAACAAACATACATACATACATACAAGCCTGCGAACAAACAAACCAAACACACATAACACTACATGTTACTTTACAGTAATTACACTACACTAAATCACAATGCAGGTGTCTTTTTGACCTCCAACATGTGAAGCCACCCTGCAGCAGTTCCCAGCCTGCTGAAGAGGTCCAGGATAAACTTCCAGAGCTCCAGGACAGCCTGCGTTTGATGCCGATAATGTTATAACAACTACAAATAGTAGTTATTACTAATAAGACAAAACAACCAAATTAAAAGTACTAAACTCCAGCATGCTCCTGCTCCAAAAGAAAGACCAGCACTCCAGGGCTGAACTTCATCGTGGGTTTGAACTGCAGGTGCGTCACGAACTGGTTCACTTCCTGGCCAGAGCCGGTGACTCGCCCCTGATTGCAGAACCAGACATCTTAGTCTGAGTCCGTCCTAGATTCTAGATTGTTGTTTGAGGTACACCTGTTTAACTAAACAAAAAATCAAAAAATAAATGAATATATATATATATGTGTGTGTATGTATGTATGTATGTATGTATGTGTGTGTACACACACATCGTATACATGCACATGCACATGCACATGCACATGCACAGGCATGTTACAAAAAATGTATATATACTCATGTATATAAACATGAGTATAAATATATATATGTGTGTGTTATATGTAGATAATACGTATCGAACTCTGCCGACAAGCCATGGGTCTGGCCTGACCCATGCAAGCTACCAGAATCACCAAAGAGCCATAAAAAAAAACCAAGTAGAAGCAGGAGTTAGGCCAGGCATTAGGGCAACCTGTCGCGAAATCACTGTAGAAATCGAGCAGCTGGAGAGCCAAGCGTTTATACAGTGAGAACACAACAGAAATCTGCTGGCAGTCTCCCTGTCTACCCTGTTTGCAAACTGTGGCTCTGATAAGAAGGCGTCGACCATCATGGACTGCGCTGAAGTGCCAGGGAGTACGGCACACTAATCGTTGTAACCCAGGCAAGGCCAACTTCAAGCCAAGCACCTCCGCCGAGCTCTGCTGGTTCCTCTGAAGACGATCCTCGAGGAGCCGCCCGCCGATGTCGGCTAAAGGCTTCAGCGTCCCTGGGTGATGACGATGATGATGGCGATGGTAGTGCGATCAGGATTCTTGAGTCCAATGCTCATGATTGTCAATGCTCATTTTTATGGCGATGTGATGGTATCTGATCGCGATTCTGATGGCGACGATGACATTCTTGACTTGGATCCAACTCGGAAGTGCCTCGACAGGGTTACGAGCAAAATGCGCCTACGACCAGGGGAGGGATAAGATCCGATTCGCATGATGGCGCCCAGGGTTTGCGTTCTGGCTCAAAGGAATAACGACAGCCCGCGTTTAAACTAAGGTCAGTTGTGAGGACTTTCCGGTCTGCCGATGGTGTAGTCTTGGGCCAACCGGGCTTCAACAGAACCCAGACGCTCTCTAGACTCATGCAACGCAGAAACTTCTGAACTTGAGACGCCAAGCCAACTGAAGTACTCCTGGCTAACTCGGAGATCCGAGTTGAAATCGGAAAGCCGTGCACGGCATGACGGCCAACCTCGGCCCAACTGCTCCAGGAAGAAGCCGAAAACCAGTGGACCTTGCACCTGTTCTGGAGTTTCTTGTTTTGAGGAGGGCTGGTGTCTGGTTCTGTCGGTGCCATGATAATCTTATTCTTTGTTTTCCTTCGTTGGGACCCCTTGGAATGCTCTGCCCATACATCGAAAGCATGAACAGACCAAGAAGAAGAACTACGAACAGCGAATGCCCGTCTTCACGACTTTGCCACCTATGAATAATCAACATGAGCATACACCTACACATACTAGGTGCGCACATGCAACTCAACAGTGGCATGTTACATTCCATAATACATCACATACAGCGTTCCATGTTGCATTTTCCACATCAAATATGACCTTACGTACCGGTATAGAGAGACAGATTCTTGAAACACGCGAATGGCTTGTGTTGGGTCGTGGCACCAGCGCGCTCGCTCGGACTTCTGCGGCAGATTGGAGCTCGATGAGATCCTGCACGAGTAGAAGAGTTCGTAGCTAGCGAGAATTTTGCTTAACTTCTTTGCTTGTAACTGTTGCCATGTACTTCATGCATCTTCATCCATCGTGGAAGAGACATCTGCCTGCAGCTACCAAATATTTCTCTGTCAATGAAGGCACGAACAATGCTCGTCATCGGCCTCACGGTCATGAATTTATACTATTTCAGACTATAGTTCACCCTTCACCATCCGAGAGACACCACATGACACCACAGTCAGAACTGTAAGATCACCGAGAGGAATAGGCTTCGATGCTACAGGAAGGTCATAATTATAACTCGAAGAGTGCGAGCACCTGGGGGGTTTGCCACACACATGACAAGATGAGGCGGTCCAAAAGCGCCCAGCCCTCGTCAGCACGCTGCTCGGAGAAAGCGGCAATGCTGCCTTATACACATAGCATCGTAAAGCGACGGAGTCTGAACTTCTACAGTCGATGCTCGAATGCAGGCAAAATATTCTTCCGACTGAATGCAGAAGAGTAGCTCACCAGCGCTTCTTCCCGTCCTTGTGACCACTCCTGCCAAGATGAGGCCGTGCCGCCACGCGGAGCAAGGCAACAGCTCGTGGCCTCGAAGGGGGCGCTGCGGGCCATGGGGCCCAGAAGCGCCTGTCTCAGCCGCGCGCCCTGACCAGGCCCAGGCCGTTCGTACATGGAGAAGCCCACTCGCCACCCCAAGCACGATCATGTGCTAGATTTGGGCGTGAAGTTCTATTGCACATTCCTTAACAGGTCGCACAGCATCCGAGGCTGGAAAGTCCCAGCGTATTCTGCACAGGCGCATCTTTGAGAGCCAGAGATCTTTCCTTTGAAGCGCCTCCTGCAAGCATGTGGCCAAAGCTGCGGCATCCTGGAGAGCTGCGCTGCCTTGCAGATGTAAGCATCGCTTTTCGATCTCTCTGTTGTCAATTTTGTCAATTCCGTCGCACTCAGGAAGGCTCTCAAACACGGAGAGCTTGTGCTTGTCGGTGCACGCTGGATACACAACTGGGGATCCTGCAGCCCTGTCCCAGGGACCCACCACCGACGGCGTGCGCAGCATCACCCAGAACGCCTTGGAAAGCCAAGGCATCTCCATGGGATGCAACTGAAGTGTCAAAGCACCCAGAACCCCCGCCAAGTTTTGCAGTGCTGAGGTGCAAAGCGCATGGTCTGCATCGTGCAGAGGGCGACACCGGCTGACAACAGCTTTGGAGGGCTTCGCCGCTAAGAAGCTCTCTGCGGCTTCTCGCGGGATCTTGCCCTTGGATGCAGGAGATGCGAAAAACGAGCGTAGACCCGCCATCCAGGGCAGACGAGATCTTTCCCCTCAAGCTTAGTCCGTAAATCTTGGTCGGCAACTTGCTCAGCCATCCCGAACGAGACGAAGCCACAACATGACATGCCGATGCTTTGCTGATGGCGAAACCATACTTCCCGAACTTGCCTCAGTGCGGGCCGTGTTGCCAGCTGTGGGAAGTAGCGTAAAAGGACCTCAAGGTCAGCGACTACAAAAAAAGCCACTCCGACTCGCTGAAGCGCCTGTGGAAGCTGAAGTTGGGGCCCGGACTGCCTCGAGCATCTCCGGCGTCTGAGCCTTCCCCCCGGCACTTTCTCACCCTCTTCCGGTTCCGAGCGTTCCGATAAACTGACAGCAGAGACCTTTCCCGGATCCAAAACCCTTTCCAGTCCGACACGGACGGTCTCTTTCTTTAGGATTGAACTCGACTTTTTGCCTGTGGATTGGCCTGCCGACCAAGGCTAAGTGCTTATTGGTACGTGCTGCCTTGCAGTAGTTTGAACTCGGATTACATCTACGCATATCTAAGCCCTCCGCTCAGGTGGTCCAGACGAACCGTAACATGGGACTGAACCTGGCGGCGGCCTCCAGCAACTCTTCGGGCGCGTCGTCCGAACTCCATGACACAATCACACAATGCCTGAGTGAATTGAGGTCTGATTCAGAGGATGAGCACAGCCGGAGCATCTGACCAAAGCGATTCGAGGAAGTGTGGCTTTCGAGTTAAAGACTTGTTTTCACGACCCGCATTAGTCCCTGCCCGCAACTTTCAGTCTGATCTTGTGTGATGAGTTGCTTCCAACACCTCTGGCTGGGGCTCCGCTGCATCTTGCTCTACGTCAATACTCCGAGCATGTTCTCCAGCCTAAGGCCCGCACGGGCCAGCGGCATCTGGGATGCAAAACCTCAGCTGCTCTGTGACACGCCCTGTGGTGGTGACTGAAGTAGAAACCAAGTCTCAGAGTGTGACTGGGTAATTGGGGCAGCCTTCAGTCATGTATGTGCATGTCTGCATGTCTCAACAAACATGCATGCCTTGCGGAAAAACGGTGGTATGATGAAAGAAGATCATACCGTGAGGCAAGGCACAATCCAAATGGTGCCTCTGAGGAGACCATGGCCTCGTGAGTCGTTCCGGGTTGGACCCGATTTCCGGGTTGGACCCGATAACATACGGGCCATTGCATGGATTCAAGGCATTCAACTCGAGGTTCAGCGAACTACCGAATCGGAGTCAGGGCAGCATTCAGCGACTCCAAGGAGTGCCGTGCATTCTCTGACTCTGGTTCACGGCTCACTGGTTCTCCGCGGTTTGTGGTTGTGACCAGGATCTTGGACTTGCAGCAGTCTTACGGTCTTAAGTAGCAGTAGGGAAGACAACTCCAGTGACAAGGCTCTGGTACAACGGGTGACGAGGCTTCCCAGGAAAAGTGTCTGAAATTGCATGTCTAATTACAGCCTGTACACTCGAACACGGATCAAGTCAAGCAGGGACACGTGAACTCCGCGCTCATTCAAGTGCTCGGGCAAATCCAGGTGCAATACTTGCCATCTGAGCAGGAGTCATTTGATCTTCATATCAGCTGCTAGAATCTAGAAGCATGTGGGAGCAACCAAGCTGAGCTAAGTTCATCTCGGTCTGATTTGCATGTATATGTACTCCGGGAATCCATGGCAGGTTCCAATCTACTCGGCGTGTAATGCAATCAGTGACCTCGGAGACGAAGCTTGGAACTATGTCTGGCCTGCCCGGCATGACGCGAAGCTCAGACTCGAAGCGACCTGCCCCAAGCTCGCTAGCCAGGGTCCGTTAATCTTCCGATGACTTCTGGCCCCCAATTCGGCTGTTGAAAGGGACGCATCAACGGCTGCATCGTAGCCCCCTGATAAGGTATGCCGTCCGACTGGCCTGGAGGCAACTGGCTGTTCATTGCCTCGCGCACTCGCGACCGGACGCCGTCCGAGCCGATCAGCAGGTCGTACTCGATCAGCTCTTCCTCCTGGTGCTTTCCCCCCCCCCCCCGCGAAGCATCCCCCCCCGGATCAGAAGGCGAGACTCTAGGAAAGGGCTCGAAGCGTCTGCGGCGTCTGCGGCTTCCGGGTCAGGGCACAAGTCTGCGAGTCCCTCGCCAGGGCCTGCTCTGTCCCGGACTGGCGCTGCACTGTCACGGTGCGATGGACCACATCGACTGACTTGACCTGCGCAAGTCAAAGGAAGTCAAAGGCAGGCCGCGTTGAGCTCGGCACTATCGGTCCGGCTTGGCACTACCAAATCGACTGTCGCCTACCCGTGGCCTTGGTCCCGTAGTCGATGCGCACATCGGTCCCTTCGGCAAACTCCATGGACGCCAGCCTCGGGCTGATGCGGTAGGGCACTCTGCACTCCCCCTCATGAACAAAGCCAGAGCCATGTGCCTCACGAAACCAGCAGCAACAAGATACAACAAGCATATGGGTTGAGGGTCGGGTTACAAAGACCAGGGGCCGGTCACGGAGCGAGGAAACGATCCTGCCACGGTCCAGCAGTACCACTGGCTCGCCTTCCGGCGGTGGCAAGGAGAGGGGAACCTCAGCTTCTCCGCTGAAGTCGCTGGCCGGCCACAGATCGTGCATCTGCAGAGTTTCAATGCTGCTGCCGTGTTCCCCGAGATTGCAGCCAAAGGGCCCCATTCAAGTGCAGCGTGAAGCCTTCGGCCATCACCCCTGCTGCTGCCATCTCCTCCCCCCGCCGGGCACTTCTATCACATGTGGGATGTTGGCGATACTTCCTCGAACGACGAGCCCGAAGTAGCCAGACAATCCCGCCATTTCAGAGCTGGAATGGCGCCAGAAGGAACTCACACCCATCACGGATCATCCCACTTCGACTAAACTATGTCACAAGACCACACCCACGTCAAGACTCACAAACCAGTTTTACCACGTTTCGCCTGTCAGCCGTAGTGCCTCATCCAATCTACATCTGTTTGCCTGAGTCTCTATTTATCTGCGCATATATTTCTTGAACTATCCAACAATCTGCCGATCTGACTTCCTGTCTACCTAGAACTACCTATCCATTTGTCGGTCGATCGGTGGATCTATCCATCTATCTACAGCGCTATCTACCGAAATCCATGCACACATGCCTGCACGCACTCGTCCACTCGCAGATGTGGGTCATCATTATGGCACTCCCTAACCCTTGTCTCTCCTGCCACAGCTCTTCGCCTCCCAGCTGGATGAGAGCCTGTCGGTTTCGGGACTTGCAATACAAGGTTAGAAGATAAGACTAGATACTTTGGGACGGAGCTTTGCCGGATCATGTGGGCTTCAACGTGCTATTGGAAGGACAAGCCTGAGCCAAGCCACCCCAGAATCATGAGCAGCAGCATCCTCGCTTTCATAGTTCTGCCAACAACTCTCCCGGCAACCTTTCGGCCATCCATAGAGTTAGTTTACAAACTGTCTTCAAATGCCGGTTAACAATTCTGAAGGTTTGGCGTGTTGAGGTCAGAACCTGTTCCTAAATGCTTGCACAGACCGCCCGCGTCTGAAATCAAAATGTCACCGTGCACCAGAGTCTAAATGCAAGGCCTCCCTGGCGCGGCGACCGAGGCCAATCGTATGGGAGCGCCCGCGATTCTTTGCGCCTCTCCCAACGACAATCAAGCTCAGTAGCAAGTGGGGAGATGCCAAGGCTGCCAAGGTCATCTAGTAATCAGTAATCCTTCGAGAACGACTATGATTCGACGATGATGGTTACAGGCTGTCTTGAAGTGCTCACTCCTTTCTTGAAGTTTGGCATCTTGAGAGTAGAACCTGGCCGCAGCATATCCTCAAGACGAAACCGTAAAACTGCTGGGATGCTCCACAGGACCCCACAAACGGAGGAGCAGAGGGAGATAGAGAGATAGGTATGGGGTCCACCGGTAGAGTCTTTAGCGCATGTTTATGGCACACGCCTGGTCGCTCGTAGGGCCGGCCCTCCAAGATGAGAACATCTAGACCTGGGAAATCACGTAGGCCACACAGACCGAAAGGCTTTCCAATCTTGCAAAGACCGCAGTTTCGGCGACGTTCTATCGGGGTTTGGTACAAACTCCTCGAGACAGGGCCTCTGCCTCCTTTCGCAACGGGCTGGAAGCGGCGCCGAAAGTGTTCTGCCAAAGAGCCCTGTGTGCTCGCCAGCCCGCAAGCCAAAGCCAGACCTCCAGGACCACCTCCTGAGATGATCACCCGAAGCGGCCTTGCACAGACTGTCAGGAGAGAGCACAATATAACTGAAGTGCTCAAGCAGTCTGGATAGGCAGGCTCCGAATGCAGCCGGAATGTCTAGAGATACTTTCAGTCGGCGGAGGGACCAAAAGCCCAAAAGCATCCCACGAGCGATTCAGAGGCTGGCAAGGTGCCGGTGCTGAACTGCGAGGGTTGCTCAGGGTTTCGGGGTATGCAGGGGCTTCGGGGTAGTGCTGGAGACTCCTTCTTAAGGCTTCAATGTTTCTCTTCTGCTCGTCGTTCTGTCTTTGAGCTTAGATTTGATTTGACTCTGACTCCTCTTTGTGATGGACCTCGTCTGCACTTCGTCTGCTCAGGCGGTGCCCCAGAGATGCCCGGAAGCCCCATTTAAGCCAAAGAGGAAGTGATGGAAACTCGCAGACTCGAAGTAACGATTGCACAAGTACCAGAAGAATCGGAACACCACGCCCGAATGCTCCGAGCCCGAAATGGTTGCCTGCCGCCACTGCCTGCGCCAGCCCCCCACGTTGAGCCTGCACTCGGGAGGGAAACTGTTGCCATCTCTTGCAAAAGACGCCACGCTGTTCACATGAACGTGCGTCTATACAAGTAAACCCTGCATACATATAGTTACATAGTGTTACATATACATGCACACAACATCTGCGCATCTTCACTACGGTGATTATTTCGGCGAGCTGTCGCCGCCTCGTGTGAGGTAGTGATGGCACTGCATAGCTTTGCATTTAGATCCGAGCTCTGGCAAAGTGGAAAGGTCATCGGATGGGGACATCGGGTTACCAACCCGACGAACTTGCTTTGGCGCTCCTTAGAAATCTCAAGTAAAATCCTGCCGCCATACGAGAGAAGCCAAAAGATCAGGAGAAAGCAACTGCGGGGAAGGGCGCGTTAAGATCGTGTAATGAGCTTTTCCCCTGTCAGCCGCTCGGAACCTTGAGCACGCGGGCAGGTAGTCGTGCAAGTCTGAAGCGATGGTTTTTGCCCCGACTTCTCAAGCAACATGGCATCCCATGGCTGTGGGTGTCAGGTTCGAGAATCCGCGGACCGCGATAGGTTACAGCAGCTTTTCACACACGATTTCCGTGTGTGTTGGTGTGATGGGCGCTATCCACACATATCTGCTACTGTTTGTTGTGGCAGTGTTGGTACCGAAAGCGCTGAAGAAGTTAGTACTCCTGTCATGCCGTAGATACATCTGCATCACGGTCGGGACGCGCTTACTTCGTCTCCTTCACAAAAGGATACCAACACATGATCCACAGTATGTCATGAATCTTAGCGCTATCCAAACAGCACACTGCAGAGCTACGTCCCCAAGGATTGCCTGCAGAGCTGCCCGAATGCCCAGAGCCCCAAGCGAAAGCCCTCTGAAGCTCTGCAGGTCAGCCACCTGGCAAGGCCCGAAGGCGTACACGCGTCGAGGGCCGCCTGAAAGGAGCTCCGGGTTCGGATGGGCTTGAGATAGTCTGAGCTTTTGTTGCAGATTTGAGATTCCAAAGATTCCGAAGGTGCCGCAACCATTCCTCTCTGGTGCGGCATCTGTGCGTCAGCGGCGACATCGGCTCTGCCATCCAAGCCAAGGGCAGCCTATTTCCAATGGCTTGTTTTCGCGAGAGAAGTGGCCTCTATGGAAAGAAGCGACTCGCACCACCGCACTGCCAAAAGTGAAAGCTTTAGGATTTGCAGCTAATGGAATGCTGCTGCAATGGCAAGCTGATATGTCCAGCAGCGGGCACCCCTGGATGATGCCGCAGCACAGGGCACAATCCGCTCCCTGCGTTCGAGAAGTTCCGCAGTCGCAGGACGAAGTACTGTTTTCAGCGAGTTGACTTGCACAGAGCACGGAATGCCCAACGTCGGTCCACATAGCGGATCTCAGAGCTCTCGGGCGGAGCATGCGGCACATGGCCAACTTCCGCTCGCACTCACACCACTGCTACACACGCTACAGTTACATGTGCCGATCAAAATACCAGTATCTTGTCGGCCTCTTGTCCCTGTGGCGCACTGCAGGTCGAAAGGCTGTGGCTGACTCCTGTGTGCCTCATAACATCGGGTCTGCTGTGGCTTCAGCGCTGCACAACTTCTGTGCGGCCGTTGCCGCGCCCGACAGTCCGACAGTCAGTAGTGAATACAAGATGCAAGTTTCGGGTGAACACGAGCACCTGAAAGACCCTTCCAGACTGCAACAATCTTTTTGGGTCTTTTTCCCACCCACCCAGCTGACAAAGTCGCTTGAGACAGATGGTCGCAATCATTGGAAGGGACGACGCTGCAGAAAGAAGCCGGGCCTTCTTCGGTTTCTTCGTAGCTGTCTGCCCACTGCGCAAGGTGCAGAGTATATTGAGTACCGTAGTCGCTTGTAGGCACCTTTCCAACCTCTCGGACGCATCCGCAAAACACTAATCTCGCGCAGTGTACCTCGTGCCGGTCTTGCTCCGCTGGGCTACGCTCGCGTGTTCTCAACGTCAAAGTGTCAGGCGTTGGTTCAGGCGTCCTGGCAACCTCTTCCCCTGAATACGGATTGCTTCTGCTGCGCCACGAAAGGAAAGATCTGACACGGGCGTGTTGGAGCTTGGGAGGATGCTGACATGTGGAGAGGTGCTTCAGGAACGGGAAAAAGCCAAGACTTGCTGCAACCTGGGTGTCGTCATGATGTAATTCAGCTCAGACATGGACCATGCGCATCTGCAGAAATCCCATGCTGAAGCTAAAGAGAGCAGACGTATTGCGTCGCGTGGGGTAGCCGTTTGTTGTAACGACGCTGAACAGCTGCGCTTGTTTGCCTGTGCTCAAACCGGGCCACGCTGAGCCTGAAACCGACTTTCGAAGTGCCACCGATCCCCTCGGCTCGAACTTTCCCCTTCGAGACCTCTAAGGCTCTAAGAAGCCTCCAAGAAGCGTCCGGACCACGCCTCCCGCGGCCGGCAGCGCAGGCAGCGGCCACGGTCGCCAAGGCCAGGGCCTGGAACCAGGATTGGAAATCAAGCTTAAAGTTTAAGCCCAAGCTTCCCCAAGCTCAGATCTGAAAACTGCAGGGGTTGGTCCCAGGTGAAGCTCACGGTTACGGCCAAGCTTCCGAGGAAATTCCTGAATCCCGACCTGAGCCGATCTTGACCGCTGCCCGTGCGGCGTGCGAACGGGACCTTAGCCGCAAAGAGTGCAACCACCCTATACGCTCCAAATCTTCAAACCGTGCTGAAGCTTTGGTCGTGGTAAACTTCGTGAAACCTCATCCATGGAATTCAGTAAGAAAGACATCAATCAGCAAAACCTCGAGATTCGCGAAGGGGTTACGGTGGCCCAACCCTCGAATTGACTTTCCAACGAGTGCAACAAAGGCTGGCGATGGGCAGTAAAGGAGCATCACATACTCTTGGACTGACGATTCACTTCAGAATTGCAAGTTCCTTCCCTCTCGGATCTCAAGTTCCCCCAGCTCACTCCCCACCGCGCAGGAAAGAAAGAGCTTGACTCCTGTCCTTCCAAAACACTGCTACATACTGTGACTATGCGAGGGGGCAGACGATCGAACAACATCATGAAGGAGTTCGAGCGTTCTGCTCGGAAATACGCTAGGAACAAGTGCCGCACAAGAAGAGCAAACCGAGTGAAAAGGTTTGTCAAATTTGAGAGATAGATCCTGCAAACTCAGGCACAGCAAAGGCGGGAGGGAAACAGAGAGAGAGAGAGAGAGAGGGAGAGAGAGAGAGAGACAGAGTGCCAGAGAAGTGTGAAATGAAGCATGTTGTGAAATTTCAAGCCGAGATTCAACTATTGAGAGAACGGCTATAGTGACTATATTAGACAAGTCGATTTGAGAGTTCAGCGAAACACGGAAGGAAGTTTAACATGCTGCACAAGGAGGCCGTGTGAACCACCAGACAGTTTACAGAACTTTTTGCACTTCAGCATAGACGAAAGGAGTCATGTCGGAGAGACCCGAACTGAATCAGCACTGACAAGCCACTTGTCAAAAGATGTCCAAACAATGGCCTGCCGGGGATTGCCTCGATGTCGAGCCGAGCACACGAGGCAAACACTGCCCCAACAAGCAAAACCAAAACAGCCACAAACGAGAAAAGGCTCGTGCCCTCACCACCAAGAATTTTAACTTGCCATGAGCCTTAAGCGGAGATGAAAGATTCTTCACAAGAGAGTAAGCCAAACACTAAGTGATCCCTGAGTGATCAAAGTGCATGGTTTTGGCCACACTGCAGCACGGGGATGGACCCGCGGGGGTGAGAAAGGAGCTGGAACGGCCCAGCCCAACCGGCGCAGGGCCAGAAAGATTCTGCAGGTCGTACCCCCTTCATCCAGGCTACTGAGCTGCGAGCTGAAAGAGGCCGCTGGTCTTGATGGCGAGGATCCTGGAGGTTCAGCAGCAGCCCAGGTTCAAGTTCAAGTCTCCGGACGGTTTTGGGCGGGTCCTACGCGCACCATTCAATATTCTCCGCAATACTGTCCCTACAGGTGTTGCTTGTAAGTACTGACCCGCGCTCGACCCTCGAAAGCTTCGAGAAGCAACAGGCCTGCACTGGACGTCTGCCGCAAGGCAGCGCGCACGGGAGGCTCTGCTGACGCCAGCTGCATGATCTAACGCTTTAAATTACCGCGGCAGTTTGCATTCTTGTGTACCGTCGCCGAAGGAAGTGCATCTAGCTTCAATCATAGCTTTATCGCGAAGCACTGCTGCAAAAGGACAGCCTACATTTTTCTCCAAGGCTCTGAGAGCGTGTTGAAATTTATCCTGATCCTACATTCGCCGACTTGCTTGTGCAGCGAACGTCTAATCAACGAACCATCTTTCATTGTTGCACTCATGGAGGAATGTCCATAACTTTCATCGCCTGGTCATTGAAAGACCAAGGCTTGAGCAGCAAAGTGGTTGCATGATGGCGATCATGATAACAGTAGTGGATATGCTGCAACTGGGGTGCTGGTGCATGTCATTGCGCTACGGCAGGGGCTGTGATCGGAATGGCCAAATTGAGAGCTATAGTGGGGATGGCATTGATGGTGACGGCGGTGATGTAAACGATCTGTGTGTATAAGTATATATCTGTCTAAGATCTATATACCCATGATGACTTTACCACTTCAGCGATGAATTCTCTCTCTCTGCCGTGCCATCATCAAGTGTCTCGCAATGCAAGGACACGAAAAAGCAGTCCAGAATATCAGGAGGCATAGTGCGAACGCTGAACCTCCTTCATCCCAATAGGCATTGTAGGGGACGGCTCTTCTTACTGCATCTAACGTGACGCAGATACGCAATCTGGAGCCCTGCTCTGTCGTTCTGATTTTTTAGCTACTGCGCAAAGTAATGGAATGGTGCTGTCACTACATCTCGTTGCCTGCTAGCTGAGCAGGATCCGTATGACTGCTACGCTGCATCGCCGTCTTGAGTTGCAATTGCTGATGCAGCTCTTAGCGTCTTAGTGCACTTACTCTGGGCCGATGTTGTCGGTGGTTCGTCTCTCTCGATGAGCCGTGCCAAAGTCCGAGTTACCGAGGACCTGGCACTGGACGTCGGTGAGAGCCTCCCCCGGCCGAAGCTCGCGTCTGAACCTGAAATACGTTGAACTACACCAATCGGGCCCCCAAAAGGCATTTCAGGTTGTATGGCTTTTATATCAGCCTTCAGGCTCTAAGGTCTTTGGGAGCTGGATGCTGGCTAAGCCGCCTTGGATTGGAGTACGGCCGAACAATTAGCCTCGACTGTCCTTGAAGTCCCATGGTTTGTCTTAAGCTAGCTACGGGGTGGGGATTCAAAGCGGACAGATATGCGGAAGCATGAGCTGCAGGCAACGGCCATGTCCGTGGTTTGCATGTAGCGCACTCAATGGCAAGTCAGGTCATATGAGATTCTTGACTTATGAGGTTCGTTGGCCTTAGCGCCTTGGAATCGCAAGGGTGCTGCTCACAGTGGCCCACTAAGCCACTAAGTGTGCGGACGAAGCTAAGACGGCACGGCTGCGGTAGGAAGGATACTGTAGCCATCTGGAAGAAGGTGGCTGAAGGACACGCTGCCAGGAATTGGGTTGCGCGCCGTGCGATGCTCAACGAAAGAACCCAAAGCAAAACCAGCGAGTCTAACCAGGATCCTGTTACTGTTAAGGACAACTGGGTCCGGATACTTGGCACCCTTCTTCTCCTTCAGGCGCGCGGGGGACTCAGCCTGACAGGTTTCATCAGAATAGCTGGGAACTGTCGCCATCGCAGCATATGGGAGTCACCGCCATTTTCCCAGACAGTTTCGCCCTCCTCTCTGCCTGTCTACCGAAAACGCAAGCAGCTGCTAAAGGAATACCATTTTCTGAGCCGCGAGCATACTTGTGCTCAGGCTCACGCGTGGCCTTGCAAAAGTAGTCGTCACTTGTAAAGCGAAGAAATGCACAAGACATGCGTCAGCATCATGTCAAAGGGACAGATTCCCGCATGGCTTACCATCTCGCAAGGAAGAGGCCAAGAACAAACTGACCAAAAGCATGGCCCATCTATCAGGCATGGCATCAGTCTTCCTCCAAGTATGCCTTGCCACAAGCTGAAGCTGCGAGCCTCCCTGGTGTGCACTTGCTCTTGAATACCTGAAACCTGGAAACTATACCTGTTGAAGCTGCATCCCTGGAATACCCATCGCCCATGTAAATCAACCGTACGAGTATATGCCGTAACAACTGCGACTTACCCGCGATAGCTTCAGCGATTCAACTATCTTTGCATAGTAGGTGCAACATGACGTTCCCGAGGGTCAGCTTAAGCAACCGCAGCGCTGTTTATATAACCCAGGGACAGCATGACATGATTAGGCGTTGAATCCGTTCCCGCCGGAGCTTGAGGAGGGCGCCATGTAATCGAATCTTGGAGACCACAACCGCGGCTTGAGAATGGGGCTGCTATCGATGTCCGACCTGAGGTGTGGCTCTTCTGAGAAGAACAGGCCACTAGTTCTGCAAACGGTACATCGCCTCTACGTCAGCGACCTGTCCATCTGGACGATTCCCTGCAACTACTTTGCCCAAGTTCTAACATCTTCTCGCCTTGAAGCTCTCTGCAATGTCTAACTGTCTGCCACAGAACCGACTGCTCTCGATTGGGTCCGCTGCATGTGCAATCCAAACGCAGCACCACATGCACGCAAACTGACTATCATACTTCGCCAGGAGTGTCATCCTGGCTCCAATGCTCGAGACAAGGATTGGATATGCCGTAAGACACTCATGGATGCCCCACACGTCCGACACCTGAGGTAGTCGCTGCAGCTCCACGCTCACCGGACCATTTTGGTTCTCTCTGGCCCGCGTCAAGGACACGTCCTGCACTCGCAATTCCCTTCTAAGGTCCCAAACCGCTTCAGTTCCCCCACAGGACCCATCATGCTCAGTGCCAAAACAAAAACAGAGAATCACTGCTGCAGATTGGACAAATGCTGGAACCTGGCCGTAGGTTCGCATCGCGCGCAGATGTTGCTGCCTCGAATTTTGTACGGGGCTGCGGGCTTTCGATGGGGGCTTCCACGAGTCCTTGAGCCAGGCAACCAGGCAACGCTTCAAGCTTTGCGTGGCCGTGCAAGGGCAGTGCAAGGGTGACATGACTGAGGCTCAGGTTACAGGACTGCTGGTGCATGCATGCCAGCACAGTTTCGGGCTGTGTGGCTTGTACAAAAAGCCGACGCACACAAGACGTCAACCACTCTAATCAAGAAATTCGCGGACGAATGCAGCAAAGGGAGGATTTGTTCGCGAGCCCTGGTAAGCGGAAGACCAAAGCGAATGGATATACTTCAAACAGAGGTAATGGCAGGCCTTGTGAGCGACTTGTTGAAGTCCTCTGGCGGAGGCCCTCTCGACTTCCACCGGGCCTTGCACTTGGTTCTGCACATTTTCATGTTGAGAGCAGCATGGGATTTTGCGCCCTCAAACTCGCAAACATGATTTCCCTTTCGCTGGCTTGACAATAGCAGAGGGCAGGGCCTTCTCCGCTTCCATAATGTTGAAGCTCATCTCATGATCTCAGTAGCAGCTCCGGTCATGGAATCCATGAAGCCTCGAACTCGATTCGCTCTTGCGTGTTTCAAAAATGCGCACAATCAGGTTTCAGGTGTCTGAAATCGTGTCCAATCCTATGCCGACTTGCTTAAGCCTTTAGCTGCTTCACTAGCTGAAACTGAGGTCAGGGTCGTACGACACTTGTTTCAACTCACGGTCGGCGTCAAGAAACAGAACACGTTGGACTAGCCGGATCTGATCCGATACACAGCCTGAGTCGCAAGACGGCCAAGCTCCGGGCCCCAAACGATGCGGTCGGCCTGCAGGTTGCAAGTCTCAATTTGCATGTCTGAATGCCGCTTATGATTCTGCTAGTCCCTCGTCGTCGTCATAGTGCTGGTAGCAGCAGTAGCCGTCTTTGGAGCAGTAGCAGCCGAGCAGTACTACTAGTAGTGCTTGCAGCAGCAGCAGCAGCAGCAGCCGCAAGAATCGCAGCGGCAGCAGGAGGAGTAGTAGTAGTAGTCGTCGTCGTCGTGGTAGTGGTAGTGGTAGTGGTAGTGGTAGTGGTACTGGTGGTGGTGGTGGTGGTGGTGGTGGCGGCGGCGGCGGCAGTGGTGGTAGTGGTAGTGGTAGTGGTAGTGGTAGTGGTCGTGGTCGTGGTCGTGGTAGTGGCAGTGGCAGTGGCAGTGGTGGCAGTGGCAGTGGCAGTCGCAGTCGTAGTCGTAGTCGTAGTGGTAGTGGTAGTGGTAGTGGCAGTGGTAGTGGTAGTGGTAGTGGTAGTGGTAGTGGTAGTGGTAGTGGTAGTGGTGGTAGTAGTAGTAGTAGTAGTAGTAATGGTAGTAGAGGTAGTAGAGGTAGTAGTGGTAGTAGTGGCAGCAGCAGTGGTAGTGGTCATAGTAGTCGTCGTCGTAGTGGTAGCGGCCGTGGTAGTTGTAGAAGTAGTGTATCAGTATCCGAATAGCAGCACCTGCTCCTGCTACTGCTACTCCTCCTCCTACTCCAACTCCGACTCTGGCGCTACGCTTCGGGCGGTCATGATCACCAGACGTGCTGTCATAAGGTTCCCTGGGATCTGGCTTGGGTCCTTCATTTCCGGCCTCTGGATCGCTGACATTGTGCCATGGCTTCTTCTTTCCGATGATGGACCTCACATCAAACTGCTTCAACCTTGAACCACTCGCTGCTAGCCCTTCTGGTGCTTTCAAGGGAAGGATCCGGTGACCAGGTGTCTTTACAGACCACGCCGAAATCAATAAAAGGGTCCCAGCCAGCCAATTTTGTTGTTGTTGTTGTTGCTGCTGCTGCTGCTGGTGTTGTTGTTGTTGTTGCTGCTGCTGCTGCTGCTGGTGTTGTTGTTGTTGTTGTCGTTGTTGTTGTTGTTATGAGATCATACGTCAGGACCTGCTCAATGACCAGGCCCTCCATCCGACAGTGCAAGGCCGCAGCTTGGCCCCTGGCTGGCATCTTACTCAGACCCTGGGCCCGATCTATTTGCTGCAGGAGATCCATGAAAATGAGTTGCGGAGAATGCAGGGCGTGCCCCCCAATGAGGGACATGGGTTCCGAACAGCCACCGGGCAGCTTATTGCCCTTACTCGGTGCTGGGGCTGGAACAAGGGCTGGAAGGCAGACCCGGCTTCCACTAAAGCCAACAATGATGCCATCCTCCGTGGACTCCCTACCGCACTCCACGCTGCGCAGGAGGCTGGCAACGCCACGGCCCAGCGAGGCAACGCCTCCTCAACTCCGGTCCCCACTGAGGCAACCATTCAGGCTCATGTGCTCGAAGCTCTTGACACCAGCCTTCTAGACAGGATTGTGCAGCTCATCGAAAAGTGGCCGCGGTACTATGGCGAGCTCACCAAGCAGCAAGTCCAGGAGCTCATCCCGCGCGGTCTTGGTATAGCCATTTCAGAAAATGGTGACACCTTGTGCTGTGTCTTCTGTGCGGGCAAATCGGGCGGACCCTGCATGTTCCACACCTCTCAAGGCCTATTGCCGCATTTTCTGCGGACACGCGGCAGCGGCGCTACATGGCATCACGCTGGGGAGGAGGCCTACGCCAGAGCTGCTACTAGGCGCTCAGGCCCGACTGCTGCGGCGGCTTCCTCCTCGGATTCTGGAAACCAGAGGCCCAACGAGCCTGCCTCCCCGCCGCCATACGTCGCACCGCGACCGGCCATCCTTGATGCACCGCATCGTCATGAAGCTCCTCCTCAAGAGCCAGAAGACACTCCTCCCACAATGGAGGAACTTTGTGGCGAGAAGGACTTCTATGACTGGGTGGTGGCTGTAGCGGATCTCCAGTCGCTGACGGCTCCTGAAGTCGTAGGTGTTCTTCAGCCCCAGGAGTTCACAGCGATCTGGAACGCCCGACTTCAGGTCCTGACTAAGCTGCCAACCGTGCTTGCAGGCCTCAGCAGGGTCTACCAGAAACCTGAAGCTGATCGTAAGGACCTCAGCTGGCGCTCTGTGATCTCGGGCCGGCTCGTTGTCCACTCCTCCGGCCACCTGACGATGGCCACGAAGGACCGCGCCGGTCAAGAGCACATCCATCCCAAGCTCACGACCTGGCTCGGGGGCCTTCAGGCTACCATCAAAAATGGGGTCCCCTACGCTCTCTTCGAGGGCAAGCGTGTGGCTACTCAGGATGAGTTCCGCCTCTTTGCGACGACCCTGCAGACCATCTACGAGGCGGCCACCAAGAAGGCACACCAGCCTTCCCATGTCAATATTATCCAGGCCACGCGCGACAGCCACCCCACCATCAAGATTACGCACGGCCAAGTCCTGGACAGCAAGCTGAACGTCATCCGCAATGTCACCGGCCAGCAACTTCGTAGTCGCCGTGAAAGGCAAGCTGAACATAGGGAGAACAAGGAGTCCAGAAGGTCGGATCCTTATGGCTCCCATGAGCCCTCATCCGGACAACACTCCCGATCTGCCGGCTCCCAGGACTGGCAAGACTGGCAGGACTGGGATGAGAACTCCTATGCTGCCAAGAACTCTGCTTACCACGGCTACTACCGCTGA